GATGAAGCTGGAGTGAAAGATCAGGCCGTACTTGGGCGTGTTGCCCTTAGTCTTCAGCGCCCTGTGGTTGTGGTGGGGATTGGGGATGCAGGCATCAGCACTGGGGGGGTTGAGGTCAGCGTGAATGTCTGCGCGTGACCTTTGGGTGAGCGCTAGAACCCCCTGGTGGGCCCGTGAGCATGGACAGGAGCCATTCCGCGACACTGTCCCCCCTACCTTCCCAAACCTTTATTCACCTGAACAGGGCCTTCTCCGCCCCCAGGATCTGCACGGTGGAGGCCGGGTACTTGGCCAGGTTGGTCAGCGACCCAGCGTGGCTGATCAGGCGCGCGCCCACGAGGTCCCCGATCAGCGCGGCCAGGTTGGGCGCCACGGCGTGCATCTTGTCGGCCAGGTAGGTGGCCAGCTTCTGCCGGTACTCGGCCAGCGAGATCACGCGCGCGGCAAAGGTCCCGATGTTCACCAGGTCGATGGGCGAGATGTCCTGGCCCATGGACATGCGCGCCGCCTCCACCACCTCCCGCGCCTTGTCTTCGTCGCCGATGATCTCCTGCAGCGCGCCCAGCTTGTCCTCCCCCAGCGTGGCCTTGTCCTTGATCAGCAGGGCCAGCTGCGCGTACTGGTAGTTGTCGCTCACAATCTTGACCAGCTCCGGGAAGTGCCAGGAGTACCACTCCCGCACGCGCATGACAAAGGTGTTCACGTCCTTGTCCAGCGTGTCCAGCAGCGCGATGGCCTGGATAATCATGTTGTCCGACTTGTGCACGTTGAACTTGACCTTGGCGCGGGAGTAGGAGTGGGCCAGGCCCAGCTGCGCGCGCGCGCTGTCGCCCTCCTCCAGCCCCCGGATGAAGGTGGTGAAGTGGGCGCGCACGCCGCGGATCAGCTCGCCTACAAACTCGTTGCACTCGCAGGGGACGGACGTCTCCTCCTGGATGGCGCTGCCCAGCTTGGGCTCCGACACGCCCAGCTTGAACTTGGCAGACGACGCCTTCTTCACCTTGGGCAGGCTGGAGGTCAGGAAGTTCTTCAGGTCCTCCGTCACCTAATGTATTTTCAGGGTAGATCATGGAGATTGGTATCAGAGGTTTGGATATATGTGGAATGAAATTGTTAATGTTTCAAGGGGACAGGAATGCATGGGGTGAGGATGGAGGCCAGAGGTACTAGGCAGGGGCAGAATGTAGAGCATGCTATGACCCATGGGCCCGGCGCTCATCGCGACATCAACATGCATGCATGTTCGACAGGGTGGGAGGGGCCCTAGCGCACCGTATCATATTCTACCCAACATTCTCCTTTTCATGAACCAAAGACGGCTATAAGATATTCCAGTCGCCACCAAACACCACACCGTGCACCATCCCGCTACCCAGGCGGGTGAGGGGCAGGACCCACCTGAGACTCGGACACGGCATTTATTTGCTCCAGCGCATTGGCGGCAGATGAGAATGGCCTGAAAGCCGTCAGCTTCACGGCCTTGCCGAAGCGAGACAGGTCTGTGACGGAGGCTTGCACGGCGTCCACCGAGGTGCCGATTTCGTCCAGGGCCGTCACCTCGAAGAGGGCATAGCCCGAGGCCGCCTCGAAGAGGAGGAACTGCGTCATTTTGGCACGTCTGGAAATACAGGGTGGGCCGGGAGGAGTGGTGTGCGATCTTTGAGAGGCCCCGGCCTGTGCGCCGCAGTGTTGGCGGGAGGGGGGTGGTGGGCGCGGAGTGCCAGCGGAGCACCAGAGGGGGCGAGCACCCCCCCCGAAGGGGAGGCTCATTGCCAGCCCTGCTGGACCCTGGACCGGCGCAATATGCTACTTTTGACTCTCATTTGATAAAAGATATCGAGCATGGCGCGTCCTGGCGGGCAGCGTGGCTCTCGGGGCCAGCCCCCCAAGCGCAAGAAGCGTGACGAGTTCTTCGAGGACGAGGATGCAGTGGACTTTTTCGAGGATGCCGGAGACAACCAGGCCGGGGAAGAGGCGGACGAGGGAGAACCAAGCAGCGATGAGGAGGAGACAGCGGAGCAGAAGCGGCTTCGACTAGGTGGGGCACCGGTGTGGTGTAAGCTGGGCAGGGTCATGGAACCCTTGCCTGGATGGTCCGGCCCTCTGACAGCCCTCCAATGACCTCCCTCCAACAGCCAAGGAGTACCTGGCCGGCATCAGGGCGGTGGAGGCTGCGGGCCGCGACGGGGCCGAGGACGGCGCGAGCGACGAGGACGGGCTGGACGCGGCCGTGGACCGCCGGCTGCGCCAGGACGCCGCCGAGGCCATGGGGTGGGCGCAGCGCGCCCTGGCGGCGCGTGTGGTGCTGCCCGAGGGCGTCCCCCGCTCCATCCCCGGGCAGAAGCTGCATAGGGGCCACTCCCAGAGCGTGACCGCGCTGGCGCTCACCGCCGACGACCGCACGCTCTACTCGGTGTCCAAGGACGGCACCATCCTCCGCCACGACATCGAGTCCGGGAACAGGTGGGGCGGAGGAGGAGCGATAGATGTTGCACCAGCTGGGGTTTGGGATATCGTTCATTCCCTTGAAATTTGGACTCGGAGCAATCCGGCCTTCCCTGGGATGACCTCCACGATCTATGATAAGGGCCGGCATGCATGCCAGTGCCCGATGCCAGCCTGCATGCCATGGCAAACTACAGCATCGAAGCCCTTGCCTCATCCTTCCTTCCCCCCCCCCATCTCCTCCCCACAAACAGGGAGCGCATGTCCTCCGGCGCGGCGGCTGGCCCCAGCGGTGCCCCCGCCGCCCACTGGGTCGTGCCCGGCGCCCGCCAGACCAGCCGCGCTGCGCTGCTCGCGTGCGCGGTTTCCTCAGACGGCGTGTACGTCGCGGCGGGGCGGCGGCTCCCGTGTGGTGCACGTCTGGGACACCCGCGCCGGCCTGGCACCCATAAAGTCCTTCCCCGGGCACAAGGACGCGGTCACTGCGCTCGCCTTCCGCCTGGGCACGCATGAGCTCTTCTCCGGGTCGCTGGACCGATCCGTGAAGCTGTGGAGCCTGGACGACCTGGCCTATGTCGACTCCCTCTTCGGCCACCAGGCAGAGGTCAGGCAGGGGAGGCAGGGGGGGGAGGGGGAGGGGGGGGAAAGGCGCAGCAGGGGTGCTTCCTACGTTGGATGGCCTGCATTGGTAAGCCTGTGCACCCAAACTTTGGGGTTGAGGGTCAATTGAGCAATATTTGGGGCCAGGAGATGCAGGTTATGGCAATTGCAGGATGAAGTTGATGCATGGGACCTGCAGGGCACCTAAGTCCGTACCTGACACACCCCCCCCCCCCCTGCCCTCCCAACCAATGGCTCAGGTGCTGGCCCTGGACGCGCTGCGCACGGAGCGCGTGCTCTCCGTCGGCGGCGACCGCACCTGCCGCCTGTGGAAGATCCCGGAGGAGACGCAGCTTATCTTCCGCGGCTACCACCCTGTGATCGAGAGCTGCGCCTTCACCAAGGGCGGCGAATGGGTGACCGGTGCGGCAGACGGCGCGCTGGGCCTCTGGAGCGCGGCGCGCAAGAAACCGCTGCAGAGCATCCGTGCCGCGCACAGCGCGGAGGCAGACGCCAGTCCCCTGGGCAGCATCGGGGGGAATGCGGCGGCGGGTGTCCTGTCCGTCGCCGTCTGCCCCGCTTCGGACCTTGTGGTGGGTACCGAGTGCGGGGAATCAGGAGCCCTGTGTGGTTGTGGAGGGGTGGATGACGCTGCATGCGGTCTGCCGATGATGTGTGATAGAAACTTGCTGGCCATTCGGACCCTGACCCATGCGAGTGATCCCTCTGTGATCGGCACCTGATTGCCCCGTGTCATGGCTCTCAAGACTCATACGATTTCCCCCCCTTGTTCTCCTTCCCCCCTCAGGCAACTGGAGCCGGGGACGGCCTGGTTCGCCTGTGGAGCCTGGACAAGGGCACCAAGGGGACCAAGGGCCTCAGCCAGCTGGGCGGGCTCCCCGCGCGTGGCTTTGTCAACGGCCTGGCCGTCGCGCGGAGCGGGCGCTTTGTGGCCGCCGGCATGGGCCAGGAGCCGCGCATGGGGCGGTGGGGGCGCGACGGGAAAGCACGGAACGGCGTCCTCATCCTGCCGCTCACGCTGCGCGCCGAGGATGCAGCCGAGGAGTGATTCGTGGTGAATGCCTGCACTCGCACATTTGGCGGCGGCACGAGCCTTTCCCTGGGCTGTATGTGACACACCACCCGCCTGTGTGACCTCCTTCGAGACCCCCGGTGGACTGTGATTCCATGTGCGCTCGCACGGCATGCCCCAGGGTCACAGCGAGCAACCAAGAAGGTGGTGGCAAACACGTGTGTCATTGTTTGCTGCGCCCAGCAAGAGAGGGGAGAAAGGGCCGGCAGGAATTCTGAGGCAAAGGGCGCCAAAGAGGGATGCCCATGGATGGGTGGGGGTCCCCAAAGTGGAAGCAGGCGCACCACAAAAGCCCTGCCGCGGTCCAGATTTCACGCAGCAGCCTTGCAGGGAGTGGCAGGCATCGCGTGGTGCCCAAGGACGCGGCCGCGCTGCAGAGTGGGGTGCGCTCCGTCTGTGGACCTGGCGATCCCGCCTTGCCACGACCCCTGCGGCCGAGGCCCCTCGAGAACCCTACTCCTGGTCTGCCGCCTGGTCGTCGCCCCCCTGCTCCCTCACCATGCGGTCCACCAGCGCCTGGAGCGCGGCGCGGTCCCGCTCCGCGACGTAGGACTGCGCAAACTGCTCCACCACGCTGCGCAGGAAGCTGGCGAGCATGAGGGCGGTGAGCGCGCCCCAGGGCGAGGGCAGCGCGCCGCGGGCGGCCGCCGCCAGCCGGCGCGGGTCACGCGCCGCGCCGCGCAGGCGCGCGGCCCAGGAGCGCACACTGGGCGGCGCAGCGGCACGCGCGGCCACGCCGTCCTGGAAGGCGGCGATGCGGGCGTTGACGACGGCGTGCAGCGCCTGCGCAGGCGTGGCGCCGCCCGGGCCCGGAGCCAGGAAGGGCAGGCGGGCCGGGGTGGCCGCCTCGATGGCCGCAAAGGCGCGCTCTCGGGTGCCTTCCCGGAACAGGGCCACGAAGAAGGCGGTCTGCCCCGCCACCTTGATCACGCCCTTGCCCAGCAGCGTGGCCCCAAAGAACTCCCAGAAGGGCATGAGGAAGTGGCCGCAGGTGATGCCGCAGAGGTCGAAGGCCGCGTTGGGGTAGGCCGCCAGCGCCAGGATGCCCCAGAAGCCGTGGCGCTGGATGAAGCGCAGCATCCAGTTCTTCATGGCCGCCACCAGGGCCGCCAGCGGGTCGCGCGCCTTGGCCGGGTCGGCCACCGCCGTGGCGGGGGCGCCGGGGCCCACCCCGGCGCCGCCCAGCATGGCCTCCACCTCGGCGCTGCGCTCGCCCAGGCGTGCGGCGTGGTAGGAGATGGCGTAGGGCGGGATCTCGCCCAGAGCGGTGCCGCAGCCCCACAGCACGCAGGTGCCGATCACCTTCCAGAACACGTCCCAGAAGCCCACGGGGCCGGGAGGGTGCGCGCCGCAGTGGAAGCCCTCGCTGGAGGACCAGGTGTCGCCCCGCGCGTCGAAGCGCAGGTGCCCGCACTGCTCGGCCGCCAGGCACACCTGAGAGGGGTGGGGGGAAAGGGGGTGGAAAGCGGGAATCAGGCCGGGCGGGTGGTAAGAATGAGCCGTTTGGGACGAGTGTCGAAGGCGGCAGGCAAGTAAATCCCGGCGCCCGGCGATTCCATGCCAGCATCCGCCATCTCCGGAACCAGAACATACAATGCATGCGCTGACACAGCCTGCACGCCCCCCTGACGGACCCCACCACACGGCACGCAGGCTACCTTGAGGATGTGCGGGAAGAGGAAGAGGAGGCCGGAGTGCATGCCGGTGCCCAGGCCGATGGAGGAGAGCACGCCCAGGCCCACCCACCACACGGCGTACTGCAGCCAGGCCTCCGCCTCGCCCAGCGCCCCCGAGGCCACCCCCGCGACCCTGAGCGCCAGGTACGCGGCGATGAGCGGGACGCCCAGGCCCAGGAAGAGGCGGTGGGAGGTGAGCCAGCGCACGCCGCGCCAGCCTGCGTCAGCCAAGCTCTTGCCGAACGCCAGGCAGGTGGGTAAGGGGGAGGAGAAGAGGGTCAGGCGGGAGCGGGAGGCGGCCATGCGGGATCGGACCTGAGATGTGAGGTGAGGGGTTGGGAGTGCGTGATCGCGGCGGGCGTGGCCCAGCGAGAATCGAATATGGACAGGGACAGGACCACCCCCAGAAGCCCTCTGACCTGCTCGATCACCAGCTGGTCCTCGGGCGGCAGCTTCGCCATGGCCTCGTGAAACAATGCAGGCATCTCGTGATAGATCGGGTAATGCTAGCGGCCGGGTGGTGCACCGCGGCATGGGCGCCCGGGCGGTCTCCTCCCTGGCCACCAGGGGTGCGCAGACTGGGACTGAATCACACGAGGAGATCCCGAGTGGTCGGTGGATTATTGATCAGTGTCGCAGATCAAAACTTGGAATTTGCAGCGTCACGATTTCGGGCCGTGAGTCCCTCGGGCCCGAAATTTGAGCAATCTCGACACATGCGGAATTCGGGGCGCCCCACAGCCTGTGTGCGATGGACAGCATGTTACCCCACCACATGCCTATCCCATGGGCCCCTGGTCCCGCTCGGTCGACTCTTGATCCTGAACCAGTCATGACAGCGTCTCTCACTGGCACAGAAAGCGTGAGGGTCAGGAAGGCGCCTCAGTACAGGCCCAGGACCTTCCACCATGCCCCTCCGACCACGCCAAAGATGAGGAGGTTGACCACCGCCATGAGTGCCCCGTAGCTGAACACCTCCTTCAGCTCCAGATAGCCTTGTGATGTTGATGTGCAGGAACGGAGAGTGAGACAGGTCCATCGGACTGGATGGAGGACGCCAGGAGCATTCGCACGGCGTGGTTCATCGTCAGGTTCCCATTAGAATGCTCTCGATCTCTAGGAGCTGTGCCCCTGCCCCACAACACAAGCCTGTCAGTCGCTCTCCAGGTCCCCCCCACCAATCCCACACACCTGCTCCATAGTACACGGCTGCCTGGCCCGACCCAAAGTGGGTGATGGAGCCAAAGAGGTTGCTCATGAAGCCCAGGGACAGCGCCCCGAGGACGGCGGGCACCCCCGCCACCTGCATCATGCCCAGGAAGGCGGCATACAGCGCGCCCACATGCGCGGTCTGGGAGGCAAACATGTAGTGCAGCGCAAAGTACGCGGCGTTGAGCAGGCCGAAGACGACGGGCCAGCTGAGGTTGGCGGCCACCAGCCTCTCCCCAACCGCCCCGGCAAAGTGGGAGATGATGCCAAAGGATGCCAGCTGCCCAGACATGCCCACCAGGACTGGGGTGCGATGGAAGGGGAATGGGGCTTGTTGAGCGGGTAGGGTTGATGTGGCTCTGGTTGCAGAGCCGCCACGCCTCCCTCACAAATCTTCTCGAGACCCCGGACCCTCACAACCAATCCTACGTCCCACCTGCGAACCAGAAGAGGGTGTCCCAAGCGGCCGGGTGCCCGATGCAATCCCTCCACGTCAGCACCCCCGTGGAGAGGAGGGCGCAGAGGCCCAGCATGGCCGTCACAACTGCACTGATGCCCAACATGTCCCCAGCCACCTGGGGCGGCGGTGAGATGGGGTTGCATCGTACACGAGCAGTACCCTTATGTGTTTGCATGGAAAGTGATGGGCGCTCTAGGGTTTGTAGGGACAAAGGACCCAAGCACCAGCAGTGGCCACCACGGGGTGTGCTCGAATGCTCAAGCATGCCCTGGCACCCCAAGAGCCACATCACAAACAGTTCCACACACAAGCCCTGTCCACAGCAGGGTGAATCGCCGTGAGCAGACCTCCCCTTCTGAAAGCAAATCAGACATCCACACGCACAAGACCTCCCACTCACCCAGAGGCAGACCGCGGCTCCCATGGTGGCCAGCATGATCCTCTCGTTGGTGGACATGGGTCCCATCCTCGTCAGCTGCTCTTGCGCCAGCTGCAGCAGGATGACAAAGTTGAGGCACTGGGACCCAGGCAGGGGCGTTTTGTGGGCTGCGACCAGACTCTGGGCCCCATGCCCTGCGAACAACCTCACTACTGGACACCCATCCAGGCATGCACGTTAGCTTTCCCATGCCCACGATCGCCTCCACCCCTGGCAACAGCCTCACCTTTGGGGCCTCGGGTGTGTCCTTGACAGAAGGGGGGAACAGCTTGTACATGATCAGGGGTGTGAGCAGCAGACCGGTCAGGGCTGGGAGCGATGCGGCCTGCACAGGAATGGGAGCGTTCTGATGAGATGTGTGCTGTCGCAGGGCATGGGGGAGCTCGCAGCATCGCGTGTATGGCAGCACACCCCACACACTGCCGCGCCCGCGAGTGCCACCCCTCCACTTGCCTTGAACCAGGTGGTCCAGGCGCTGGGCACGACCACCCCCAACTCGGCCGCCAGCTTCATGCATAGCAGGTTCTGGGCAGCTGCCGTGAGAAACAGGGCCGAGGAGCAGGTGGAGCCCTGCAGCTGGTTCATCACCAGGAAGGCCCCCAGCTTGCGCCGGGAGGGCGTGTCTGCAGGGAGGGATGGGGGACACCAAGGGGTCGAGATCATCCTGGGATGGATTGCGGGGCTGGAGAAACGCCAGGCAGGGGCGAGACAGTGACCCTCTGTACATTCAGGTCACCAAAACGTGTTCCTGTTCGGTGTGCGGCGGCGCCTAGAGCGCTCTGGATCAACACAAGCAACATGCTAGGCTCGCGCCGGGGCGAGCCACAGTCATGTAGCCACGGCAGCCATCGCGCTCCACCCATAGTCCCCCGTGCCCAATGACCAACTCACTGGGCTTGCTGTCTGCCTGCTGGGAGAGCGAGGCGATGATGGGCATGAAGATGCCGCCGGCACGCGCGGTGGTGGACGGCATGGCAGGAGCGATGACGGCCTCGGCAGCTGACAGCCCGTACGCCAGTCCCAACGTGGACTTGCCTGCGGGTCAACATGGTTGATGGACCGGCTGGGGCACCGAAGAAGCACTCTCTGCGACAGGTATTTCCGACGCCGTGATAAGTACAGATCCAGGGAACAGCATCAGGGCCTTCTCCTCACCAAAAAACTTGACAAAGATGGTGGCGACCCGCTGGCCAAGTCCCGTCTTCTCAAAGCCCTGCCGACAGATGTGCAGCCGGGGTGTGTGTGTGTGTGTGGAAGGGCGCAAGGGTGGATGGGTGGTGTAACCCTCGGGAACAGGGGTCCACGAAACCTCGCCAGCCTGGCTGGAGGCACCCCCCACCCTTGCCTTCATCCCGGCTCTGCCGACGGTCCCGCACACAAGGCAGTCCTGGAGCAGAACTTTCGCACCTTGGCAAAGAAGAAAGACACCACGATGAGCCAGATGACGTCGTTGGTGAATGCGGTGAAGGCCTGTGCAAAGGTGAGCGTCTTGGTGGCCACCGCGGTCGTCACGCCCAGGAAAGCCCAGGCCCCAACAGGGAGCGGCTCCAGGACGAGGCCTGGGACGGGAGTGGAGCAGAGAGGGTCATGGCTTGAGTGTCCCAGCCAGCACCTAAGTGCAGCAGCTGCGCAATGCACCAGATTCTGGGAATTGCACGCATGTCCATGCCACACTCCGCTGCACCAGCCCCAGCATAACGACCTGCAATGGTGCTGACAAAGATGGACAGCAGCGTCCAGGCTTGCAGAGAGATCTCAGGGGGGATGGGCACCAGGAAGCGGACGGCCAGGCCGAGGCCGATGGATGCCAGCATCGGCACCGGCTTTGCACCCTGAACATGAGTGCACGGAGGTGGGGGGGTGGGTAAAGCCGGCCAGGCACGCAGATTGGCGAGGAATTTGGGAATTCATTGAGCAGATGATTGCAAGAACATCGCAGGAGAGGCACTGAAGGCAACAAGTGCTGCTAAGCGCTCATTGGCACCATCTTTCGCCCGCCTCCAGGGTGCCCTCCTCAGTACCTGCCAAGCCCGAGGCTCGGACGGACTCGCGACCGAGCCGCCGGCCGAGGCTGAGGCTGAGGCCAGGAGTGGCAGTGTGTGATCACGCACAACCTCCATGGGGTGGTAGATGGGGCTCATCCTCCCGCGCCTGGCGGGTCCGAACCCTAGCCTGCGGTAAGCATAACAGCACGACTCGAGTGGTGAAGGCGTGGCTTCATCCCATCGGAAAGGCACCCAGGAACCTACTTATTTGTAGTACTGAGGAAGTTTGTGAAGGCCCGCTGCTGTGCCCTGCAGCCGGAGGTCACGAGGCACCGCGGAGGGCGCGCGGCAGGTCGGCTGCTGCCCAGTCCGAGACACTGGATGGCTGGCATTGTGCCTTCCTAATGGTAGTAATGAGCACGATATACAGCTACAGACCTGGGATCGGAAGAGACTGGCCCAAAGTCCGCATGGTGGAGCTAAGGCCATCGGGTTAAGTGGTCGCCCCACGCAGGCGCAGCAGGGATGGACTGGATTCTGGATGCAGCTGATCAACCCCTGCCAACAAGCACCGATGTTTTTCGATGACCTTCCAGTATGGTTTAGACTGGAGGCCGCGCGATCGAGCCGAAATAGCAAAGTCTTCGAGGACGGCGAGCAAGGTGCCCAGTTCCGCAACCTTGGTGACAGGGCCGCAGGCAATCTACCGGGCCTGACGGTCGTCAATACTCTCTATTCCATATTGCGAGACGGTAAACTAACAGTCTCTGAATTCTGCAACCAAGGGGCTGGTTTCCCTTCATGCTGTCGCATCCGCAGCGTCTGAGCACCTGTTTCACAGCACGCCAAACTCCTCCCGCTCGTGCCCGCAACACCCTCGTCCCCAGGGTGCGTACCTTCGTGTCATGGCCATAAGAACAAACTTTCTTCTGCGCCTACGATTGCGCGTGCTGCTCCCAATGAGTGTGGTGTATAAGATGGATTAACACCGCTGCATAAGGGATACCACTCTGTCGGCTACATCGCAGGTTGGCAGGAGGCCTTTCCGCAGGACTGCCAAAGCCTTTGCTGCGGCCGGGGCCGCGCCCAGTGCATCATCCGACGACCCTGCCGAGGAGAAGGTATCCTTGGAAACTGCGCTGCGAGAAGCCCAGGAAGCCCTGACTTTCGTTGAGGAGTTCCAGGGTCGGGTTACCTCCCTCCCCAGCGCCCGCCTGCCCACGACGGTGAGGAAAAAGGGACTAGGGATCTGTGTGAGAAACCCTGCTCACAGCTTTCTTTCTGTATGCAGCTGTGTGGTAGAGGTAGGTGCAATGCGGTCAGCACGCCAGGCTGGCATGGCACGGCAGCTGTCTTCACAGCCCATCAGCTCTCCCTGCATCTCCCCGCACACACCTTTGGATAAGAAACCCCCACCCACCTACCTCTGCTGCCCCCAGCTAGACATGGTGTTAGCCAAGCTGAAGCCCGTCCTTCAGGTCGCCGGCCTGGTGGCGCTGTGCGCCGCCATCCACGCCCTGGGCATCCCCGGTCGCCTGGTCGGCGGCCTGACCCTGGCGCTGTCGGCCGCCTCCTGGGGCCTGTCCCGGGGTTCCCTGGACCGCTCCGGCGCGGCAGCTGCGGTGGTGGTGGGCTGGATCACCATCGCCACCTCCATGACCGGCGGCCTGCTCCTCCTCACCTTCTTCGTGGCCTCCTCCAAGCTCACCGCGCTGTGCGACCACGAGAAGGAGCTGGACGACGACCACAAGCCCGGGGGCAACCGCGACTGGACCCAGGTCCTGTCCAACTCCGCCGTGCCCACCGCGCTGCTGGCGGCCGCCGCGGCGCTGGGCACCGCTCCCACGCTGGGCCCGCGCCACCTGGCGGCGCTGCATGCGGCCGTGCTGGGCTACTACGCCTGCTGCTGCGGCGACACCTGGGCCTCGGAGATCGGCCAGTTGTCCGACGCGCAGCCGCGCCTGCCCTGGGGCCGGCCCGTGCGCCCGGGGACAAACGGGGGCGTCACGCCGCTGGGTACCGCCGCCAGCGCCGCGGGCGGGCTCTTCATGGGCGCCATGGCCGCCGTCGGCTGCCTGGTCAGGCCGGGCAGGGCCTGGGGCTGGGCCGCGCCCACGGGGCCCCTGTGGGGCGTGCTCCTGATGGGTGAGTGGGGGCGGACAGAAATGTGTGTTGTTTGGATGGGGTGGAGGTGGGACCTGGAGGAAAAGGGTCGGCGGAGGCGGTTGCAGCGGGGAGGCAGCTGGTCTGTGCTGCCGCATCTCTTGGGCGCCTGAGTGGCCGGCGTCTGTGCTCCAGATGCACCCCAGCCTGCACCACCGGAAGAACTCTCAATCCTGTACCCTGCGCATCCCTTCAATCTACCCCACCCCAACCCTCACCGTCCCTGCATCGCGCTCCAGGCCTCGTGGCAGGCGTCGGGGGCTCCTTCCTGGACTCCATCCTGGGCGCCACCGTGCAGTTCACGGGGTACAACCGGGACACACACAAGGTGACGAGCCAGACGGGGGAGCACATCTCCTTCATTGCCGGCCGGCCCTGGCTGAGCAACAGCGGGGTCAATGTAGCCTCGGCATGCGGCACCGCGCTGGCCTGCGCAGCAGCCACGCTGGTCTGGGCAGTGTGAGGGCTGTGGGGGCGAGGAAATGCACATTGGCATGAGCCTGGTGGGAGGTGGTATGACACCTGAGCATGCACGAGCCTTTTGGCACTATGGAGCCGGCTTGTGAGTTGTTTCTTCCCGGCGCCAGCAGGAAGTGGGGGTGAATGTCAAGTGTCAGAGTGGTGATGTGGATGTGCGGTTGCTGCACTGGGGCTGCCGAGACGACGAGGCCCGAGCCCTAGCGCTTCGTTAGGAGTTACGTTCGTACACCGCCGCACGCTACCATCACATTATCCCCCTCATCACAGGACGTGGGTACTTGTTGCGTCTCAACGAATATTTGAACTTGTGCAAATTTGGCACTTGAACCCTTGCGCTGCGCTCGAGAAGCGCCGAGGGGAGGCGAGACCCGACGAAACCCTGGTGCTCGCCGGCTCGACGCAAGCTTCCTGATCACACCCGAGAACCCCGGACACGATTACACACCGTCGTTCCCTGGCATGGGAATCAGCTTTTCCAAGCGGGCGTGGCGCGCACAGCATTTGCCGGACACCGAGTTTGCCGCGGAGGGCGAGGACACGAGCACGGTCAACACCAAGCGGCTGGCCAGATTCATCAAGCAGGGCTTCCTGGCCCCAATATGGTCTCGAGAAGGAGAGGAAGACCCAGAGAATGTGAGTGTGCTGTGCAGATCGCGGGGAAGGCCGGTGCTGTAAGGGACCGCATGCATTGGAATGTCATGGAGCCAGGTCCTCCTTCTGGGGCATGTTGACTCGGCCCTGGCAGGAGTCCAGCTCGAGCGTGCCCTGTGTATGTGTCATTCTTCGCAGTATACCGCTCACACGTGGCCTGCTTGCCAGCCGCCCACCCATGGCCCCTCCACACAACACCCCCCCATGCAGGACCATGAGTGCCCCATCTGCTTCCATCACTTTCCCACCCTCAACAGCACCACATGCTGCAATCAGAGCATATGCACGGAATGTTTCCTCAAAGTGAGTGTGGGGGTGGAGTTTGGGGTCAGTGTGAGCCAGCTGTGTGGGGGCAGCTTTCACAGATGTTACAGTTTGAGATGGGAGGCTGGCATCTTCCGTCAGGCTCCGGGACAAACACAGATTGCATCGTCCACCAGAACACGGTCATGCGCATACCGTTCTCATAAGCTCCTCCCCTCCCCCCCCTTCCCTCTTACAGCTCGTCCAACCCCAGCCTGGAGGTTCACGGTATGGCAGCCCTTGCCCCTTCTGCAACAAGGTTGGGTTCCACGTGTACTACTCGCCCATGGCGCTGAGTCAGCGCAAGCAGCTGGAGGCCGAGGAGCAGATGCGCGTGAGCGAGACCCAGCTACGCTCCATGCTGGTGCGGAGGACCGTTTGCTGACACATGCATGCTGTGGGTGGGGTGGGGTGGGGTTGGGGGGGCGATGGCTGAGCTGACCGCAGAGGTCATACCATATTCTGATCGTCCTCTGCGTCGGGCGGGCTCCATCTTATTGGACCCCATGCCCCCATGCACAGGAGCGCCAGGCCACAAATCCCTCACCAACCTACCCCGCTGGCACGCCCCCGTCTGTGGTGCTGCGCATCAGCCCCTCCCAGAAACCCGAGTGGGAGTCGTGGCCGGAGGCCACCCCGGCCGCCCCTATGCAAGACGGAAGCACTGACGAAGGCGCATCCGTCCGCGACCCCGGCGCCGCGCCATTGGCCGAGCACGTCGGCCACGGGCAGGTGCTGGCCGCCCCCACGGCTGCTGTGCTGGCGAGGCAGGTCCAGCCTGGGCCGGGGCCCGAGTCCGTTGGGGCGTCCCATCGCCGGCACAGGAGCTGGGGCCCCAGCCCCAGCGTCGCTCGCTGCACGCCCGTGCTGCACCGTCAGAGTGTGGGTTGGCACCAGCTGACGGGGCACGGTTCCAATGCCTCGCTGGCGGGCCTCGCCTCGGCCTCCTCCCTTGGGGGGATTGAGTCTGCCGCCTCCGTCCAGGACGCGGGTGCGCTGGAGGAGCTCCTCGAGCGGGAAAGCAGGCCGGCAGGCGGGGAGGACGCTGTGGCCCGCTGTGGAATGTCTGGCGGCACTGAAGACGCAGCAGCCGCAGCCCGCGACAGCGGCGTCCCGCCGGCAAGCCATGCGTCCACCTGCCAGTTTCCCACCCTGCAGCCTGGCCCTGCGGAGTCCTTCACGCTCCATCAAACCTTGAGGGCGGGCATGGCCCTGCAGGAGCCCGCCGACGCCACGCCCGACGCGCCGCATGATGTGCAAGTGTCCGCCGCATTTGACCCCGGCCGGGGGGGGCCCGTGGTGGTGGTGGACCCGGATGGATCCAGCCTGCTGTATCTCCTCACCTGCGATGCCCTGCCGGAGGAGGAAAGGGCGGCGCTGGCCGCTGCTGCCGACGCAGTGCTGACGCCCCAGGGGCTGACCACCTACAATGTGAGTCTTGAAAGGCTGGGATGGCACCCCCCCATGCACTGAGATGTGGTCACAGCTGGGCCCCGCCGGCCTGCTGGGAGTTTGTGCATGCAGCGACTGCTTGGGACATTAACACAAGGGTCTGACCTCCCACACTCCGCTTTCCTTTCCAAATGCACAAAAGGCACCGGTGAGCGCGTACGACGACGCTCTGCGGGCCAGCATTGCGCGAGCGGATGCCCTCTTGCTGGCAAGGACGGCGGCCAGCTCTAGCCAACCGGGCCCCGATCCTGCGGCAGCCGACCCTGTCGGCTGGCTGGAAAGGATGGCTGCGGCAGATGCAGCTCTCAGAGCCAGCGTGGAAGGCTCCGACCGCGCGCTCTTCAAGCCTCAATAGCTTGCTGGGCACGTGTATTTAAGCCAGGGCTGGAGCTCTGTCATCGTTGTACTTCTTGTGTATGTATTGGCAAGCCCTGCTCATGGACGTGGAGCTTCTCTGGGTACTCATCTTGATGCATGTATGAGACTGGCATTGAGCCAGGATCACCTGCAGGGTATTTTTGCTGGCCATAGGATATCTCCACTTCTTCACACCCCATCCCCAAGTGCCTTGTGAGTGGCGCGAGACGGCGTGCATGAGAACATAGTGCATTCTTTTATATTCGGAGATCAGCTAACAGCAAGGAGTTGCAGACAGGGGATGCACTCACAAGTGCTGGTGCCAGGGGGAGATGCTCCTGACCTCCAAACAGCGACATCATCGATGACCCTGGGACAACGCGATGAGTGGAGCTCCGGCTATCCGACAACGCATTCATCAGATGCTGCCAGACTTGGGCGCCCTGATTCCCAGGGACTGCAGCACATGCTCATACTTTGGTCGGTCGGTAGACTGCAGGTAGAGGAGGAGCTGCTTGCGGCGCGACAGGACCTGCATCAAGCCTCTCCGCGAGGCGTAGTCCTTCTTGTGCTCCTGCAGATGGACGGTCAGCTGGGCGACCCTCGCGGTCAGGCGGGCGATCTGGACCTCAGACGACCCACTGTCGGTGGAACTCCTCTGGAAGGCGGGGACCCTGCTCAGGTCAGTGCCCTTGCCGCGGTAGCGAGCACTGCATGGGAAGTGTGGGGTGCAGGACTTGAACAGGATAACCTCCGCGCTCCGATACCGTGCGTTTCCTGGCAGTCCAGGAAGTCAGACGCACGCTACTCACGGACGTGCGAGTGTTAAGAGTTGAATATGCGTACCTGATCTGGAGAGATGGAGGTGGTCCTGTCCGAAATACAGAGGGCGAGCTCCTCACTTGCGTGAGCACAACGGGACCTGGCAGACGCAACAGTGAGGATGGGTATGGCTTAGATACAATGACTTGAGATGGTATGTAGTGGATTGCGCCCACACCGCGGAGACCTGCAAGGCCTCAGCGCAGAGTCAGGCCACTCACGGTGGGACTGCAAGCCCTGCAGAGACGTGCACGCCGCGAGATACGCCATGTCGGTCAGCTCCTTGCTCAGATACCCTACTTCGAAGACCTCAACGGGGCAGCACACATGCATGTGCAAGGTCGGCATGAGGGCAACAAGCGCAGGGCCTGGCGCCAGCCGTGGAGAAGTGGATTACGTTCCCGCTTTCGATCCACAACATCGGCAGTGGTCGGGGGGCTCGGGGAGGCCCTGCATGGCCGGTCAGCGCCTAGGGCTGGTTCTACATCTCATAATTTTCTAGTTACATCTCATTCCAGAGTGGTCGGAGGAACGTCGCGGAGGATGTCGATGGTCGCAACCTCTCCGCTGGTCGGTACTGCTGCACAGCGGGGAGTCTGGGCCCCACAAGCGGTGAGTGCATGTAACTTCCAAGCCAGACATGCAAACCAGCTCAATGCAGCGAATGTTTATATCCCAACTGTGCATACTACCACCCCTGTTCCAGACGAAGCACTCCGGCTTTTTTGGAGCTCGCCTGCCCAGCCACGCTGCCCGTGCTCCACGAGCCAGCTCGGGCACCGCCTCGCCCCTCACAACATGTAGGGGATGTTATCGGGAGGTTGCTGATGCAGGTGTGGGCTTGGGACCATGGTAGCAGCTGGGCCCCAACCCCCCCACACCTGCCTTCACCTCACCACCCACTCGTCCCACGGCAGGCGTGGCGGCCACGCCCTCGGCCCCGCCCCAGGCGCGGGACCGCTGGAACATCACGTACTACCCCAAGGGGGCTGACGCAGCGGCGTTGCAGAAGCAGTGGTACATCATCGACGCCGAGGGCCAGACCTTGGGCCGCCTGGCCACGCTGGCGGCCACGCACATTCGCGGGAAGAACAGCCCCGCCTACTCCCCGTCCATGGACATGGGGGGTTACGTCATCGTCATCAATGCAGAAAAGGTGGCCGTGACGGGGCGCAAGGAGACAGACAAGACCTACTTCCGCCACGCCGTCGGCCGACCGGGGAGCTGGACGGTGGAGACGCTGCGGGACCTGCGCAAGGTCAGCGATGAGGAATGGGTGGGGCGTTTTGAGAGGGTGTGCCGACATTATCATGCGTGTGAAAGTGTTCATCTGGAGCGTTGACCATATCGCTGGCCTGACTGTCCCAGCAAGGGCCAAGCCTGGAGCGGCTGGTTCCCTCCCCTTCTCAACCACCCTCCCACCCTCCTCTCACCATTTATGGCCTGCAGCGCATCCCGGAGCGGATCCTGGAAAAGGCGATCCGCGGGATGCTGCCCAAGGGCAAGCTTGGGAATCACCTGTTCAGGCACCTCAAGGTGGGGAGGGGGTGGTGGATATTGTCGGCTGTGTGCATGTGCACTGCTTGCTGCCTGGCAAAGTGTGATCTTTAGAGAACCTGCGTGCAATTCAATGCCGACGCTTCTGTGCATGCTCACCCACGATTCTGCCCTTCTTGTACCTAATAACACAGGTTTACAAGGGCGCCAGCCACCCACACGTGGCTCAGACGCCCACGGACATCACCCGCCACATCAACCTGAGACCCTCGGAGGTGGCTGCCCTGAAGGAGTGAGCATGCAGGATGCACGCTGGCACGCTGTAAAGAATTCGCCAACAGTGTGTCTAGAGGGCAGCAGGGATTGAGGTGTCGCGCATGGGCTGTGCATCACGAGTGTCAGAGCCGAAGGGTCACCTGCATGCCAAGAATCTGGCTGCTGAGATGGCTTGGCAACCAGGAGCAATCTTGATCCCAGCACGAGCCACCCGAGCGTCCTGCCAGAGAAGGCTGGACGCCTTCCACATGGAACTCAGGACTCAGCACCCGTGGCCGCAGAGTTGGCCGCCCGGCTGCGGGCCGCTCGCTGTTTCCTCCTCTCCTGGGCTTTGGCCACCCACGGCGCCGGCTCGGTATTGGTAGGGTCCCGCTCGCAGCGTCGGTAGTACTCGCTCCAGGCAGCCGTGTAGGTGGGAGGCATGGCCCCACCCTTGAGGAAGGACCAGCCCTGGCCTGCCCTGGACTCGCGCCCTGCGTGGAGACTGGCAGAGCCACTTGACGCAGTGGTGTGAGGCGACGGATCCCACCTGCCTGTCCCGGATACTCGCGCAGCCCGCATGTGGTCGGGAGAGGACAGCTCCCTGCCACGCCGTCCAGTCCATGAGCATGACCCGGTCCCACAAAAGCAATCCCTTGCTCGACAGCCCTTTTTCTTATCGCACATGCTGCTCGCTGGGCGCCGGTGGCATCCAGAGGGAACTCGTAGATGAGGGCTGGCAGCCAGGTCGCTGGATCCACGGATTTCAGGTCCTTCAGACCCAGCCGCAGAGTCTGCAGGCGCCGGCTCCGTTCCCGGAACGAGCAAAGGGGGGCCTGGATGTACCGTGTGCCTGTGTGGCAAGCAGACGTGGGGGTGGTGGCGACCCTGAAGGATTGCCGCATGCCCCACAAAACATCATCCACTGATGTAGACGCACTGATGCAGACCGTGGCCTGTGCGCCCCGCAAGGGAGGCTCATGGTTTCCTTGAGAGGAGGAGACATGTGCGGTGGCCGGGCCCCACCGCTCACCATCCAGGGTAGCATCCCACGCAAAGTGGGTGTGCCCAAAGATGTGGATGTCGGGGCGGAGAGCCGTCACGCGAGCCTGCAGGGCATCCGACCCAGACACGGAGGGGAGCTCGGGGAAGAACAAGAACCGTTTTTCGGGGAGGAGCTCCTGTGCGTGTTTGGTGTGGAGTGCGAATGGTTTGATGCTCAGGGATACAGCCGCCACGGACATGGATGGAGGGTCAGAGGGGACCAGGGCCCCAGATGATAGTCCATGGTTGTGGCATCGTCCACTCTGTGCGACCCTTGCATGCCTGGCCCCATCAGGGAGGTCTCCCCTTGCTCCTGAGCACGAGCAGGTTTCCCTGACCAGCAGACCTCGCCCTCCACTCCACTTCCATCGAGGCCCCACCACGCCGCACCTCCCGAGGCAGGAAGTGGGACATGGAGATGACGTCATGCTCGCGGACCCCGGCCAGCGCCGCTGCCCAGCCCTCCCCCTCGTTCTTCGCGTCAAACCAGCGCGCCAGGCCCGGCCCGCCAACGCTGCCGGCGCCCGGGATGCTGTCGGGCCAGACACAGGCGGAGTAATCGGAGAAGGCCCACGCGTGGCGCTTGCCCCCCATGCCAGGCTCCCGGTCCCAGGAGGCGTGGTGCCAGCTCAGCAGCGGCACCACCCAGGCCGTGCCGTGCAGGAGGAAGGGCCGGGTGCGGACGTCGTACTCCCGGCACAGGCCCTGGATCTGGTCCAGCTTTGCCGCCGAGTCGTGCAGGCCCCTGGCTCGATCCACGGGCCGGACCCATAGCTCTGTGTATTGAGGGTGGTTTGTACGTGCAAGGGACACAGGGAGTTTCAAGAAAAAGCACCATCTTGCAGATCAGGTAAGGACGCAACACTGAGGGTCGGTGACAATTCTTCCCCACCTCCAATTCCTTCCTGCAGTGCGCCAGGAAGCATGCAACCCGTATCAGCATGCAGATGTGAGCCTGGCCACACCAGCGCACCGTGGTTGCCGGGGACGTAGACGACCATCCCAAAGGCGGAGGCCAGGGTCTGGAAGGCCCATTCCACGTTCTCCAGCTTGTCAGAGGCATCGCCGGCAAAGAGGAGAACATCATCCCTGCATCAAGAGAGCGTGCCTGCCGATAAACCCTCCGCTGGACAAGACATCATGGCACTGAGCGACTCCCAGCTGGGGGCTGGAATGGTTGGACATTGTTCAACGATCATTGTCCATGCTCAAGGCCGTATCAAACCAAGGTCAAATTGTACTGGAAACAGCATGTACCAAGGGTCTCCAACATCAAGGAGCAGCGACGCCCTGCACCTCACACGCACACGGTGGCTCCAGCTGACATCTCCCTCAGGCAGTCTTTATTGGCTGGGGTGTCCACATGGAGATCGCTGACTGCCCATACCCGACACACACGGGGTTCGGTGGTGCTCTGAGTCGCCGCTGACGCCATGCACAAGCGTTTGGCTGGGCTCTGCCGGGACCTCCCATGCATGTGGCTGGGCTGGGTAGGCAGGGTAGGGGCCACAGACGGCGTCCATGTCGCGAAACGCGCAAGAATGGCTGGCATTCCACAGATTCTGCGATCCTCCACGTCACATCATGAGAACGAGTGAACATGGCTGCAGGCAACACCCCGATCGCGAGGAAGGAGGCACTTTGGCCCAAGCATGACGAGAGCGGTCGAGCAACCCGGGGTATGAAGCGTTCTATGTCAATTATGGTCCTAAATCATGTGTATGGGCCATTGGAGATTGATCGCTCTTCAACCTTCGATGAGAGCTTGCATTCATGGGATTCATCCTGTGGCCAAGCTCCAAAAGGGAGCAAACATACCCTTGTTGGCCGTTGTCCGTGCCCAGAGTCTGCGCTCTAGGGCATTTGACACACCGTGCCTTGGATTCGAATCCCGCGCCGTATTCTCTTGTATGTGCGAGCAATTTCATAGGAGGCCTTCGCACTCAGCCTGTAATCCCACTGTCATTGGTGCTCCCGGCGAAGATATTCTGCGTTCATCCGTACAGCCTACGCGTGCAAGTCTTAACTCGCAGGGGCCGATCAAACATCTTGTAATGTTGTAGACGTACTCCACACCTTGATCTGGTGATGATGCGTGGTCCCGGAACGACATATGTCGCTTGCAACCGCTGATTACAGCTCAGGCGACCCCTGCAAACGGCCGGAAGCAAGAGGAGCATCACCATGGCGAGCATGGACGCGCTGCTGTGCGGCGGAGTGGTGTGCAACAACCTGCCGTCCCTGTGCTGCGGCGACAAGGAGCCCCTGCTGGAGCCCCTCGAGGTCGACGGCAGCCGGTTCAGCCATGCCTCTGTCCTTTGGCAGCGCACCACCTCGAGGCTCTCCACCAAGGCGGAAGAGGGAGCAAAGGGGAACCAAATCGTGCTCCTCCTGGAGTCCTTAAGAAAAGGAGAGGTGTTAGCATTCCAGGCAAGGCGGATGGGAAGATCAAGTGTGTGGTGAGGCAGAGCCAATGCCCTTCCAAGTGAGCCCGCTCCAGCTCGCCGATCCGAAGGACATGCATCCCCCCAACCCCTCTGCCGCGCAGATCACGGTGCTGGTCACCACCCTGCTGCTCCAGGCCTACATCATCGCCCTGCTGGTGCTCAAATTCACCAGGCACCAGACCCTTGCCGTGCTGCAGCAGCAGCATCGCTGGTTCAAGGCACAGCTGATCCTGTATGCAGTCACGATGCTGGCGACCTTGTACGTCGGCATCCGGCTGGCTGCTCGCTTGAGGCTCATCAGGAAGCAGCCCCAAAAAGTCTGGTGGGTCCTAGTGCTGGGTGGTGAAGCCTGAAGATCCCGTGTGCGGTGGTGGGATCGCCGCCGCCTCGTGGTCACAGGCCTTTGGCGGCATGACCGGCGCAGACCAGAGCTGGGGCCCTCAGACTCTCAATGCCATATCGGCCCCTTTCGGTGCAGGTCGCGGCGCCAGAAGATCCTGGTCATTGACGCTGTGGTCCTCCTGTGCACCCAGGTACAGCGAGCGGCAGCGAGCAGGGTGCCCATTTCTGCAGCATGCTTCCAGCGGCCTGCCAGGCCCACCTGCCACGCCTGCTGTTGGCTTTCCCCTCTGCTCCTGATGTGCCTTGACCCTGTTCAGAACGAGAGCTGTCATCGCCCTCTCCTCATCCATGCGCCGCCCTGCAGTTCATGCAGCAAGTCTGGGCGATGGTGCCCCTCGTCATAGGCCTCGTGCGAAAGTGCTCCTGGTTCTCAAAAGACGTCAGCGCCTTTGCATTCCTGCGGGAGATAGCCCTGATCACGGTGAGGGTGGTGGGGTGTGACTGGAGTGTGGTGGTCGAGGCCGGGGTATGGTGGTCCCTGTCCATTCGGCGAGGCCGACTCGCGGCCACTTGGAGATATCAGTGGCAGGGGGTACCAGGGCCAGGGGTCTTCTACCGGATGACAGCCTCACTCGGCCCAAAGCCCACTGCCCCTGCTTTGCCACAGGTGCTCGCGTGGATGTGCAGCATGGTGCATGGCATGACACGGTGGAAGGGAAAGGGCGCCTTTGACATTGGTGCAAAGCCCAAGCTCGTGGTGGACTTGCCCATACGTGCCCAGCTGCGGCTGCACATGCCCCTCATTGCCTACACCGCTGTCGTCATGGCCATGACCCTCGTCCGGCTGATCTACAGGGTGCGCTTGCAGAGGTGGACGTGAGGAAGGGTTTGGCCGGGGTGGGCTGAAAAAAGATCTATGGCGGGGTTCACATCTGCATGGTAGAGAGGTGAGTCTGGGAACATGCCCGAATGTCGTCCCATCAGGCGACATCGTCAGCACCGTCCCAACACCCTCTGTCTCCCCCTCCTTAAATCTCCAGGAAACCTCTGTGCTGGCCGATATTCCAGCTGGGCAGTGTCCAACGGGGAAGTTTTCATGCAACGTTTCGAAAAGTGAGACCAGCATCGAGCTGGGTGATGGATGCCAGAGGCGCATGCACATCCTCGCACTCAACAGTTCCCACCTCCTCTTGCAGCTGAGAAGGCCGCCATCATCCTTGCGACCATTGGCCTGCTGGGTTACAGCGGGATATACCTCTATTACCTCTGGCGAGCCACACGAGACCACAGGCGGCTGCCCTACGCCCAGTTCAGGCTGACGTTCCTTTACCTCCGCATGCATGTGCGTGGGGGGGGTGAAGGGATGAATACTCGTCAAGGATTGACGTTGATGGGGTGTAAGTACCAGGGAAGGTTGAGGATAGGTTATGCTGGCCTGGCCTCCGCATGACTGTGACTCCGCTTACCCGAGAGGACCTGCCTCCCTGGGTTTCAGAACTCTCCTTCCTACTCCACAGGCACGGCATGGGACCTTCATCATGGGTTTCATGCTCATCACCATTGCCATCGTCCAGGCAGGTCCAGGGTGGGCAGGGCCACCATCTTGTCATGCTGTTCACCGACACTCTGCAGAGGGACAAGCCTGGCTCCCCAACCCCCACAATGCAATGTGGTGCAAGGGCCTGAGATTGGAGGCAGGAGTTGCTAAGGCCCGTTGTAGCATATCAACTTTAGATCCCTTTTCTCTTCGTCCCGTCTTCAGTTGATAGAGATCGATTCGTGCTGGACGTACATTGCACTGCAGTTTGGCAGCGTGCCCACCCAAGTTGCTTTCACCGTGAGTCTGCTGTTCCTGGCTTCTAAACGTCGGGCACGGGGGGAAGGGACATTCTGGCGGCCACACCCAGGGTTTGGCTATCACTGGCATTTGCATGCGCTCACCATCCCCCCCTCCCCCCTCCTTTACTACCCTCATCCCTTACCGCCTTCCCCTTTGCCAATGCACCCAGATGCTGGTGGTAATTTTTGCCATCCTGCTCAAGCCCCGGAAGCGGGACCTGGGGCACACTCTGGAGGTGGGGCGCTGGAGCTGGTGCATGGTTGGCTGGCTCATGCGCCTGCCGCAGTCCGAAAGCGTTGCCACGTCGTGCTACCTCCCTCTTTTGCCTCACCACAAGTAATGTCACCCCTGCTCGATCCCGTGCCTGCGCCGCACAGGACTGGTCTCACGAGGTGGCCTGGACCGAAGAGGAACGCGACGAGGTCCTGGCCGACCGTGCGCGGCAGCTGGCCTCCAGCACCGAGTTTGAGGAGTCTGAGTTCCTGCCCCTGCCCGGCCTGCCGACGCTGCACATGCCGGAGGTCACGGGGCAGCTGCTCTCCCTGGTGGCTGTGGACGAGGCAGAGCAGCACGTGCCGAGGGTGGCCATGCTCTGCTTCGAGACCATGATCAAGCTCTTCTATTTCTGCCGCCTGGCTTACCGCGTCGGGGTGAGCACGCAGGGAGAGAAGGGGGATGAATGTCTGCCTGCCCTGCTCTTGAGGCGTAATTGAGTGCCGGGACAGGTCACCGCTAACGTAACAGATCAGCCGCTGTGTCACTTCCCTTCAATCATTATGTTGCTCCCTTCTGCCCCACAACATCACGCCACCAGACGGACGTGCCCATCAGTGTGGAGCACGGGCTGAGCCTGTTCCCCGGCATGGTCGGCCAGGAGGTGGTGGAGGAGGTGCTCACCGACACGCGCGCTTTCCTCGCCTGGGGTCCCGGCACGCTGGTGGTGTCCTTCCGCGGCACTGCCACGCGCAAGAACATCATCACCGACATAAAGGCGAGCCGGGTTCGGATGTTAAAAGGAGGGGAGGAGTTGAGGGCATACTGGTGTGGTCCCTGGGCAAAGGGGTCTTGGGATTTTGACTCGCTCCTGCCTGCCAGGGGTACACTGCCTTATCAGGCAAGGAGGGCGGAGCCTCAGCACAATGGTCCTGATCTACCACTGGTCCCCTTCTCGCTGGCTAGGCTCTGATGCACAGCATCAACAGCGACGCCTGACCCCGGCCCTGCAGCTCGTCTTGAACTGCGCATTGCACCCTAGCAGCGTCTGCGCCTGCCATGCCCTTCTTCTCAACCGGATGACACCCATCCCCAAGACCCCTCAGCTTGCGCAAACACACATCCACCCACTCATCCCCCTTCCCCACCCAGATCTGGAAGGTGGCGCACCAGCCGCGGCGGCGCAACAAGCTGGGGCGCACGCTGCTGGTGCACCTGGGCTTCTACCGCGCCTGGCGGCACAACGGCTTCTCTGAGCGCCTGCTGGCCCGCGTGTCCGAGCTGGCCGGCCCCGGCGGCGAGGCCGAGGGCCCCGACGGCCCGCCACGCGTCCTTTTCACCGGGCACAGCCTGGGCGGCGCGCTGGCCGTGCTGGCGGCAGGGGACCTGGCGCGCGCCGCGCCCGCCCTCGCGCCGCGGCTGTCGGTCTACACCTTTGGCGCGCCGCGTGTCGGCAACGGACCCTTTGTCCAGGAGTTCCTGACCCTGGTGCCGGACTGCTGGGCGATGGTGAACGACCAAGACCCGGTTCCCCGCATCCCCAAGGGCTGGTTCCACAACGCGGGCAACCCAGTGCTGCTCAACCCGCGCGGCGACCTCATCATCCGCCCCTCCGAGTTCGACGTCATCTCTATCAACACCTCGGGCGGCGTGGCCGCGCACCACATGCTCGGCGCCTATGCCCTTTCCACCTACGCCGTCATGAAGGAGCAGGTGGGTGGGTCAGCGTCTCGAGGGGGGGGGGGCGAGTGAAGGAGGGGGGATGGAGTTCAGAGTGCTTTCTTGCCCCGGGAAACCCTGGCATGCAAGCACGGAATGGGGTGGCTGGGGGGCGGGGACATGGGCGCAGCGGGGTACCCCTTCCCCGCCCTGACCAGACAGGCACGACTCTGGGCCTCGAACAACCCCCCACCAACCCCCTGCCCGCCTCACGTCGGACAGTTTGGCGAGGACAAGGGGCTGCCCGGTGGGGACGCGGGGGTGGTGACCCTCGCCAGCCACTTTGACGTCATGGAGACCCTGACGCTGAGCGTGGTGGAGAACAAGGTCCAGGTGGGTGGGCCCGGCGCGGGCTGGGTGTTGTCGAAAGCGTCTCATCGCACGATGCATCCTTTGAGGGTCCTGCCACCCGATGTGGATGCAGCTCGGGCGGTGGCACGGTGGGGGGAGGCCTGCCAGGCGCCGCCCTCCCCCCCGACCCCTTGCCTGGCTGGGCAGAATGCAGGAATCGCCCCGACTCCCCAATCAGCCCGGAACCACCTCGACCCATGGCATGCAGGACTCGAGCGCCTCTGCAGCGGTACTGACCACGCCCCCGTCCCAGGCCGAGGTCCAGCGGGGCGGGAAGAAAGGGGTGGCGGTGGCGACCAGGGAGGTGCCCAAGGTGGAGGCGGACGCCCTGGAGAGGCAGGTGGATGCCAAAGAAGGCTCGGCCGCAGGGTCGGGGTCCTTGACGGATGTGGAGCTGGGGCTGGAGCTGCAGCCAAGTACATCACCGCAGCCAGGACCCTGATGTTGGGTTAGGAGGCATGATCGGGGCCGCACGTTGACGCCACCTGTTGCATGCTTGAGCCGGCCAAATGGATCGACGCCACACTGCATACTGCTTGTACCCTTTTTATACGCGCTTTTGATGACTAACTGATGGTGAATTGCACTGGCTTCATGTACTTCCCCCCTTTTGACCCACCTGCCGATCCGATCCGAGGCGCGGGCGCGTGCTAGATACGCACGGGCATCGCGTATACTATGAATTGCTACGTGGTGATCCTGTCCCGCGTTGTCGGGGGTCGATACGCTCCTAATGGTTCGCCGTACTCCCACCACGACATGGCGTTCTGCGGGATCGTGCTCCTGCGCAACTGCATTCCCCTGTTTCAGAGGGACTCCAGGCCGGTGGTGGATGCCACACAAGTCTCCACGGGCACCCTGTCGGGGTCCGTGCACATGCCTGCGCACCCAGATGTCCCCCAAACCGTGCTGGAAGACGAGGTGGAGGCCCAGAAGCAGGGGGCGAAGCAGGGATCCTCGAGAGTGCTGCTCCGCATGGAAACAATGACGTCAGCGACCGTCATCTGGCTGCAGGTGGGAGGTTCGGTGAGGAGCATCATGCATTTTGAACATGTACACCACTAGGTTTGCAGCTGTTTGGGCTGCCTGGGTGTTGTTGGGTTCGCGCGGGGTGGGGAGTGACAGATGTCAAGGTGGTTGCACTGTAGGCATGGGTGGGAGGGCAGCAGGGCTGCTCTGCTCCGCCCCCACTCCTCCCCCCACCCTGACACAAACGAAGAATCCTGATTGTTACAGCTTCCAGAACTCACCCGTCTTTGATGTGCAGGTTGGCGTCGCCCTCTCCTTTGCCCTTGTGAACGCTTTCACCATCACAATCTTCCTGCAGAAATTCCAGTACAGCAACGACCTGCAGATCCTGTCGCAGCTGACCAGCTGGTTTATTGTACAGCTGGCTCTTGTATCGGTATTTTTTTTCATTTTGCTGACTTGCGCTGCGTCCTGGTTTCAGCGCGTCTGGAAGCGGCAGAGCGCCCACCGTGTGTGGTGGGTGCTGGCTTTGAGGGAGTTCTGTGGGTGGTGTGCTGGTGGCGATCCGGGCTCGCCAAGCCATGGATGGCGGTGCCAAGGGATGGGGGGGCTGACTGCACTGACTGCACGTGCAAAGCTGCAAACCTGCCAGGATTGGTCATCATGCACTGGCTCCGCCACACCCTCCCTCCAGGACCCAGCGCCAGCGGCTCTATGTCTTGGATGCTGCAGTTTTGATCTCACTTCAGGTGTGGCTGACACCGGTCTGGGAGCAGCCACCTGCTCACTGTCATGCTTCTCTGCCTCCATGATCAACAAGCCGGCATGTGATGCCCTGGCTGCCTACCTGTTGCTGCCATGGTATGCCGGCCGACAACACGCCCGTCACCCACCCGCTTGCAGAGCCTCGTGATGACGCTGCTCATCGTCTCTCAGTCGATAGCAATTGCCGTCCCATGCCCCTGGTTCAAGCAAAGCGTCTCCCTGCTGTCCTTCATCCGATGGACGCTCACGAACTCTGTGAGCAAGGGTGCTGTTGGGCCCACAGGAACTGGGGTGGATGCTGCGACTCGGTCGAGTGCAGCGCAAACAACCATGTGCCGAATGCACACGCTTGTTCCACGGTGTTGCTGCTGCTCATGTGATCCAGCCTCTGCGCCTCTGCATCTCGTCGTGCCACTTCACCGCGCTGGCCTGTCTTCCAGGCCTCGATGCGGTGGCACCATCCTGACCTCATCCTTCGGCCTCCAGCACACACTGATCTGTCTCCAGCCCACCCACCTGCCCGACCCCATATCCATTCAGATCCTGGCGTGGATGTGCGTGATGATGCGCGGCATGTGCTGGTACTGCGGCAGTGTGCAGCTCCCGGACCCCGACCGCCAGCTCACCATCGATGCGCCGTGGCGGAGGCAGGCCTGGGCCAATCTGCCCACCCTCCTGATCTTCCTCAGCACGGAGGCGGTGGTGGTCGCCAAGCTGGCGTACCGCTGGATCGACGTGCAGGAGGCAGTGGGCGTGCCGGCCTGCCGCACCTACCCCTATGACTGCACCCCCTCCACGGGCGAGTTTGTGATCAACATTGTCACCACCGTCTGCCTCCTCGTGTACGCGGTGTACTACATCTACCTGGTGGTCCAGGCGCGGGCCGACCACGCCAAGGTGCCCTTCACACGCTACCGCGTCACCTACCTCTACGTCCAGATGCACGTGAGTGCGCGCTGGGGGAAGAAGGGGGGGGGGACAGGGGTTGGGGGAGGAGAGATTACGGTGGCGTTAACGGTGTGGGTGAGGTGTGTGGACCGAAGGGGGGGGCGGGGCTCGTGCTGAGTTCAATGAAACAAGCATTGCTTGGGTGAGTGCAGGAGTGCGGCACCCTCGGCGTCTTCACCTTGTGCTCGGGGCCACAATGGAACCTGGGCGTGCGATAGAACACCTGTGCCCCCCCTCTCCAGCGTGCACTGTCCTGCATGAGTGGTGCACGTGGTAGATGGCATGCCCGCAAACCCTTTCGCAGGCGCGGCATGGAATATTCATCGTCGTGCTGCTCCTGGTCGTCAGCACCGTGCTGAGGGTGCGCCTAAGGCATTCGAGGGCCCTTCCCAGGGACTGTGCCTGAGAGGGGGGGGGCCGAGGGATGATGTGCTCGCAATGGCGCCCAGCACGCATGCCTTCACCAGACCTGCTTTCCCCCTTGCCCCAACGCATGGGCAGTTTGTGGAGTCCAAGTCGTGCTGGTCCTTTGTCGACATCCAGTTTGGGCTCATCCCCACCCAGCTGGCCATCACCGTGAGTCAACCCTTCCTCTGGGAGTTCCCTTATCTGGACCTGCTGCGCCTCCACGGCCCCGTGGATGCAGCTTTCCAGGCCACATCCTGCCAGTGCTTAACCAGCTCACCCCAAGCCCAAGCTCTGGCTCGTGCTACACCCTCCCCTGATTCGCCTCTGGTCCCCTGTCAAGAGGCTGCCCCCGCCGCCCCCCTCCCACAGGTCCTGGTGTGCGTGGTTTCCATCCTCACCGCCCCTTGCAGCGACTCCATGGACAATCTGAAGCAGGCAAGCTCTGACCAAGGGAGGGGGGGAGGGCGACTGAGCACTGCTTCCTCTTGCTGAGACACTGGCATGCTGGGCTGCAGTGCTGGTGGCACACAAGTGCCTGGCAGATGCCTGGCCCCATGGCAAGGTGAACCCTCCTGGTTCCCCTGGACGGCTGCTCCCCTCTCCTGTGCCTCTCCCTCCCTCCAAACCCCTCTGACGCCTCAGCACTTCTTCCCCCCACACCCCTTCCCCCCCCCGCAGCGATGGCTGATGGAGGTGGCCTGGAGCGAGCCGCAGCGCGAGGAGGCGCTGGCGGATCGACACATCGAGTTCCTGTCCCGACAGGGCGAGGAGGCCGCCGCCGCGGCCGAGGGCGGCATGCTGGGCACGCTGCGCCGCATGAGCATCGGCCTGGTCCGGCCCTCCATGAGCCACATGGCGGAGCAGGCGCAGGGGGCGTTGCGCCAGGCGATGGGGGGCACGGCGGGCAATGCCCCCGGCGCCACGCCCATCTCCGAGCCACGGCTGGCCATGCTCTGCATGGAGACGCTGCTGAAGAGCTTATATTTCTGCAAGCTAGCCTACCGACTAGAGGTGGGTGGGTGGGTGGGTGGGTTGGAGACGCCCGTGGTTGGGGACGTCGATGGCATGCTCCTCTGCATTCCTCACTCTGCCGTACAGGAAGTTGGCCTGGCACTTTGCTGGAATACTAGCACGGGGATGCGTGGCTTGGGATGTGGCGGCCATGCCTGTCGCGTGGATGATTGGCATGTATTTGCCAGCAAAACCCTCCAATGCCCCTGAAGCCTTGCGACCCCTCAGTCCCCACTCACTTTCCACACAAACTTGCCGCCTACGGCCTCGCAGACCCCCGACTCGCCGGTGTCGATAGAGCATGGCCTGAGCCTGTACCCTGACCTGCAACATCACGAGCTCCTGCTGGAGCCCGCCACCGACACACGTGTGCTGCTGGTCTGGGGCCGCTCCACCCTGGTCGTCGCCTTCCGGGGGACCGTCACCAGGAAGAACGTCCTGACCGACCTGGAGGTGGGAGGGAAAGGGGCTGGATGATGCGAGGGAGCACAGCAGGGGGTGCAGGACCGGGGGCCTTGCCGTGGACACGGAAACAGAGGCACGCTTGTCCTTGGCTGCGTGAGTGGGCAGGGAAGTGTTGGTGTCTGTCGTGTTCCTGGGCGAGTTTGGGAAGGCAATGTCTTGGGCCCCTCCTCCTGACATCCCTCCCGCGCACCCGCAGGCTTGGTCGACGCCGCACCTCCCGAGCAGGAAGAATGCCTACGGCCGCACGCTACGCGTGCACGCCGGTTTCTACCGGGCATGGCGCACCGCCGACCTCGGCGACCGCCTCGTCTCTCGCCTGGCACAGCTGCTGGAGGGCTGCCCCCACGGCGCCAGGCCGCGAGCGCTATTCACAGGTGGGTGGGTGGTGATGGGAGTGGGGAGCATGCGTGTGGGGTGGGGTGGCTGGAGAGGCCCAGGTCATGTTGATTACAGCCCAAACCATACTCCTCCGCCCGGAGGGGTTTACACCTGCGCTGGCCCGACGCTGGGTCTCCAGGGAGTGATGCGATTGTCTGCCCGTCCTATCACTGACATCTCAGCGTCCCTCCTTCCCTCCACCCAACCCATCCGAGCTCAGGCCACAGCCTGGGCGGCGCCCTGGCGGTGCTGGCCTCCATCGAATTCGTGCGACGTGCGCCGCAGTACGCGGCGGGGGTGTCGGTGTACACCTTTGGCTCCCCACGCGTCGGCAACGGCCCCTTTGCCACGGAGCACCGGGCAGCCGTGCCCGACTGCTGGAGCGTGATCAACAACCAGGTGGGTCTGATGGGAAATGGGATGGGGAAGACGCGTGGGGGTGTGTGTGTCTGTGACTGTTTTGGGGTCCCAGATGTCCCACAGATCCTCCCACTCCAAGGCATGCCTCGACGGAACCCTGGCAACTGGCGGTGCTTGCCACTCGAGCTGCGGGCCTTCGATGCGCAGCCCTGCGCTGCTGTTCGCCCCTCACACCATTCCATTCGTACCCGCATGCTCCTGCGCGGTGCATGGTCTCCTCCCCAACAGGAATCCCTTACTGTCGCCGATACATCCCTGATCAGATTCGTTCCACACTCTCGACCCACCCACAAAATCCACCCCCCCACCCCGAAAACACCAATCCCAGGACCCCATCCCGCGCATCCCCAAGGGCTGGTTCCATGGCGCGGGGCACCGCGTGGTGGTCACGCCGCGTGGCGACCTCATCATCAAGCCCAGCACGCTGGAGCTGTCGGTCATCTTCAAGTCTGGCGGCGTAGCGGCGCACCACCGCCTCCCCAACTACTCCCTGTCCCTCTTCAGCCTCTTTCGCGCCCAGTTTGACGCCGCCAAGAAGATGGAGGGCGGCGCGCTGGGAGTCACCATCCTGGCGGGCCGGCTGGACGTGGGGCAGACCCTGGTGCTGCGCTACGCGGGGCTGAGGGAGATCATGGACGCCAGAGAACGGCGCATGCCCATGCCCGTGGAGGTCTACCAGCTGCGCAAGGCCAGGGTGGGTGGCTTTGATTGGGCAGGGGGGTGCTGTGCTGTCGCTCCAGGAAGGCAGCCCATTGGAGTTTGGGAGAATACCTGGCGGCCGGTTCTGGGTTTTGAGGAACGCCCTCATGCTTCCTACCGCGTCATCAGTCCAAACCCCGGACCCGACTCCGACAACAGAAACGGGCGATCGCGTGCGTGGAGGAGCGGGCAATCAGCGGCACCTCCACGACTTTCTCACAAGATGACTCCATCATCAGCGAGCAGACCGCCCTCGAGCTGGCCAAGCAGGCGGGGGCCGTGGGGGAGGAGGATGTGCTGGGTGACACCTCGGTGGTCCGGGACCTGGGCGGCAAGCGGGTGCTGGGCACCCAGGAGTAGCAGGCGGAGAAATCCAGTGCCCTAGGTCCAAGCTGCGCTCCACGGCCCCGCTGACGGCCATCAACTTTTCCTCGGTCGCAATGACAGCGGCTGCCTTGACCAAACCCTGTGGGGCCGATGAAGACCCCTGTACCGATGTGTATACTGTGACTTGCACATATGTATCGATCTGGAGCGTCGGCGGCCTGCAGCTGTTGCTCTGTTGCCTCTTTTTCTTGTGGCGAACCCCACATCTGACGCTCTAGGTTTGCGAGCCATATTTCCCTAACTCAGAGTCTTGTTAATGATGGGCTCATCATCGTCCGGGGTAAGATGGGTTGGGGTGGAAATCATTCCATCCTTTAGGACGATGGGTCATGTCCTGCACCCAACGGCTGGATCAGCGACCACGTCAGGAAGAAGGGGGGGGGGGACCGTAACTCTCCAAGAGACAGCGGCTGGAAAAGCAAAAGAACGCATGGGAGATACAATGAAGTATCGGGCAGAGGAGTGCATTGCATGGAAGGGTATTGATCCCAGGCCTGCGCGGGCTGCTCATCCTGCACAAGTTCAGCAGGTGAATCCCCTGATCCAGACCACTGGTACGCTCTCAGTCGTGATGTCCCGACTATCGGGGATGCCGACTCGCAGAATAAAGCCTGAGAAGCAATGTACATGCCGGAGTTGGGTCTGGAATAGGTGGCCCTGGAAGATTCCGAGGACTGCGCCCATCCCCCCTGTACATCACTAGTCTCGGTCATTCAAAGTGAATGGCAGCAAGTCCCTTGAACACCCTCTCACTCATCATTATCTGTGTGTCACTCAGGGGGCCACTTCTCTGAAGTAGGGCAAGGTGGCCGAAAGGTTGATCAAACAATCTTCAAACCTTTCCCCTAGCTTTGATTATGCACATTCGAGATCCTCCAGCCTTCCCCCGTGACCACGAGATTATTGAGGGGGGCGGCCACGTGCCAAAATTTTCTGACTTTGGTTCTGGCTTCGAGGCATGCTCGAGTCTCTGAGTAGCTGATATCCGAGGTACAACTGCAGACTTGGAGCCAAAGTGCGCCACCCTAACTCATTCGAAGTGGCTGTTGGCCTTTGCTTTGACGCTCTATGGCAGAGGACGACGATGCGAATCCCGATACACTCCAGATATGGTGTGGTGGGCATTCGCGCGGCTGATCACGCCTCCACTCCGCCTGCAGCGACTCGAACACAGCCATATATGTCCTGAACCATTTGTAGGGATGGAAGAGTGTACTCAAGACTCGGAACCGGGCCTCGGCAGATCAAGGCGCAATTCGCTCCCGTTGAGGCAAGCCCGGGTGTGGCAGAGAAGGGGAAAGTGGGTGGTACGTACCAGGACTTGCAAGAGCTGGAATGCAAGCAAGTGCACATACGACTCCCTATCAACAGGCATATACTGTTACGCTGTTCATGGAGGAGTCCACCTGCTCTCCCCAGCTCTGTGACCGGGAAGCTGCCATAAACTTTCTGAGGGACCCAGAGCGACCACGGGCCATCCAGGTGCGAGATTCGCTTGCCAAGTGCCTCGCCCTCTGCAAAGTTCCGTTTGAACGCCTCAGCCGAGCACATGGGTGCGATTGCCTGTTGTACAAGGGCTGTGCAGCATGGATTGGGCAAGCCTTGGGCAACACGGGTGCAGGTCACAATTGTGAGGACCGCCTCACCCCAAAAGTATCCTCCCTCCCCGCCCGGAAACCACACACAAAAGTATCAATTACTGAGGGACATTTCGCCGACATCCATCCCTCCGCATTCCATCGAGGACATGATGCTGAAGACACTGGGACCTGTCATGGGGTACTGTGACACACGGAGAGGATGAGGGGTTTGTTCCGGCAGCACCCCAAAACACCTTGAGTCTGCTACCAGGTGGATGCGTGATCTCATTCTGCAGACAGTATCAGCTTGCAGACCACCCCACATCATGCCCCCTCCCCGTCCCGTGTGGCCCCAGGTCTGATCTGGGTCCTGCCCTGGATTTCAAGTCCTACATCCTCCGCCAGAATCTTAGGACGGGCTCAAGAGTGACCGTCCTCTTTTCAACTGATGGCAGCATCACTGCTGTCACCACTGCTCCAGGGGCATCATTCAACGCAGTGGAGGTGGGCCTCTGAGATTTCCATGGCTGTATGCATGCTCAACATTATCTGGGTTTGACATAGTGTGTTGCTGAGCACACAGGTTGCGAGCTGGGCTCCCTCAGTAATCTGCCATCCCCCCCGTTCAGTAGAAGGCGATGCAACACACTGTCCGACGGGCAACCACCGCCTCCTCCCTTGCTGCAGTGCCACCCGGAGCTGATCACGCAAAGTCCAGCCCTGTGTGCTGGTGTCTTTGAAGTCTATTTGCGGGAGAAATCTGTGGCACCTCTTGCCAGAGATGCCTGGATTCGATCAGTCATGGCCCCAGACCGGGGCCAGACCTGAAGAACTCCTTCTCCACATCGACACTGAGCTGCCCTCAAAGCGCACTCTCCATATATCCGCGATGAAGTCTGGAACAAGTTTTCCACAGCAGGGCATTTCCTCATCTCTTTCCCATTTTTCAACCATTCTTCTATGCTTTCAGCGATATGTATATTGGCCGCAAAGCCCAGAACAAGGGAGTGTGTTGACCGAGTCGCTCGGCGCGTCCCCGTTTCCACCCCGGGTCGGGGGTTTGGACCGGACGCTAGTTCCTTCCAATGCGCGGCCTTTATGTTCCATACCTAACAGCAAGGGCACCCGTGTTCGCAGATTCAGGCATTTTCAAGAGCCTCGGCGTCGTGCCTGCTTTCTTGGGGTTTGAGGCTCCCGGTGTCACAACGATGTCTGAGATACAGGAACCGGCGACGGGAGCGATCTTCCCGAGTACCCTGAGACCTTGGTGCGCGCTCCTCATGATTGAGCAAACCGATTTGAGTGCGCATTATGTACATTGAACATGATCCACTGCATTAACATGCAGGGATGGAGGTGTCTACAAGAATTTGGGCGCGGGTCCAAGGATCATGAAAGTCGCTTTCATCAGCATCAAGGCATGTTATGGATAGAACTTACGAGAAATACCCACCTAACACATCAGTTGTGGATCAATTTATGTCGTCACACACACAGTTGGCCCATGCAGGTGTATGCGGTCTCGCTGTACGTACCCATCGAGCGACTCCCACTAGCATCCGGAACAGCTCTCTCTGAATCTGGATTTCCACGAGTGATTCAGGTGTGCTGCTCCACCCCTGCATGTCCGACGTTTGAACAGCAGGTTTATTATACAAACCGTGAGACAAGATTCAGCAAATTCCCTGCTCTCCTGCCCCAGATGCAACTGGCCAGGAATATTGCAGGCAGTCAGTTTAGTGACACGATGAGAAAGTCCATGGGTCCATCGATGAGGTGAGTCTATTGTGCTAAGATCGATCGACAAGTATGTCGAGGTGACAGGCCAAGTACCTCCTGGGTTGGTGCATGGTTGGATTGCGCTATCAGTTCACAAGATACCATGATGATCCTGTGCTCCTTGACCCGTTCCCATCCATGGCAGCCATGACCTCGCAAGTCTGACCAAGTTCTGTGACTTTATAACACAGCAGCAGCTGCAGACGGGGACGGTAATCACCCTCCTGCTGGGCCCTGCCAGCGAAGTCGACGTCAATGTGGACCAAGTTTCTGCAGTGTCAGGAGGTGACATGAGCCAGGTATGCAAATATGGATCATGACACCCCCAAGGATGTTTTCGCTTGTGTTCCTTTGCGAGTGTATATGTTTAGGATCCAATCCTGCTATCTTGAAAGGAATTGCCAGCTCTTGTGCCAATGCTGGCATGGGAAAGCTTACCCTTTCACCCCTCTTCATACAGGCCAAGCCACAGCTCAGCCTCCAGAGTGAAGCATTCTGTGCTTCCCTGCTCCAGATCTATCTCGGTCCCAAGTCCGTCATTCCAGAGGCCAAAAAGGCCTGGCTTGCCAATGCTGTGAGGGGGTAACCTGTCGGCAAAGCAATGCAATGCACGGGAATACCCTTGTTCCTCTGCCGGGCTTGCGCCGGTTGCTCGCAGCTTCTTCCCGCAAACGGGATAATTGGTGGCGCAGTTGGTTGCCTCAAGGGGCGATCCAAGGGGGGGGAGGTAGGGGCGGGCGGCGCGGACTGGGGTTTGTGACAACAACAACAACAACAACAACAACAGTCTCGCGTCTTGCACAGCAATTATCGACGGCCACCCCCCAATGATGTGTTACGGAGGTCTAAACAGAAATGTTCTCGCATCCGTTCCGTCGACAGGGTGCTGGGGTCGGAAGGCGACCGCAGCCCAAGCCAGGCAGCCGGTTGTCGACCATTCGACTGCCCGAGGCCGAGGTTCTAAGCCGGCGTCGTGACTGCCTCATGCGTTGTGCGGGCGTGGGAGCGTGGTCGGGATAGCACCGGTGGGTCATTCATGGAAACTGGTTGGCACCAGCTGCTGTTGGCCCTCCATCAAGGTGTGTATTGGGGGAGCTGTTTGGGTTGGTGAGGAACCCTGGCGTCGCGTGTCGTGCGAAGCTGTGGATAAGACCGATGTTGTTCGGAAACTCCGCCCACCCTGGCCACACCCTTGTCCATTGCAGCGACAAAAGTGGGCCAGCACAGCAAGGCCAGAGTACGCAACAGAACCCTTACCCAATGGACACTAACGTTGTGGCGACCAGACGATGCTTTCCCGACCTCGAGACCTCTTCCTTCCGCGGGTCAGGTAAATGTGGTAATTGGAGTGGATTGTTTCGTTGATCAGTATACAACAGGCTTAGATGCGATGGAGGTTAAGCATATGGAGGCCAGTTCAAAGGTGGCAATTGCAACTCAGAGGCGGAAACATACATCTCACCCTGTGCTTTCTTGCCCCGTGTGGTAGGGCCCTCGAATGCCCCCGGTGCAACTCGTCTCAGTCAACGAGCTGGCGGGTGATGAGAACGAGAATTGTCAGGCGCGGTGGAGTGCGGCGGTGAACGAGTGGCGGACGGAGCTCGGCGAGGCGGGCACGACAGGCAGATATGGGAAGGTGCGTGAAAAGTTGAATGCCACTTTGGAGGGAGTGTCGAAGGCCAGCGCAGTGTCCCCAAGCATGCGTGGCTCCACCAACACACACACACACATACACACACAAACACACCCTGTGCCTGCAATATAATGAACTTTAGGTGGTCGATGACTACGCGACAACCTCCGTCAAGACGACGTGGAACGGCTTCCGGGGTCTTCCGAAGAAGACGAAGAAGACGATGCAGCAGCAGGAGCGTGTTTGTAATGCCCTGCGACCGACCGTGGACAACATCGTCGCCGTCATCACAGAATCGCGTACAATCGGCGACCTGTTCGCCAACTTCCACGCCATCCGGATGGTGGAGGAGTTGAGCGGCGGAAGCAGGCTGGCCGGGCGGACGCGGATGCGGCGCTGCAACCACTCGACATTACATGTTTTTTCCAGGTGGGCCTCGTGTGTTGACGATCAGAGGGGTTTGGGAAGTGAGTGATTTGTAGGCACACCGGTGCTGTGGTTTCCTTGTTTGATAGGGAAAGGATGGTCCCATGTCTGCTCATATTGGCTGCTGGTTTGATCACCACTGTGTGAAGCTGTCTGGAAATGTTGCCACAGACGGGGTGCAGCGACATGCGCTGCAGAGCAGATGCCAAAGAACTACTCACCCATTTACCCACCCACCCACGGCGCAGATGTCTGACGCTCATTCGGTGACCTCGTGGGGCACCCGGCGGAAATGCGGGTCCCGACGCAAGGGCGGCATCCTTCCCGCTGGCCGAGTCCGTCGCCCTCTTTCGGGAGATAGTCGAGCCGGCTGGTGTCGACCTCCAGCCGCCCGACACGGAGTTCATCAGCCCCTTTGTCCACGAGGCGGCGGGGGACCTGGCTACAGCAACGGCCACCTACTACAAGAGGGAGCTCCTCCGCTACTTTTGGCAGAACGCCATGCTGGAGCTGGGCACCAAGAGAAATGGGTCGTCTCACTGTGCTCGCGCAGTGCTGTCTGTCAGCTTCGCGAACCCTCTGGCGCCGACAGAAGACTCGAACGCCGCGCCCCCCTGCCGCCCGCTACCCCAGCGACTCGCACTGGCAGCTGCAGAGCCAAGCCCGGACATTGGGCCAGGCTCGCCGACCCCAGCCATGGGCCCCGCAGTCTCCGCAGCGCCATCGTCAGCCCTAGACGGCATGCTAGACCAGCCGGCCCCAGTCTCGGTCGCCGACGGCGGTGCAGCAGCACCCCTCGCTCCGGAGTTCGCGCCCGACCAGCCAACCCCAGTTCCGGGCCCGGGCGTCCCCACAGCCGCGGCGCCCGTCCCAGACGCCGCGCCCGCCCAGCTGCCCCCAGCCTCGGTCGCCGACAGCGGCGCAGCACCACCACCACCCTCGGGCAGGGCGGCTGCGTGGTGGCATGTGCCATTCACGCAGGCGCAAGTGGACTGGATCGTCCAACTTCGCCGCTGCATGCCGAAGAGGCCGACGCGGGGCCTGTGGGAACATCACCCACACCTCTGCCTGCCGCTGGCCAGGCGTCTCCTCGCGGAGCGCGACGGGCGACAGCCGGCCGCGCCAGCTCCCGCGCAGGCTCCAGAGAGCGCGCCACCAGGGCAGGTGGGCGAGGAGGCGATGCAGCCCGACGCAAATCGCCCAGATGTGAGTGGTGAGGGACGACCGGGAATGCGCGAGTGTATGAACATTGGCAGTGGTTTGACACGAGTACTTTCTCGCACCCTCAAGGGGGCGGCTAGGGGTTTGACAGATGGGTAGCACAGCTACACATGTATTCACCAGCCCCAGATCCTACCTACATGCACAGGTTGATGCCACTGCAGCGTCCACCATCGCCGCCAGGCTCCAGCGCCTGGTTGAAGACCGCGCGAAGCAGCACAAGTCCAACAAGGACGAGGGCATCCCCAGTAGGCGGCGGGGCCTTGGGAAGGCTCGACGGGCGGCACTGGCCAAGCGCAAGAAGGCTGCAGAGAAAGCAGCTGGCAGCCCCGCAAGGGGGCTCAGAAGCCGCCGCCGCCGCGGCACATTGGGCGGCTGTTCAGCCTTCTGCCCTGCAGACAGGGCTTTGAGGCGGTGCACATCACCGGCACCCTGACGACGCTGGGAGCCCTCTTGCGGCGGCACGAGAAGTTCGACAGGGGCGGCGTGGCGAGGATGATCGGGCTGCAGCTTCCCACCGAGAAGGAGTGGAGAATATACACAGAGGTCGAGGTGAGGGATGTTGCCAGATGTCGTGGTGGAGGAGCAGGTTCTGGGATGCAGAGATGTCATTCACTTCTCCGCTTGAAGCCTGGGCTGCCTTCCTTGGGAAACTTTGGTAGGGTTGCCCATAGTTGGTCAATACTCTGTGGACCGTTTTGCAGTGGTGTTTTGCCGTGGCAGATGCCTAAATCACTCCTGCCCCTTTTTCACATCAAACCCACTAAAATCCCTCCCACCCCAGGTGCTCAAACTTCTCAACCTCGAGACGGTTTGTGCCACGGTGGGCTCAAAGCTCACCGCCAAGAAGCGCAGGGCGGTCGAGGCCTGCCTCCGCTGCAAACTGGAGGAGTTCGAGGTGGACGTGGACAGGAACGGGCAGCAGAAGAAGGGGAGGAAGGCGGTGAGGACGGGGAAGACGGGCGAGAAGAAGACGGACTGGTTCGTCCACATCGGGTGGGCCTTCTTCACCCTCCTGTTCAACTTCCGGCGCTTTGAGGGCTGCGGCTGGTACTCGGCGGGGCACTGGCGGACCAACGGGTACAGCGTCACGGTGACCCTGCGGCGGGCGAGAGGGCCTCCCCGGCCCGGCGACCTTCCGCCGCCGCAGGGTCACCGTGACGCTGTACCCGTTGGTCCGCCAGTGCCCCGCCGAGTACCAGCCGCAGCCCTCAAAGCGCCGGAAGTTGAACAGGAGGGTGAAGAAGGCCCACCCGATGTGGACGAACCAGTCCGTCTTCTTCTCGCCCGTCTTCCCCGTCCTCACCGCCTTCCTCCCCTTCTTCTGCTGCCCGTTCCTGTCCACGTCCACCTCGAACTCCTCCAGTTTGCAGCGGAGGCAGAGGTGAGGGATGTTGCCAGATGTCGTGGTGGAGGAGCAGGTTCTGGGATGCAGAGATGTCATTCACTTCTCCGCTTGAAGCCTGGGCTGCCTTCCTTGGGAAACTTTGGTAGGGTTGCCCATAGTTGTTCAATACTCTGTGGACCGTTTTGCAGTGGTGTTTTGCCGTGGCAGATGCCTAAATCACTCCTGCCCCTTTTTCACATCAAACCCACTAAAATCCCTCCCACCCCAGGTGCTCAAACTTCTCAACCTCGAGACGGTTTGTGCCACGGTGGGCTCAAAGCTCACCGCCAAGAAGCGCAGGGCGGTCGAGGCCTGCCTCCACTGCAAGCGGGAGGAGAACGAGGTGGAGGTGGACGAGGACGGGAAGCTCAAGAAGGGGAAGAAGGCGGCGAGGACAGGGAAGACGGGCGGGAAGAAGACGGACTGGTTCGTCCACATCGGGTGGGCCTTCTTCACCCTCCTGTTCAACTTCCCGCGCTTTGAGGGCTGCGGCTGGTACTCGGCGGGGCACTGGCGGACCAACGGGTACAGCGTCACGGTGACCCTGCGGCGGCGGAAGGTCGCCGGGCCGGGGAGGCCCTCTCGCCCGTCGCAGGGTCACCGTGACGCTGTACCCGTTGGTCCGCCAGTGCCCCGCCGAGTACCAGCCGCAGCCCTCAAAGCGCGGGAAGTTGAACAGGAGGGTGAAGAAGGCCCACCCGATGTGGACGAACCAGTCCGTCTTCTTCCCGCCCGTCTTCCCTGTCCTCGCCGCCTTCTTCCCCTTCTTGAGCTTCCCGTCCTCGTCCACCTCCACCTCGTACTCCTCCCGCTTGCAGTGGAGGCAGGCCTCGACCGCCCTGCGTTTCTTGGCGGTGAGCTTTGAGCCCTCGGTGAGAATACCTTGTCCAGGTTGAGGAATTTCAGTACATGGGATTGCAGGGACGTGCATGGATTTGATGCGGAGGATGGGCAGAAGTGGTTTCAGGCTTCTCCCATGGCAAAACACCGCTGCAAACCAGTCCACAGAGTAATGAACAGCACAGGGCAACCCTATCAAAGCTTCCTGAGGAAGGCACCCCAGGCTTGAAGTGAAAAAGTGAACAACATCTCTGCATCACCGGACCCCCTCCTCCACCACGACATCTGGCAACATCCCTCACCTCAACCTCCGTGTGCATTCTCCACTCCTTCTCGGTGGGAAGCTGCACCCCCGTCAACTTCTTCACGCCGCCCCTGTCGAACTTCTCGTGCCGCCGCAAGAGGGCTCCCAGCGTCGTCAGGGTGCCGGTGATGTGCACCGCCTCAAAGCCCTGTCTGCAGGGCAGAAGGCTGAACAGCCGCCCGATGTGCGTCGTCGGCGGCGGCTTCTGAGCCCCCTTGGCAGGGCTGCCAGCTGCTTTCTCTGCAGCCTTCTTGCGCTTGGCCAGTGCCGCCCGTCGAGCCTTCCCAAGGCCCCGCCGCCTACTGGGGATGCCCTCGTCCTTGTTGGACTTGTGCTGCTTCGCGCGGTCTTCAACCAGGCGCTGGAGCCTGGCGGCGATGGTGGACGCTGCAGTGGCATCAACCTGTGCATGTAGGTAAGAGGGGGACTGGTGATTACACATATAGCCATGCTACCTATCTGTCTGAATCCTAGTTGATACCTCGAGGGTGCAAGGAAGTAACCGTGTCAAACCACCACAGATCTCCACAGTCCTGCATTCCCGGTCGTCCCTCACCACTCACATCTGGGCGATTTGCGTCGGGCTGCATCGTCTCCTCGCCCACCTGCCCTGGTGGCGCGCTCTCTGGAGCCTGCGCGGGAGCTGGCGCGGCCGGCTGTCGCCCTTCGCGCTCCGCGAGGAGTCGCCTGGCCAGCGGCAGGCAGAGGTGCGGATGATGTTCCCACAGACCCCACTTCGGCCTCTTCGGCATGCGCCGGCGGAGTTCGACGATCCAGTCCACCTGCTCCTGCGTGAATGGCACATGCCACCACGCAGCCGCCCACAAAGCCCGGCCATTCCTGTCGAATGCAGTGGGAAGGGGTGCTGAGGGTCTTCGACGAGAGAAAATTGCAAAATGTTTCCGCAAGACGATGGGAAGAGCATACCTAAAGTGATCGATGCACTCGGATCCCACCCATGCAGCAACCACCGAATCTAGGACAATCGTAATATGCGGTAGTCCGATATATCGACCTCGCAGCTCACCTCGGGACTCACCAAGACATAACAGTCGGATGGCACGGCGGTGGAGGTGGATGGTAGGCGAGGCAGGACACTACGATGGTGTAGACGCGGGGCGTCGGTGCAGAAGAGGGGGAGCGCCCTAGACGTGCCTTATATGACACCTCGATCGATACATGAGACTTTTGCTCCTATTTACGATGTTGAGAAAATCAGGAACCGGAATGTGCATGCGAGAATACTGCCACCGCGGCCGTTGGTGAGACCCTAAATCCTATCCGACCCCCCCCCCTCCCCACACGCCCGGGACGAGTTCCCACTGCCCCTGTGTTTACCGCCACTTCACCTGACCCATCTGAAAATTGACCACTCTCTAGGCCTTTGAATGCTTGCTCGGGTTGCGAGGCCTCTTTCTCAGGCCTGGTCGTTTCTGGAAGCTTCGCGGGACTCTGTCCCGTCGGGATGTGGACGCGCCCTCCAAGGCAGATTGCTGTGTTCAAATATCATTGTGTGGTAAAGTATCGAGAGCAAGGGAGATGGAGCACTGTCTGCGTCAGGTGGTCGTCCCCAGGGCCTCCGCCCGTTGAGGCAGCAAGAACCCCAAAGTGGGGGTGGGTGGGAGGGGAGGGCGGTCTTCTCCTCTCCCTTGCCCGTCCGAAGGCACTGCTGCCCCCCACACGCTCTCCCTGCCTGGTTGCTAAGCTCGTCGCTTATAACCATGGGAATCACACCAGGTACAAGGTCACCTTGGCCTTAATTTGCCCGTCGAAACAGTCTGCCGCCTCCTGCCACCACCCCTCTCAGGGTGGGAGCGGATTCGGTGTGCTTTGGCCTTGATTTGTTGCTCGGAGGGGATGGTATCAGCCGATCAGCGGGCAGCACAGGTGTTTCAGCTTCCACAAGGTACTTGTAGAGTGCTCCGTGCTTCGCACGCACTCCCTCTTCCGCAATCAGTTTGATCCTGGTCGCCAGCCTCTGGACTGCTTCCTTGAGCCCTGGATCGCTCTCGGGTGAAGGAGCCGGGTTGCCTGGGAGGCTCACCGGTGGTGCAGGTGCGCTGCTTCTGTCCACAAGGTGTGGGCCGGTGGCACTGTCCAGTCGCTGAGTGTCAGGCTCCGCGGATGCTGAGGCCAGGTCAGGCCAGGTATCAGTGAGGGGGTCTGCCATTGGCACCGGCTCCTTGCCGCGCCTCCTGCCGGTGCCGGCCTTGGATGCCACGCTGATGCCTGTGTCAGTGAGTGGATTGTTGATTGCCTCAATGGCTTGGTGTGGGTGAATAGCACTGGAGTGACCGTGTGACACAGGGATGAAGACTCAGACGGCACTTTGCTGCAACAGCAACGCTATGCGCATCTCGCAGCTTACTTCTCTTTGCTGCTGCCGCCTTGTCCTCCCGCACAGCTGTCAACATGCGGTGGAGGCCACCCTCAAAGGTACCCAGTTTGGATTCCAAGAAACACTTGAGGTGGTGGTCGGCAAGGTCTGGACACCGCTTGCGCCTGACATTGATGATGTGTTTGCATGGCTTATCCATGCAGGAATCAGAGCAGGAGCAGCCGTCCACCTCGCTGGGGTCCACCTGATAAGGCTCGGACTCTGGGTGGGACTGGGACGGCACTTGCCACAAGGGCGAGCCAGGGTTGCCGGTGGGGCGATGACGGCAGCTTCCTCAACTTGGCCCGAGAGGAAAGCATCTTGGAGATCCTCGCGAGTTGTTTGTAGGCACCGCATCCTCCAGGTTTAACCAAATTTTAACCACAACTTGTAAGGTTCTCACATCAAACACGTTTTTCACACTCAAACCTCGGTAAGGTATCGTTTCTCGGGTCCAAGTCCGGTCGGTGCAATGCTAACCCGCGACGAGAGGAGTCCGACCTACGGACAGGAGCATGTGGAGGGCAACGTTTCGGACTTCATCGAGAGTACTTTTGCTTCTCGCTACGTGGTGAGCCTGCATGGTGGTGCGATGATGGGCGAGGGAGCAGGAGTGCGCGCAGTCGTCTCCATACTTTAACCACACGACCTTGTCCCCCCTCTGACAGGCGGAGCCCCTGCCCCGTTACCAGTGAGTGTGTGAATGTAAACTCATTTCAAACCGACATTACATGCATATGTCGAAAGCCGGGCTGGCGAAGGGTTGTGCCATGCACCGTAAGCATTCCGATACCTCGGGCAGCTTGGTGGACCCCATCCCCCTCCGGCCCCTCCCCGGCACGCCACAGGCTCTCCGAATACGGGGTGCCGGCCCATGTGTGCTACCAGCTGATCAAGGATGTGAGGGCCCTGGATGCCACGCCCAAGTAGGTTGGCGAGCGGCTGCGCTTCTGGGTGTCATTTGGCAGCTTCTCGTGCCCATACGCTCCCCCACCTTGCACCCTGCGCTCCAGGCTGAACTTGGCGTCCTTTGTGACGACGTGGATGGAGCCAGAGGCCCGGGATCTGATGCAGGATGCCCTGGACGTCAACTACGTCGACACAGACGAGTACCCCAGGTGAGGAGGGGTGGGTTGTGAACACTGGTTGGAAAGTATTGAGGTGAGCGTGTCTGACCAGATGCGCATGATCAACCCGCCCATTTGGGTGCCTGGTGCATTCCTGGGTAGATGCAGCGATCTCTTCCCATGCAAGCCTCAACCTGTGTTTCCCCTCGCGTAAGCCATGGCCTTGTACACACCCGCTCGCCCTATCCAGCACGGAACATATCAACATCAGGCCTCTCCGCGCCAACCCCTCATCCTTGCAGTTCCACGGAGATCCAGAACCGCTGCGTCTCCATCCTGGCCAAGCTGTACCACGCGCCCTCCGTGGCCGGGGAGGAGGGTCGCGGCGACCCCGTGGGCACCGCCACGGTCGGGTCCTCGGAGGCCATCATGCTGGGCGCGCTGGCACTGAAGAAAGCGTGGCAGACACGGCGCAAGGCCAAGGGCCTGGACACTTCCCGCCCCAACCTGGTTATGGGTCGCGAGACGCATGTCTGCTGGGAGAAGTAAGCTGTATTCGGGGGGGGAGGAGGGGAGGTGCTCCAGATGGGCAGGGAAGGGGAGGGGAATTGGGGAGGGGGGGATATTACGGGGTGGGCGCGCGATTGTCCCACTTGGATGCACTACTGCCGGGCTCTTGATGCCCCGACCCTTTCTACTCACCCCACCCTCAGATTCTGCCGCTACTTTGATGTGGAAGAGCGGTACGTGTACGCCGAGGAGGGGCGGTACTGCGCAACTGCGGAGCTGCTGGAGCCGCTGATCGACGAGAACACCATTGGTGGGTGGGCCCTGTGGAACTTAGGTTTGGGGTTGGGTGTGCGGCGGCTGGAACCGCCGGCTGCATCCCGTACGGACTGTGCATGCATGGGTGTGCACGCCGCGACGGCGCCTGAGACTCAGCGAGAATGCCGCTGCCCCCTTCCTTTCATCCCCCCAGGTGTGGCAGCCGTGCTGGGCACCACCTTCACTGGCGAGTTTGAGGATGTCCAGGCCATCGACGCGATGGTTGGTGAGTGGCAGGGTGGGGCGGGGCAGGTGCTGGCTGTGCTGTGTGGAGGGCAGTGGTAATCCCAGTACGCCCCCCTGACACATTCAACGGCTGCTCACGCTCCGCCTCACTCTTGACTGCACGTCCCCAGACCGCGTGAACGCCAAGAACGGCTGGGGGGTCAAGATCCACGTGGACGCCGCCAGTGGAGGCTTCATCGCGCCGTTCATCTACCCCGACCTGGAGTGGGACTTCAGGCTGTCCAATGTCGCGTCCATCAACGTCTCGGGGCACAAGTGCGTGTGCCCTGCATGCTGAGCCTGCTTTTGGTGGGGAGGACGAGGGTGCAGCAGGGTGTCGAGTGCTGCGATCTATCGCTGAGCGGGCCTGAATCGTGAAGATGATATATTGAGTAGAGGACGAGACCTCTGTAGCAGCCCTTGCATGATTTTGCCGTTTCTGCCCATGGGCCACATGGCAGCATGCCTTACGCCTGGCTGCGCCTCTGTTCTCCTTCACCTCCTGCACCAAATGCCCGCACCAACAGGTATGGCCTGGTCTATCCTGGGGTGGGCTGGGTACTTTGGCGCGACGCAGACCATCTTCCACCTGAGCTGGTGCGTATTGTGCTGTGGCCGTCGGGATTTTGGGGAAAGGTGACGTTCTTGGGGAATCGGACCAGAAGTGTTGGTCAAAGGTTGAGAGTAATGCATGCACCGAGGACCTTGAGAGAGTACCGAGAGGTATACTCTTAGGGTGCTACACAGAAGATCGCCGCGTTGTACCCTTGACTGTTTGCAAATCTAGTATGGCACACCTGGTCAAGCGAGGCTCCTTCAATCTTGGTACCTGTGGTGCAAGGAACCTTGCCACCCTGCATCACGCCTTCTCCTCTCACCCACTACTTTTATCTCAGGTATTCATGGAGAACTACCTGGGCTCAACAGAGAGGTCCATCACCCTAAATTTTTCCAAGGGCGCCTCCCAGATCATTGGCCAGTACTACCAGGTTTGTAGTTCTAGGTGGTGGTGGTGGGCTCGGTCTCGCTGGCAAGGGGGGCCAAGGGGGGGAGGAGGGCTGTCTTGGTCTCCCCCGTGGGGCTGAGTGGGCCACAGGGAGTCCCACATGCTTGTATTAGAGCGCAACACACCTGCCCTCCTACCACTCTCAACTAGCCCGTGCTCGGACCCCAATCTCTCAAAGAGTGTCCCCGGCACTGTCCGCAGTTCCTGCGCCTGGGATTTGGCGGGTACCGGAAGATCTTCCTGAACCTGGAGGTGGTGAGGAAGCGCCTGCGTCGCGCCATCCAGCTGACGGAGCACTTTGAGATCCTCTCTCCCGAGGTCGGCGTCCCCGTGGTCGCCTTCCGGCTGACAACTCTCACCGGCTCCGATGGCAAGCCGCACCACAGGTGTGCAGGACCTGCAGAGTGCAAACCTCGCAAGACTGTTGAGCCAGATGACATATTTGCTGGAGGGGCTTCATTATGCCCCTTGACTCCAAAGGATGTCGTTCCATGCAGCCCACCTTCACCCCTCCCAGGATGTACGACGAGTTTGACCTGGCTGATCGTTTACGAATGAGGGGCTGGGTGCTGCCCGCCTACACCATGTGCCCGAATGCGGAGAACATCAAGCTGATGAGGATCACCATCCGGGAGGACATGAGCGTGCAGATGGCAGACCAGGTATGGGCAGTTTTGGGGCTCAACACGATCTTGGCGGTGCCCTCCCTATGCAAGCAGTAAAGGAGTTGCCCAATTGTTGCCTGTAGATGTGGGGGATGTGTCTGCGAGTCGGAATGCTCAAATCTGACCGGCCAACTTGAGGTACCTTCCTGACTGTTTGGTAGATTAATCTCCAACACTTCTGATCTCATTCTCGATCCCCAATCCTGCAGCTCATCATTGATCTTAAGAATGCAATCAGGTGGCTTGATACGCACTTCATCTTCACGGCAGAGATGGTGAGTAATCAGTGGTGAGGACCCAGGTTGGAATAGAAGGTCACATATTGCAGAGACCACCGACATAAAGGGGAAGGTGAGTCACTTTGCCGGGTGTAATGTTCTCATGATCTACCGTTCCTTTCACGTGTGCAGGCCGAAAGAATGCAGAAGAAGCTTTCACTGGAGCGTCTGGACTCGTCGACTTTCAACTCGGATGATTTCACGGTGGTCAGGCCCTGCTGAGTATGGGGCAGGAGGAGGTGGTTCATATGTCGGTGCATTGTTGATGACTTCAATCTCATACCAGCCTGCCAGCAGTATCTTGTCACTGAGACTCTACGCTGCAACCCCTTCTATGTCTAATTTTCAAGCTTCTCCATCAACATTATATTGCATGGTATTGTGAAATTGCATATCACTTCGGTAATTGGGATGACGATCAGTCGCCGTACTGGAGGGGGGACGGCGTCAGCTGCCCTCCGGATGTGGCCTGGGCGCGACAAGGCATATGCCCGAACGATTCCGATGGCCACTACGATATCGTCCTTCGGTCTGTGCACCATGGCGCAATAGACTGAGCTGTATATATATCAGTTGAATTACATCGTTGATCCCTTGTGCAGGGCACTGTGCTGCCGTTCAGTCCCCCACGGAACTCACCCCGTTTGCCGGGCGGGGGAGGGATCCGCGGGTGCTTCTCCGAGGGGGCTACAATGGTTCAGACCCGCTCCGTCGCGGCGAGAGGCGGCAGCCAGGATGAAGCCGAGGTCCTGGATCCCAGCACAAAGTTCCTGTACAGCCCGCACACCCTGACCGTGCTCCTAGCCGGTGAGGGGCCAGGGAAATCTTGTCTGTGCAATCAAAGGAGGTCGGCTGGCAATGCACCTCGGCTGATCACCTGCCACAAGACAAATCCCTGGCCCTTCGATTCCCCATGCAGCCATTGTTGGCCTGATCGCATGGGCCAGGCCCTTCAATCCCCCTGACACCCCGTCTGACCCGGCCACCGCTGCTTCGCTGGACTACCAGCATGCCAAGAATGGGATCTGGGCTGTGGTGTACGCCTTTCTGAGTGCGCCGGTTGCACTGGTGCCTGACGCGGGCATGAGAGGAGCAAGAGTGTCTGGCTTGCTGGGTATTCACTTGGTGCTTCTGTGCCTGGCAAACGCCCCCGACGCACACTCTCTGCCCTGCGGTTGCCACTCCCTCTTCTGAGTCTCCTGGACCCCGGTCCCCCAATGCTGCAGTCATTTCTACGGTCCAAGGCCCCGACACCAAGATGATCCGCCCCCACCCTGCCTTCTGGCGCTTTGTATTTGGGCTCGTGACGTGCTACACCCTCTTCATGGTGTACCTGCTCTTCCAGTCTGCTGATGGGGCCAGGCAAACCCTCAAGGTACAGGGAGGATCCTTGGAGTGTTGCTCTGTGCAGCGCCGTGTGGGATCTGGACGGTATGGGTGGCAACCTCTGCCTGAAGAGTAGATCCTCCGTCTATTTCCACTCCTGGCATCCCCAACCATGATCTGTCCAGCACCTCTACCCCGAGCTGGGGGTAGAGCTCGATGAGAGACACTATGGCACCGACTGCGCCCTCTATAAACCAGGCCAGGGCATTAACTGGGAGGTGCGCCCAGTGTGCTGCCATGGTGGGTGTGGGGCCCAGCTTCCGGCTGATTCGAGCCCACCGAGTGAAACTGGCGAGAGTCCGGTGTCATGCATGCTTGGCAGCGTGAGAAGACAAGGAAACTGAACCCAAGGGGCCGCCAGTAGACGCTGTGCCTGTTTTGATTTGAGTTTAGAGCTCACCCGATGGCGTTCTTCCCCTGCCTACAAACGCCTTTCCTCGATCGCACCCTCCTTCCTCCAGGTCATTAACGACACCGTGTTTGATGAGTTTGTCGTGGCCCACATCCTTGGATGGTGGGGCAAGACCCTCATGCTCCGTGACCGCACGATGCTCTGGATCATCAGGTAGGCAGGGCAGGATGGAAATGTGGGGGAAAGAGTGATGTGCTACGACTCCTTGACCCTGCCAGAAGTATTGCCACACATCTCATGGCAATCGCTGCACTACCCCTGCTGCGGCAGCATTGGGTTTGAGTTGATGGAGGTCACCTTCCAGCACTGGCTCCCAAACTTCAACGAGTGCTGGTGGGACAGCTGGATTCTGGACGTAGCCATCTGCAACAACCTCGGCATTGCTCTGGGTGGGTTCGGGTGGGGGCTAGGGGGACTTGCTGTGTGTTCCCGGTAGTGGAAGGGCCAATAGAGGATGGACCACTGTCAATGACGTGCACTGCGCCAGGGATTTCGAAACAATCGCGAATGTTTCCACCGAGCAGTTGGCGCGGCACAGGGACTACCCTTACAGATGTTCATGGGTTCTCACTGGGACAGAGCTATGTCCTAGAAACAGCTCATGGCACCGTGGCATCAAATTATGTGTGCCGTGTTGTTCGCCAATCACACTTTCAGGCATGTGGTCCATCAGCTACTTTGACAGCAAGGAGTATGACTGGAGGGGGATGAGCCAGCAGCCTTCCCTCCTGGCCAAGGCCCGCCGATCCCTGCTCCAGTTCACGCCCAAGTCCTTTTCAAACCTGAAGTGGCAGGCGTTTGCCAGCCCCAAGCGCTGCCTCCAGGTAGGTGCTTTGGGATTCCGCGGAGGGGCCGCAGGCGGGAGGGCACGCGGCATTGAGCGGGCAACCGCTGCACTTCTGGATTATGTGGTGTGGCTGGCACAAGCTGCTCCAAGTGCTGTGGCACCCTGAACGGATATGCACTGCTCCACACCCCTTCATCCTCTCTCTCCCCACCCCAACCCCCGCAGTGCCTCTTCCCCATTGCCGTCTTCCTGCTCTTTGAGGTCAACCACTTCTTCCTCAAGTTTGTGCTGTGGGTCCCCCCCTCCAACCCCCTTAACCCCATCCGCCTGTTCCTGCTCCTGGGTGTGGGACTCCCTGGCATGCGGGTGAGGGGTTTGCCGCACAGGCCGACGCGTGAGGGTTTGAGGGGGTGGCGGAGGGAGGGGGGGTGAAAGGAGCGCAAGGTGTCATGAAGGAAGCATGCAGGGGTCATGCCAGGGCCCTGTTCTACAGTCACCACATTCGCTCACCGGCCCTACGTTCCATGGATGCACAGGAGTGTTATGAGTACATCGAGGCGTCTGGCTCTCCCCAGGGAGCCGACATGCTGAAGCTGGGAGCCTTTGCGTGGCTGGGTCTCGCCCTGGCCCTGGTGGAAACCCTGGTCTCCATCAAGTTTGGCAAGGGGTGTGTGTGGAGGAGAGGAGGGAGGGGAAGTGCTGTGCGGCGGTGGATGCCGGGCTGGCACGCCTGGTGCGGGAGCCTGTGCAGGGGATGTCTCGGTCGGGCGTTCACCCCCCTCCACATGTGCCCTCCTTTCCATTCCCACGACGCAGCATGTTCCCGGCACCCTGGCCCACGCACATCCTGATCGGGTGGGGCCTGGCGGCCGCCTGCGGCCTCACCCTGTTCACGGTGTGGTCGCTGCGGTACTACTCGAGGCAGCACGCAGGCACAAAGGCCAAGGCGGCCTGAGGAGCCTTGAGCTGTCGTCTGCCTGGGGAAATGAAGCTGTTACAGGGGTGTCAGGGTGGCAAGGGAGGTCGCAACTCTGTGAGCATGCTGTCATATCACAGCTCAGCCTGGGCGGCTGTCCAAGATCAATGCTGTCATGTGGTGCGGATCAGCGTCAGAAGGGCCTGGGCTGGCACATGTTCCAGGAGCGTTGGGGGAGAAAAAGATGCAAGGTGCATGTCCTGCTGCCAAAAGATCCAAGAGACAACGTCTAAAAGCCATACCGGGGCACGCCCCAGTACTGCCACGCCTTGCCCCACTCTGGGTACCACACCGAGTCGGCGTCGCTCCTCAGCGGCGGGGCGGTGAAGAGGTCCAGGGGCGGATCGACTCGCCCGGCCAAGTGCTTGCTCCGCAGGGTCTGGATGCCTCCCTTGCGATCCAGCAGCTTGAGGTATCTGTGAGTGTGGTGGGTCGAGGTCCGATGCTTGATGCAGGGCAGGGAAGTCGGGGTGCTGATGGTGCAACTGGCAGCAAAGTGGTCATAGAAAGGCGTTAGGGTTGCAAACAGCATGAGACAACCAACCATCCACATGGCCACTGCATCTGGAAGACCCTCAACCATGGCTCTCCAACACGCGCTGGCGTCACCTTCGCAGGCCGTAGAGGGAGAGGCTGAGCACTGCGAGCAAGATGCCTGCCTGGACGTAGCCCCCCTTGACGATGAACATGGCCGAGGTGAAGATGACCTGGATGAGCAGGCATGCCACCAGCCTTAGGGAGGAGAAAGGAGGAATGGGTTTTGGAAGGTCTGGGTAGGAACTGGGTGAGGTGTTGGTGAACACACTATGCACTGAACGTGCAGCGAAACCCAGCAACATACTGCAACCATCAAGTCTCCCACCAACACAAAGACGCCCACCTATGGGCAAAGTAGGGCCAGATGCGGCCCTGGGCATTTGTCACGCTCTCGTACACATACAGGGCCTGGTACCTCCACACGATCCACATCAGGCTGAAGTAGATCAGCCCAAACGGGAGGATGAAGGGGGTGATGGGGGCGTACGCAAACACCGCCACCTGCGAGGGACGATGAGCTTGGAGATGAGGGGAAGGGAGGTGGGGGAGCGCGGCGCAGCGGCAGAATATGGGGCTGGCAGCTCTGGCCACCTGTCCTCCTGAACGAGAGACGAAAGGGATGCAAGCCACTCCCTTAAGCCCCCCCCTCTCACGTAGATGGCCATGACAATGACGCCGATGTCCCGGCTGTAGCGCAGGTTCCGGGCTGGGATTTCCATGGCCTTGTCGATGGGAACCTTGGCCCCTGTGGCGGCGGGGCAAGCGATATCCTTGGTCAGCGCAGCAGAGGCATGGGATTCACCGGTGGGCATGCCTCCATAACCATCTGAGCCCAGGCTCAGTGATGAAATGGCATTAGGTCGCAGTGGGCACCCAGGCCAGGAGAGAGCCAGAGGCATCACCCGCAGTAACTCACATGAGATGATGCGGAGCCACTTGAGGATGAACACAAACACCGAGGCTGCAGGCCAGAAGAGACGAAAGGGCACCAGGGCAAATCCCCGGAACATCACATACAGGACAAAGAAGCTGCGATGGATGGTGGAGAGAAAGGGGAGGTGTGGGGACAGGGCTGGCATCTGCACAGTTCAGCAAGACCGCGGCAAGGGGGATGTAGACGTTGCCCAGGCAACGAATGTGCTGTGCAGGTCAAGCAGCTTGCAGCAATCCCCTGCAGCCCTGCCGCCGCCATCAGGCCCCTTGCCATGCACACCAACACACACGAAGCCCCACATGAAGCAGGGGTGCAGTCGGCTCCCCCATACCCAGGCCCGGACTTTGTCGCACTTGGAAGAGGCGGGGATGGCATTGCCCAGGAGGGGCCAGATGTTGGATGGTCGCTCCAGAAAGGTCTGGATGCTCGACAGGACGGACCCCCCCAGCAGGGCTCCCAGGAACAGGTTGAAGACGTTCCTGCAGGGTGGAGAAGTTATGAGGGGTGCAGGAGGGCAGTTATCCCAAAGGCATGCAAGCAAGGCCTTTGGAGCAAGGCTCCATGTCTGGGATGCTCGCTGCCTCGCTGCTTTCCTATTTCAGGAGCAGTTGCAGTCTCTCAGCAGCCGCGATCCGTCTCTCTGCTGGGTTTGCGCATCCTTTTCCTGGATGGAACAGGCGCCTCCATTCCCCTCCACCCCAGCGCACCAGTAGAAGAAGAGCTCGCCGCAGCGGTAGTCGAGGTCCTCCAGGCTGAAGCTGGTGGCCTCCGCCTGCGCCACCAGGTAGAACGCGAGGGGCAGCACCAGCACCTGGTACAGCGACAGCAGCAGGGAGGGCAGGAAGCCGGTGAGCAGGTTGCGCAGGAAGCGCGCCAACCGTTCATCGGAGCAGAACCAGGAGGTGGCGTAGGTGGTGAGGTCGGCGTCCCCTGCAGGCACGCCGCAGATGGCCGTGCTGAGCTGTGAGAAGGCGCCGGTGAAAATGCCGATGGGGAACAGCATGATGACCATGATGACAGGGAAGACCAGCAGCGGGCGCACCATGCGCTGCTTCCACCTGAGAGGTGGGTGGTCATGAGGAATACCAGAGTGCTGAGCTGTATTCTGTACGTGTTTATGTGAGAGGCTTCATGGATGTACGGAGCGCTACCATGGTGCAGAGACTCGTGCACGTCCCAGACTCTGAGCTCTCTTTCCCCCCCGTCAGCACCATGCCCTCAGATGGGCCGAGCCAGCGAACAAGCCAGACGCTGGAACGCCTGCCCCGCCACGCACACACCCCACTCTTTGCTGCCCGCCATTTGCCCCCCAGCCAGCCCTCACCCGCGGAGGAGGGCCACCCAGTTGATGTCGGCGGGGTCGGGCGAGGGCAGCACGCGCATGAGGTGCTGATCGGGCGGATTCACGTTCACACCCGCGGCGAAGGCCGCCGCCTCCTGCGTGCGGAACACGGCGAAGAAGGGGCCCGTGGGCGGGCGCTCCAGCGTGCGCCGTTTCGCGGTTTCCACCTCCAACAGCACGGCACGCAGCTCGTCCTCCAGCTGCGTGGCGGCCGCAGTCAGCTTTGCCAGACGCGCGTCCCGGCGCTTGCGCCGGCGCGGGGTGGGCGCCGGCGCTCCGTCCCCGGGCTCGCCTGCCTCGTGCGCCTGCAGCGCGGCGCGGCTGCGCTCCAGCCGGCGCACGAGGCCGAAGCGGCGGTGCAGCAGCTTGTCCACGGCGCGGCAGTCGTAGACGGGCACCACGGCCACGAAGTCGTCGGCAAACACCTCACCAAACACGCGGCCCGCGGACTGCATGCGGCGGTTGGCGTGGCGCCAGGCCAGCCCGTCCTCGGCTTCCTTGTCCTCGCCGCCCTCGCCGCCCTCGCCGTGCGTGGGGCTGCCGTCCTCCCCCCCCTCCCTCCTCCTCCTCGGTGCCCACCACGGCGTAGCTGGCGGGCCAGCCGCGGCGCCGCCGCGACAGCACCGACACGCCCGGCAGCACGCCCTCGCCGGAGAAGTGGTACCGCTCCTCCGCGTCGTCCAGGATCAGGACCGCGTAGCGCCCCACGCGCGGCACGCCGTACGGCTGGCCGCGCACGGTCAGCACGCACTCGGGCCCGCCCAGGGCCACGGGCGGTGCGCCCGGCAGCACGCTGGGCACGACGCGCGAGTCGATGTGGCTGGCCGTGCGCCGGCTCAGCAGGCCCGCCTCGGGGTCCGCCAGGGTCACGCTCACGCCGCCCGCCGACGCATCAGAGCTGGCGGGGGCCGGCGGGGGTGCCGCCGACCCGTTGCCCACGGGCGAGTCGCCGGCCTCCTCCTGGCTGCTGTGGCCCTTGACCACCTCCGACTCGGGGTGGAACTCGTGCCACATGGCCAGGCTCAGGTGCGCCTGGGGAGTGTGGTGGAAAGGGGGGATGAGGCGTGGACTGGGAGGTGCATGGCACACACCGCCAAGGGAGGTGGCGGGCCCTGGTTCATGATATCAGCATGTCATCAACATGTGCGACCAGGTAGTCTGCCACTTTACGGCCATGCAATGCACCCGATCCTCACCTTGTGGTAGCGGACGAGGAGGAAGGAGGCCCAGGCCACAAAGAGGATGACGTAAACAAAGGGCACCCTGTGACGGGGAACGCATGGGGCCCGTCAGCCAGGCAGCAATGGAGTGGCCATGAGGCCGTTGGAGTGTGGACAGGTTCCATCGACTGGATGGCATCCACCAGCGGGTCGCGGGTGCACTGCCCACCCATTCCATCCATCCTTTCACACCACTGCCGTGGGGTGGAGACTGTGCACCGGGAATCAAGCCCTTCTTCCCTTCCTCACTTACCAGAGCCTGCCAGAATCCTTGGGGATGTTGCTCATGGTCATGCGCAGGAAGGCGGAGTCCAGCCGCGACCCTGACACGATCTCGCTGGCAGAGTTGGTGTAGTTCACGGGGATCACTGCGCAGAGTGGGATGCATGCTGTGTCAGGGGCTTGTGGGGGCAGGTGGCGGCGTCTTGGCATGCTGTGGAGCGAGGGGTCGGCAAACAGCAGGCATCCCAGCGCCTCGCGTTGGTTGACCCACTCGACCCTGCGTCGCCCACACCTCCACCCCCCCTGCAACTCACACACTGCCACTCCCAGCACGGTCAGGGGGGCCAGGACCAGAATGCCGTACTCAATGATGCGCAGGGAGGCCTGCGAGGAGCGTTTTGGAAAGGGTGCAGTGGGGGGAGGGAGTGACATGGAGGTACCTCTGTGTGTGCAGCACTCCAGTCTCGCGCACGGTGATCTCACGCTGGCGACAAGTCTTACGCTCCTAGACCCACGGCGCCCTCTCCACCCACCACAGCATCCAGTCCGGCCTGGCGCAGCAGCTCGCTATCACTGACTGTGAAAGGAGGAACGAGCCAAGACCTGCACGGAGAGAGGACCAGCGGCATGCCAGTGGATGCACAGGACAGCCCAGCGGGCATTCGACACGACGGCATGCCAAGGAGTCGGCGTGACATGCGTGCAGACCAAGCGCTCCTCGGAAGCCGAGCATGGGGCATCAAGTACCTAAGCAGTCCAGGTCTGCCCTCTCACCAGAGCCGGCGGTGCCCTTTCAGTGGCATGAGCGCTGGGCGCCACTGCTTCTTGGCAATGTACATGCGGGCCTGGTAGATGGGAAAGGACCCCCTCCACAGCACGAAACCGATGAGGAAGAGGGCCCCCAGCGCCAGGTCCAGGTAGAGGCCCGTCACGATGTTCTGGCCTGGGGCAGGCAGGGTGGGTCGGCGGGGCACCTAAGACCCGAAGCCTGGCCTCTTTGGGCATGGAGAGGGCCACCTTGTTCCCCTGCACCCGAAACATCGCGTATTGAAGGGTCGTGGTCATGCAATGGGCAGAGCTCACCAGACTTGGACGTCGGGTAGCAGAATATGGCCGTGCAGTCGGTGGTAATGTTGGCGGTGCCATTCCCCAGAATGGAGCTGATCGACGCCATGCTGTCGCACCCGTGACACCAAATGTGGCCTGTACTCTACAAGTCAGGGTTTCGAGGAAGCCTGCATGACTGCGAGTAGTCTCAAGCTCGGACAAACGCGTCTCTGCTGGACGTAATGTCCTGCATGTGGTTGACTCTGTCGCACCTTCGTACGACGTGGCCGTCAAATTTTTCATATGCTCCAGGTTCGGGGCACCTTCGTGGTCTGACCATGCGCCAGCGTCAGAAATACCACAATCGTGACTACCACAATTGAGGGCTTGATTGTGCCTTGCACGCTGGATTCTGTTGCTTTAATTTCTTGAAAACCCTATCCCATGTGCAAGTAGTCAGCCCTTCACAAAGCTAAAGTACTGTGCGACGATGTCCTGCACTTGTCTTTACAACATAGCAACTAAACGACCACAGTTGCAACATTCCCAACCCAAACTCCAAACAATGTACACGAGTGCTGGTAGATAGAATCAGTAATTTAAGAGAAGTTTTCACACGTGAGCACTGATGAGGTCGTCTCGTCGTAAGGCTGACACCACATGCGAGATTAGCGCGCGCCGGCGCCCTCCCCTGCATGCTGTTTTCACGCAGGGCCACCCTTCCAGGATTCCTGACGGTCGGCGTAGAAGACTCACATGAAGAATCAATATTAGCATAATTCAAATCGCTCCTTGGGGGACTCCAGCGTTGTTCGTGGGGATGGGTATTCCCACCTTGTAGCGTTTCCGGCCACCGCTTCGCCACCCCTGGTGCCCGCCATGGCGAAGAAGAAGGGGCCTGTCAAGAAGAGGTATGGCTCCAAAAAGGCTGAGCCTGTGCCCAATCTCTTTGAGCGCCTGAGCTCCCACAAGAAGTTCGACGTGCTGGGCCGGAAAAAGCTCAACGGCCCTCAGGAGAAGAGCAGGTTACGCAGCGCGGCTCATGAATTGGTGGGTGGAGTTCAAAACGGGATGATGGGGAGAAGAACTGCACAGAAGGGGGCGTGCGCCTCGCAGTCTCTTACCTCGTAGTCCACTGAGCACGCTGCCTGCACCTTGGCCCCATCATCAATTCCCCATATCAGAGGAAAAACACGCTTCTGGTGGAGTACAAGCAGCTCCGAAAGTCGAATGCCTTCATCGACCGACGCTTTGGAGGTGCGTGGGCCGCACGGTAGCTTTATGTTTGGGTTGCTGCGCTGGCTGCAGCCAGGCGGCACTGTCTCAGTTGATACACTTGGTCAGCAACAACATGAATTCCTTGCGTCAATTCACAGAGGACGATGAGAGCCTGACTGCTGACGAAAAGGCGTTGCTCCGTTTCCAGAAGCAGCGGATGCAGGAGCTCGCAGGTGCGGTATCAGTTTTACGGTGGTTGTAAAAGATTTGTACATCCTGAGCCCAGTGTCTTGCTTTCCAGAGGCTCAAATGCCCCATTCAGCCCCATTGTGCCTTCTATGTGACCAAACGCGTTTGCACCTATCAGACAATTACCCCACCTCCCTCTCGCCATCCTTCAGGTGGCAAGTTTGCACTCCCCGACGACACCCAGGAGGTGGAGCTGACGCATCTAGGTCGCAGCCTGGCCGAGTCCCAGGGACTGGGCGAGGTGTGGCGGGTTGGGTGGGATATAGAGCGGGGACTCAATCGATACAGGGGCTGGGGCAGGGACAGGGGCATGTACAAGAGTGCGGCCTCAGCAGCAAATGCCCCGTTCCCAAGGCACGGTGCTCATTGCACTGGCCACAACGCACAATGCCGGTATCCTTGGGCACCCAGCATGCACTCTCGTACATTGCCCCATCCCAGGACTGGCAAAGGGATGATGAGGACGACGGCCTGCCCGACTACGACGTCTCCGCGCACTTTGGCGGCGGGGACGGCGAGGGCGGCGACCTTTTCCAGCTCAAGCCCCGCAGCGAGTCCGCCGAACTCGAGGGTGGGGATGGCGACGACGCGCCCGCCCCACGCCGCAGCAAGGCGGAGGTCATGGAGGAGGTGATCGCCAAGTCCAAGGCCTTCCGTGCGGCCAAGCAACAGCAGCGGGAGGAGGACGTGGAGGAGGTGGAAAAGCTGGACTCCGTCTTCCGGGAGCTGGGCGCTGCAGGGGCCCTCTCCCGCCTCGTGCGGCCCAAGGGCGCCAAGGGGTGAGAGCGGGCACGGCACTCTGGTGCCTGGATTTGGAAGACCGAGTCGACCAAAGGGGCAACCTAAATGAGGCTGCCAAGTGCGCCCTGCGACCTGATGGGGTGGAGCTGGCAGCCAGAGGGTGGAGGGAACAGATGGACCGGCGTCGCCTCAGCTTTGGCTGGGTGTGCACCGAGATCCAGAATGATAGATGGAGGTGCATGAAGATCTTCACAATGCCCTCAGCAAACCCATTTGATTCCACGGACCCCTTTCAGGAGCCTGGCTGGGTTGGAGTCTCGTGAGGACGTGGCTTTTGACATCGCTGCCCGGGAACTGGTCTATGAGGCTAAGGGTGGCCCCGCGGATCGCCTGAAGTCCCAGGCGGAGCTGGAAGCCGCCGAGAACGAGCGTGCCGCCAAGGCAGAAGCCGCGCTGCGCCACCGACTCAAGGTGGGAAACGGGAACAGGGGTGTCGAATTTGGCTGATCAGGCAGACTCAATTGCCTGCACTAAGTTGCCAGGAATTGACTCCAATCCCAGCCCTTGCCCCTCTCATCATGCTCGCGTGACTCAAGCTGGTACCTTCAAAACCATCTGCAGGCCAAGGACCTGGGCGAGGGGTCGGACAAGGACGGCGAGGACGTCACCGACATGCTGGAGCTGCCCTCTGGCGGCTTCGCTGCCCGCCGCGCCAAGGCCGCCGCTGTCGCCGCGGCTCAGGGCAAGAAGCGCAAGGGTGGGAGCGGGGATGCACTGGAGGACGAGGACGAGTTCGACCTGTCGGCCAGCGCCAGCGAGGAGGGCGAGGACGACGAGGAAGGCGCGAGCGGGAGCGAGGACGAGGAGGGCGGCCCCCTGACGGCTCTGGAGGCTCGGCGCCGGGCGCGGGCGGCCGGCTCCGACCCGCTGCAGGCCGCCTTTCGCGAGGCCGCCAAGCGCCTGCTCAAGCGACACAAGGGCCAGGCGGAGGGGGAGAGCGAGGAGGAGGACAGCGAGGAGGAGGATTGTGGGGCCGATGAAGGCGATAGCGGAGATGACGAGGAAGTGGAGGAGGGGAGCGGGGAGGAGGAGGAGGAGGAGGTTGAGGCTGAGGAAGAGACTGGTGGCCTGTTGGAGGACGACAGTGCCTCAGAGGAGGAGGACGAGGAGGAGCGGACGATTGACGTGGGACGGCGCCTCACCACCCAGCCAGAGCCAAGCATCCACCCTGAGGCGGCAGTCAGTGGAGAGCAGCAGGCAGCGCCCTCCATGCTGCAGCGCTTGCCGACCACCTACCCGGAGTTTGCACGCCTGGTGGAGGTGAGTGTGTGTGTTGAGATGGAGTGGGGAGGGGAGGCAAGAGCTGTGTCAGGATTGGCAGCCTGACAGTCTCCTGCAGCCCTGCTGCTGGCTGCTGGGCTGGCTGCTGGGGGAATGCATGTACTTTCCAGCAAATTCAGCCTCACATCCCCTATTGGTTTGTCCGCATGGTGCAAGGAGCCAAGCACTCGCCCTGTCCTGCCATTGCTAGCATGACATCCGCCGCTCACCCCCCTGCTCCTCACCGCCGGGACCCCCCCCCCCACCCCCCCTCCCATCCACCCAGGGCCTCTCCGCAGCCGAGCTGCACGAGACGGTCGGCGCACTTCGCGTGACCCACGCCGCCGCGCTGGCTCGGGACAACCGCGCTGGCATGCAGACCTTTTACGGCCAGCTGACGCAGCACTTTGCCAGCGTGGCGGCGGCTGGGGGCCAAGATGCAACCGCCGCGCTGGACGCGCTGCTGCCGCATCTGCTGGAGCTGACGGCGGAGGTGCCGCTGTACGCCGCAACGCTCGCGCGCGCGCGGCTCTCAATGTGGTCGGCGCGGCTGGGGCGGCGGCTGGCGGACCCCGGGCAGCGCGCCGACGCCTGGCCGGCGCCGGGCGTGGTGGCCGTGCTCCTCCTCTTCCTGACCCTCTTCCCGCCCTCGGACCGGCGGCACCCGGTGCTGACCCCGGTCGCGCTGCTGGCGGGGCGCTGCCTGACCTTCTGCCCCGTGCTGACGGGGCGCCACCTGGCAACCGGCCTGACCCTGGCTGGCCTCCTCTCGGCCGCGCACACGCCCGCGCAACGCTTCAGCCCCGAGGCCCTTGAGTTTTGCGCGCGCGCGCTGCGCAGCGTCACAGCAGGGTGGGTGGGCGAGGGCGAGGACGGCGAGGGCGAGGACGGCAAGGACGGTCGGATGAGAAAGACCGACATGTGGCTGAGGCTCGACAGCCTGGCGCCCCTGGCCGAGTTCCGGCCGCCCAGCCTTGGCGGGCTGCTGGCCGCAGGGCCTGCGGGGTCCTCGGACCAGCGGTGGGAGAGCGCTGACGCGCGGACGCTGCTGGCGTGCGTCGCGGCGCGCCAGGCCGCGCGCTGCGCGGAGGGCCTGGCCGGCTGCGACGCGGCGCCCGAGGCGCTGCGCCCGGTGCTGGACGCGCTGGCCGCCATCCTGGCGGAGGACAGCGCGGCGGTGCCCGAGGCGCTGCGGGCCGAGGCCGGCGCCGCGGCACGGACCCTGGAGGGGGCCATCGCGCGAGGCCTCGTGGCGCGGCGGCCCCTGGTCCTGGCGGCGGCGGTGCGCATTGCCGAGGCGCGGCAGTACAACCCGCGCTTCGAGGACGGCTACGTGGCCACCAAGGACTACGACCCAGACAGGTAGGGGGTTGGGGGTGGGGTGGTATTCTTGGGCGACAGCCGGATAGGGGGCCGGGCGAGGAGGAAAGGGAAAGTGGGAGCCTCCACCCCCCTGACGCCGTCAAAGCTGGAGCGGGCTCTGAACAATCTTGCGCTCACCAATCACAACCCGCTCAGGGAGAGGTCGGAGCGGCGCAAGCTGCAGCGCCAGGTGAGGAAGGAGCAGCGGGGCGCGGCGCGCGAGCTGCGCAAGGACGGGGCCTTCATGGCCGCAGTCCGGGACAAGGAGAAGGCCACCAAGCAGGCGGCCCTGGACAAATCGGCCAAGCGGGTGCGTTGCTGGGGATAGGGGACGGTGCGGCATCATGGTACCGTGGCTGCCGCTGCTTGGGGCGCAAGGGTCGTCTCCCGGCTGACGGCCCGTTGGTCATTTAGACATTCGCTGCCCGCCAAGCCACCCCGCCCCACCACCGCACCACACACACACACCCTCCTCCATCCACAGGCGATGTCCTTCTTGCAAAAGCAAGAGTCCGACTTCAAGAGCGGAGGGCAGGGCGGCATGTGGAAGAAGGGCAAGAAGTTTTGAGGGTGTGGTGCAGATGTGCCGGGTCCTATCAGGGCCTGCCTGCTCAGCCCTCCTTGCTCCTTGCAATCCCTGTGACATTCTCGGCTGGTTCAGCATCTCTCAAAGCAATCAGAACACGAGGTGGTCATGTAGAGGGTGGCATTGCAGGGTCAGAAGCACCCTGCAGTGCCTGGGTTCACGGTGCCGAGCATGGCCTGCCCGGATACGTTTTGGGGGTTGGGTCACGGCTCGCGAGCCGCCGCCGCCCGCCCGCCTCCCGATGCGAGGACTCCCGGCGCCCCTCGCTCGCCTCCCCCGCCCGTCTCCCGATGCGAGGACTCCCGGCGCCCCTCGCCCGCCTCCCCCGCCGCGGTGGCGGGCACGGTGAAAGCGATGCACTCCAGCCCCAGCTCCTGGGTCAGCACGGCCACGACGGCGCGCTGGGCGTCCGCGTCCCTGCACAGCAGCTGGGCGGTGCCGTCGCCCTGGGACCCCACCCCCTTCCCCCCCAGCAGGTGCGGCTGGATGGCAGGGAGGCGCAGCACCCGGTGCAGGACGGGGGACCCGGCCTCGCCCAGCTGCGAGGGACACAGCGGCCCCGCCGCGGTGTCGAACTCGGCCTGGGCGGCAGTCATCAGCCGGCCCAGGCCGGCGACGTCGCCGCGGGCCATGCTCGCCGCGGCCGAGACGGTGAGGCTCTCGTTCAGGGGCCCCAAGCAGCGCACCAGGGCATGGTGTGCTGAAGTGCTGGGGACGGGGTACGCTTGCTTCGCAAAAGGGGGTGGAGGAAAGGGGTGGGGGGGGGAAGGGCGGGGGCCAGGCTTGGGCGTTGGAAAGTCTCAAGCTGCCAGAGCCGGAGAAGCCTGAATGAGAAAGGGGACCTGCAGGCCACCCAGGGTCCTTGCTTTCCCGGAAGGCGAGGTCTCCTTCCGAGGACTTTCACGCTGTACAGCCCCCTCCTTTTGGTCCTCTGCCTGCTCACCCCCCCCCCCAGCAGATACCCAACCCAAGCATTGCCCGCCACTCCACCTGCAGGCAGGACAGGATCTGGACGGTGTCCTTCCCCGCCCTCAGGTCGGCGAGGACGAGGTGGAGGGGCTCCCTCAGGGCCACGCTCTCCACCTGCATCGCATCCCCATCAAAGGTCATGAGGGCTGGGGCCCTGCCCAGCGCAACCGCCTGGTCCATGCGCCCACAGCGGCTGGGCGTCAGGCGCTCGCCCTCGTACGCCACCCGCATCTCGTCGCGCGTCGTCAGACCCAGGTCGAGAACGCGGTTGGCGGCGCGGGCCAGCAGCACGCAGAGCGCCGCGCTGGAGGACAGGCCGCGCTTCAGCGGCAGGGTTGTGGCGTGGTTGTCGATCTCCAGGCCGGCGATTCTGTACTCCAGGGCCAGCTTGTAGGCCATGCCTGCTGCGTAGGACCAGAAGCCGCCGGCCCTGGCGGTCTAAGCTTGGGTGTGGGAGGGGTAGGGGAGGCTGGGAAGGGTGGATCTGGGGCCCAGGTGAACAGGCATGTGGTCTTGAAGAGGGCTGGCGGTGCAGTAGCCGACTCGGGAGCAATACGGCAGCGAAAAGGAATCACGCACCTCGATGAGGCCGTCCGGGTCTTGCAGGTCGAACGTCTGACTCAGGCGCCGCCCGTCATTGGTGGTGGAGGTGAGGTGGAGGAGGGCATCGTCGCGGCGGCGCGCACGGGCGTACAGCCCCTGCTCGGTTGTCACCACGATGGTCCTGCCTGGCACGATGTCGGGATTGGACCTGGGAGGGGGTGATGTGAAGGTACTGGAAAAGATTGAGAATAATCACAGGGCCAAAAATCTGGCAGTGGCAACTTCATCTTCCCAATCGCCACAGAGGACCGCGCAGCAGCCCGGGCTCACGCGCGCATGGATCCTGCCCAGTCAGAGTGCTCCCCAAAGAGGCAAAGTCGCCCAGGGACGAAGATCGCAATGGCTTGCGGAACATTGCAAGCGTCTGCCTCCATTCCAGCCAACGGCAGGGCCGGCGCGCCCGAACCTGCGCTGCCTGGTTGCGGTGGCCCGCGCAACGCCGCAAGTGTACAAATCAGCAATGCTACATTTGTTGATATCAATAGCAGGCTGCGCTGTGTGGCATTGGTATGAAGCTAGGCATCGAGGCCTAGGCCCTTGGCACCCCCATCGAGCGCCGTCCCCGTCACCACCCTTCCGGTGATCTCGGACCGCATCGCGGGTTCGGAGATGCCGGGACGCTTTGAAGACCTCCATGCCGAGTAACCCTGATCACTGGGCACCATGTTTCCCTCAATAATGATCTGAGCAGATACGCGAAGATCTTGCGGGCATGGCAACCTCGGAGTATGGGGAGGAGGGTGGCGATGAGGAATCCGTCGTGTTGCCGAGTACGGTTTCAGGATCCTGGCTGACACCCCTCCGCATGCTGGTGCTCTTCTGCACCCTCAATATCCTAATCTACATGGACAGGCAAGCTTGGCGAGGGGCCCGCGCAGCCCCACACCATGTTTTGACCGTGTGATTTGCTGCACCTGCGGCACCCCAGCGGAACTTATCTCGTGGTCACTCCCCCGCCGCAGAGGGGTGATCAGCAGCAACGGCGTGAGTGGAACGGCTGGAACCCCCGGGGAGCCCGGTAGCGGCATCATGGGCGCCTTCGGCCTGACCCTCTTCCAGGCAGGGCTCCTCCCTGCGGCCTTCATGGTGGGCCTGCTGGTCGCCAGCCCGGCGTTTGCGGAGGCCAGCAAGCAGTGGCACGCCCTGCGTCTCATTGCCCTGGGCCTCACCGTCTGGCTCCTGGCTGCCGCGGCCAGTGGGGCGGCCTGGGGCTTCTACTCCCTGCTCGCCGCCCGCATGGTCGTGGGAGTGGGGGAGGCGTCCTTTGTGGCCCTTGCCGCCCCCTTCATCGGTGCGCCGGGCGGGGATGCTGGGGGTCGTATGTGCTTCTTTCGTGCACACTGCCCTGCTGCACGGAGGCTGCTTGGCGCTGGCGACGACGGCTGACATGCACACCGTGGCCTGCTGGCCCAGCATGCGCTTGCCATGCTCAGGCACCGAACGTCCCCCCTTTCCCACCCCAACCCCTCCCCTCCTCCAGACGACGTGGCGCCCCCCGCCCGCAAGTCCTCCTGGCTCGCCGCCTTCTACCTCTGCATCCCCGCCGGCGTGGCCCTGGGCTACATCTTCGGCGGCCTCCTGGCGGCGGGCCTGGGCTGGCGCGCCCCTTTCCTCCTGGAGGCGGCCCTGGCCCTGCCGCTGGTGGCGCTGCTAGCCTCGCTGCCCCCGCTGGACCTGCGCGGCTCGCACTCCGCCGCCGGCCAGCCCGGCGCCGACTCCCTGCTTTCCTCTTTGAAGGCCGACGCCCTGGCCCTCGCCAGACTGCCCGTCTACGTGCTGGTGGTGGCGGGCATGACCTGCTTCACCGCCCTGCTGGGCGCGCTTTCTTACTATGGCCCGCGGGCGGGGCGGGAGGTCTTCGACATCCCCGCCCCCACCGCCGACGTGACCTTTGGCGGGGTCACAGTGTTCACAGGTGCGATGCCAAAGGCGTCGGGGGGGCTGGGGGGGGGTTCCAGACCGTGGGCGCAGCAGGGATGATGTTGGCATCGCAAGTGAGGACGGTGGATTTGGGCGTTGTCCTTGCGCCCCGTCACTGGCCAGAAGTACTCTGCAGCGAAACAAAACGTAAACTATTCTATGAGCACTGAGCAGGGGGCTGCCAGCAAGTCCCCACCTGACCTGGTTCCACAACCCCATGCATGCAGGCATCGTGGGCACGCTGATCGGAGGCGTGGCGCTGGATGGCATGGGCAGCAGCATCCACAATGCCCTGCTGCTCTGCGCGGCCGGGCTGGCAGCGGGGTGCCTGCTGCTCATCGGCGCTTTCGCTCTCGCCTCCAATTTTGTGGCCTTCATGGCTGTGCTGGTGAGGCGGGCATGTGGAGAGGGTTGTAGGGGCATGTGTGGTTGAAGCGTGGGCGACCTAGAGTTGTTACTGGGAGGAGCTCACCATGAGTATGTGGGTTGCCCAGGTCTCACATCAGGCTCAAAGCCTGCGATGCACCACGCCCCTCCTGAGAGTCCCAACAAAATGCCTAGTACCCCTGCACCACCTTGAGATACCCACTCTCCACCCGCAACACAGGCCCTGGGCCAGATGTGCCTGTTTGCGACCATGGCCCCCAGCAACGCCGTGGTCCTGTGGACCGTGCCCCCCGGCCTCCGGGCCCCAGCCATGAGCTTCTCGGTGGTGGCGCTGCACGTGCTGGGGGACGTGCCCAGTCCCCCCGCCCTGGGCTTCCTGCAGGGCCGCCTGCGCGACTGGCGGCTGTCCCTCAGCCTGGCCTCCCTCCTGCTCGCGGCGGGGGCGGCCTGCTACGCCCTGGCCACCGCCCCCGCCCGGTCAGCGACAGACTACCGGGCTCAGGACGCGGCCACCCGGCCACCGCTGGAGGTCCAGGACCTGCGGGACGCCTCCCTCGCGGACTCGACGGCGGGGGCTGGGGTGGGGGGGGTGGAGGGCATGCGCCTGCGCCTCCTGGCGGGGCAGTCCACGCCCAACCTGGCCATGCTGCGGGAGCTGGAGGAGAATAGGGAGTGAGCATGCAGCCGATTCTGTACTATTCTTTTCGTTGTGTATCACTTGTAATAAATCGCATTGGCATGAGTGCGGGGTATCGGTGCGCCGGTGCCACGACAAGCCGGGATCCGGAGCCCGCGGATCATTTGCTCCGACAGTTGTAATTTGGGGAAAAGTAAACAAGGTGCAGGCGGGATATTTGCTGGGACCATCTCTCAATACGGACTGCTCAGACTAGCCGTGCAGAGAGCCCTACCTCTATGCTGGCACTGGGCCAGACTCGGACTGCGCTCCACCTCTGCGCTCTACGAGCCAACTTCAGGGCCTGCAACCTTGGGCAGGTGCGTGCTGGTACCAAAGATTCGAGGGATGGGTGGATGACTGTTCATTGATGTGCATCGATGGGAGTTGTAGCTCGGAGCATTACGATCTGGACCCCCTCGACTGTGCAGAGAGCATACTCAGGACCAACTTCTCGAGGCGTGGCCCGTCATCCTCCTCACCGTAGCATCACACATCACTCAAGCAAGCGTGTATCTCCCACATTGATTGCCGACGCCTCCAGAATGAGCGCTCAAGGCTCGGACGTCCCCGACATTGTGTCTGCCCAGTGGCTCAAGGACAGGTCTGTGGTGATGTGTTCGAGGGCGTTGGCATGCAGAGATCGTGTTCTTTGGTACATATCGCTGCAGGATTATGACTATCCTTGAGTTCCATTTCCAGAATGAGGGCTGAGTCTTATCAACCCTCTCTCACAGGCTGGCGGATGTCAAGGTGCTGGATGCGAGCTGGTACCTGCCGGTGCACAAGCGTGATGCGGTCGAAGAGTTCAAAGCCTCCCGTCTCCCCGGTGCCCAATTCTTTGACCTGGATGCCATTTCGGACACCTCTGTGGGTGAGCCAGGAAGGGGTTGTCCAGGTGGTGAGACTGTCACTGAGCACGCCGCTCATCAGAGTTCTTGCTGATGCCAATATCACATGTGGGCTGCTCCAGGATCCTACGTCCTGATATGCGCACCCACCTCCGCCTTCGACCCCCTATTCCCGCGCATCTGCATCCCTGCTGCCCCCATACCCCTGCACAGACCTGCCCCACATGCTGCCCAGCGAGGCAGCATTTGCTGCCGCAGCCGATGCGCTTTGCATCAACCCTGACGATACCATCGTCGTGTACGACCGCCTGGGCGCCTTTTCGAGCCCCAGGGCCTGGTGGACCTGGCACGTCTTTGGCCACAAGAGGTATAGGGAGAAGGGAGAAGGGATTGGGCGGTGTGGAATGGTGTTTGGTCCTAGGCGCTGGGTGGTCCTCCTGTGACAGGGCGCGCCCCATCGTGGGTCCTCCCCTTCCCGCTCGGACGCAGTATTCTTGAAAGGAGCTCACCGACCCCCCTCCATCCCCCGCCCCGCACAGGGTGGCGGTGCTGGACGGCGGCCTGCCTGCCTGGGTGGAGGCGGGCAGCGAGCTGGAGAGCACGCCCGTGTCGGACAGCGCGCTCACCGCCCCCGGCGCCGCGGCAGCGGCCGCCCAGGGGCCGGACGCCGGCGTGCGGCCCGACTCCCGCTACCCCGCGCATCTGGACTCGTCCCAGGTCGCCTCCTGGCGCGACGTGCTGGCCGCCGTGGAGGCGGGCACGACGGGCAACCTGGTGGATGCGAGGCCCGCGGGGCGCTGGCGCGGCGAGGCGCCGGAGGTGCGCCCGGGCCTGGCCTCGGGGCACATCCCGGGGTCCAAAAACCTGCCCTGGGACGCGGTGCAGAGTGGGGGCAGGTTCAAGCCGGCGGAGCAGCTGCGCGCCGCCTTCCAGGGCGCGGGCGCCGACCTCGGCCGGCCGCTGACGCTGTCCTGCGGCAGCGGGACGACAGCGTGCGTGCTGCTGCTAGCGGCGCGTCGCGCCGCACCAGGGGCGCGGGCAACGGTCTACGACGGCAGCTGGAGCGAGTGGGGCGGCCTGCCAGGCGTGCCGGTGGCCAAGGGGGCGGCCTGACCCGGTGGCGGGTAGATGCAGAGGAGGCTGTGATGAATGACGGTGTCGTCTCTAGAGTAAATGATGTCGAACTGTTCAGTGACTGCCCAGGGGTACCACACACCCCAGGCACAGGGTGGCGGTCATGATGGGAACATGTTTTGTAAATGGAGGTTGCCTTGCCGGCACATCCGGTGGTAGACCTTGTTCGCGCTCGATCTGACCACGAATGTAGTGCGATCTCCACGCGCGAACAACGGCCCTGCCTGCCTCCCATCCAGTGATCCAGACTTTCAAAGCTTTCGATATCACTGGGTGATCGCCACTGGCCAGTACGCTTGCGCTGCGGCACACAGCATGCTGAAGGTTCATGCGCGGACCACACCGCTCCTCCTGGTGCGCATGGACATGGGCGCCGCGCACGCCTGTCTATCTAGTGCGATGTTCCAGTGCCATACCATGACCACGCCCTATCATTCCTCCTCCTGCAGAATCCCCTGACACGCCCGGTCTACCGCCACCCCATGGGCAACAGGGGAGCCAGCCTGACCAGCACAGCAGCTGCGTCGCCTGCCTCCACCAGCACCTCCTCACAGGAGGAAGACACGCTGAGCGACTTCCATGCGCACCAGTCCAAGGCTCCACGCCTCTCCATCGCCGTCCAGGCCCGGACCCTGGTGGCTAGCAGCACGTGAGGCGGAGCATGCTGAAGGGGGCTGGTAATGATGCAACCCACATTCCTTTGGTGTGCCATTTCCATCAGCAGCCTTTGCACTCCTGGAGAGGCATTAATTCACTGCAACCCTCACACTGACCCCTCCTCCATGTCGCCTCGCCAGGTGGGGGGTGCTGTCCACCATCTCCAGCGGCCCCGACAGCGAGGGCTTCCCCTCCGGCAGCGTGGTGGAGTATGCCGTGGACGACCGCGGGCTGCCCCACTTTGCGCTGAGCACCCTCAGCCCCCACACACGAGACGTCCAGCGCGACGACCGTGTCAGCCTCATCGTGCCTGTCCAGGGGTCCAAGGTAAGGCCCGGGAGGGGGATTTCAGAGAGTGAGAAGGATCATCTCCGCAGGAGTGGTGGGACCCCACCACTCAGTGTCACTTCCTTTACACCTCGTGGCAACAGTCGCATCGCTTGTCCCACATGACGCTGGTTTATTTGACAACTGGGTGTGACAAGAGTGCCACTGCACACCCACAATGCACAACCCCAGGGCCTGCCGGACGCGCGGGCGACGTTGACGGGCAGCATGGAGTGCCTGGCCGGCGGCGAGGCGGCGGCGGCCGAGGCGCTGTACCGTGCGCGCCACCCGGGCAGCTACTGGGTGGGATTTGGGGACTTTGCCATGTACCGCATGGCCAGCTTGCGCGGTGTGCGGCTGGTGGGCGGCTTCGCGCGTGCGGGGCGGGCGGGCGCTGAGGAGTACCTGGCCACAGCACCTGACCCGGTGGCCGCCTTCTCGGCGCCCATCGCGCGGCACATGAATGCCGACCACGGGGAGGCTTGCGTCGCCATGGTGCGACACTGCGCGCGCCTGCCGGCGCGCGCCGCCCTCCTGCTGGCCGTGGACGAGCTGGGCATGGACCTGGAGGCGGAGCTGGAGAGCGGGGAGCGGCTGCCGGTGCGGTTGGGCTTCCTGGCGCCCGCCCCAGACCGGAAGGCCGTCAAGGACCGGATAGTGGAGTTGACGCGGGCCGCGAGCCGGGGTGGTTGAGGGGCTGGAGCATATGCGTCAGGAGGTCCAGAGGTCTGTTCAGGCCTTGGAAGCTCGGCTGTCTTCCTTCCAGGCTTTGGAAGCCAAATCCTGAGCCTCTGCCAAGCCAGCAGTTGTGATGTAGCATCGACGAACCCTGAGGCAATGCCTCCACGGAGCACATGCTCCGCCTGCAGCGAGCACGGCGCGCGCATTCCAGCCCTGCCTGGCGCAGTCCAAGGCTCCACTACCCCCAGGCTCCGATATCTCAGTCCGAGAAGTAGCGGTCCTCTGCATCCTGGGCCTGCAGGCGCGCCCAGTGCTCGTCCAGCTCGGCATCGCCGTCGATGGCGGGGTAGTCTATGCCCGGGTCGTGCCCCGCCAGGAAGCTTTGCTGCATCAGGTCCAGCAGCGCGCCCTCCCTGCGTGGTTGAGGGTGTGTGATCGGGGGGGTGGTGGTGGCATGGTGCCTGATGAAACTCACAGAGAACACAGAGTGGCCCGCAGTGCGGCTCGCCACGACAACCTCGGACGGCATTGGGCCCTCGGTGACATCCAGCTCTCACCGCTCCGATAAAGGCTCGACAGGTGCCGGACTCTGCTGGTCCCTCCCGTCCTCGTCCACCTCCTCGTGCCCGTCCTCCCCGTCCTCCTCCTCGGTGGCAGCGTCGTATGCGAGCTGCTCCTCCTCTCGCGCCTCTGCCAGCGTCGCCTCACGCGCATGGTCCAGCAGCCGGTCGGCGTAGGCGAGGCCTGGAGAAACACCGGTCGATGCCTGGTCAGAAGCGTCTGCACTCGGCCTGTACTGGCCAATGTACTGGTGGTATAGCCAGGGCTGGCGCTGCTCCATGGCACTCTCAGAAAAATACTGTCCCTCCGCCATGAGCCGCTGCATGTGCGCCAGTCGCCGGTTGCGGATGAGGGCTGAGCTCTTGGAGTCACCTCTCGCATCTCCCAGGGCTTTAAGATAGAAATCTACCTCGTGATCGCTCCGAAGGGACTCAAAGTGCATCAGCTCGTTTGCCGACAGGTGTTCCCCATGCCTCTCGAGGAACACGCCAGGGTCCCTTTGCAGCAGGGCCGCAACATACTCCCGGCGCTTTGCGACCCCGACTTCGCCATTGCGCGTCAGCTGGCCGGGGAGGCGGAGATCAGGCAGGTCCGCCAGTCGACCCGAGATGGAGGTGACAGTCTCCCCAGATATACCGCTCCGATCCTGGCCCATGCCAGCGTTTTGGTATAGGGCTGAGGACAATAGTTTGTGTGGATGTTCACCAGAGGTTTGCAGAACAACGTGTTAACATGCCATTGCCCCCAGATCACTTCAACTGCATGGCTGGTCTGTCAGGGCGCGAAACTCAGTCCCGTTCATGTTCCAAAAGCTTAATATTCGTGCGAGCCTCGCCACATTAACATATGCCATGGACTGTTTTCGATTCTACGAGGGATATATCGCAGATAAAGTGGTGCTCCATTGCCATGGCCACTGCCGCCCGGCAGTGCCGGGCGCTGGCCAGCCTCGCGTCGCAGTCCTGTGACGGGCTGCTAGGCGCCCGTTGCATGGCCACCCTACCCGCTGCCCTGGCCTCACAAGTGGCAACACGCAGCCCTGGGTCCATCGACCTCCCCGCCGACGTCAACGACGCCCTCCTTGCTGCTGCCAAGGGTGATGAGGATTGGTGAGGGTGGGCTGGCAATCTCGTCTCCGCGTACCCAGAGAATCAACTGCTTTAGCGCCTGTCCCCCCAATGCTTTCCTTAATCTCTCCCAACCCCCTCCCCCTTCCTCCCAACAAAAGGTGCAAGAAAGAAGCACCTGCGCGGGCAGGGTGCCGCACTGACGGACGAGCTGAAGCATATGTCCCGCAGCCGGCACCGTGGAGGCGTGCACCCCAACCTGCATGGGGTTCCAGAGGCCCAGACGCAGCGCCCCACGCGTGGGAAAGCACGGCAGCAGCGACGTACCCTGCTGGCCGAGCTGGCCGGCGAGGTGCCGGGCCTGCCTATGGTGGGAACTCTGACAGGCAACCGGGGGCCGGCGCGCATGTCCCGCCGCGCCCGCGCCGCGGCGGAGGCGGCCCAGGAGTGGGAGGACCTGGAGGAGGCGGACGAGGGCGGTGGAATGATGGACAGCGCGGCCGCAGCGCGGCCATCTGAGTTGGCTGACGCCGGGCTGGCGGAACCCTCGGACACCGTGGATACACAAGGAGCTTCCGGTGTTGCTGCTCTGGACCAGCCTGTCATCGGACCCCCCGCCGCCAAGTCAGAATCCGCATCCCAGTGGGCCGCGCCGCCCCCCCTCCCGCTGGACCGCCCCGCGCGCTCCTCGGCGGTGGCAGCGGGGAGGCGGTATGGCGACGAGGCCACGGCGCTGGCCTACGCTGCGACGCGCATGCCGGCATGCTACGCCGCGCTGCGCCGCGCTCTGGGCGAGGTGGCGGCGCGGCAGGGCGCCGCCTGGGCCCCGGCCACCATGCTGGACTTTGGGGCGGGGCCGGGGACCGCGGCCTGGGCGGCGCGCGACGCCTGGCCTGCGGCCGCGCTCCGCGTGACGGCCGTGGACGCCTCGGGCGCCATGGCCTGGCTGGGGCGGGCTGTGCAGGCGGCGCGGACGAGAAGCGATGCCGAGGCAGGTGCCGCCAGCAGCGTGTACTGGACGGCGCGGCTGGGGCCGGCCAGCCGTCGCGCCGACCTGGTCACCGCGGGCTACGTGCTGGGCGAGCTGGACGGCGACGGGGAGCGGCGCCGGCTGGTGGCCGACCTCTGGGCCAGGGTGGCGCCGGGCGGCGTGCTGCTGCTGGTGGAACCCGGCACGCCGGCCGGCAGCCGCGCCGTCGCAGCGGCCCGCACCCAGGTCCTAGAGGCTGCAGCGGACGGGGAGGGAAGCGGGGCGGGGCAAGGGAGGCGCGCGCATGTGCTGGCGCCCTGCCCGCACGACGGCGCCTGCCCGCTGGAGGGCGCCGCGACCTGGTGCCACTTTGTGCAGCGCTTCCAGCGTGGGCCCCTGCAGGTGCGAGGGGTGTGGAAGGAAGGAAAGGGGGGTGTGGGGGGATTGGACACTTACTCGAATGCCGAACATTGCACCCTCCTCTCTTTGACACCTCCCCCCCACGAAAACGGAACCCCAACCTGGCAGAGGGCGGCCAAGGACTTTGCGCCGGGGAAGGTGACGGTGCGGTCCTACGCCGACGAGCGCTTCAGCTACGTGGCCATCTGCAAGCGGCCCCGGCCGCACGGGCCGCCGCAGCCCGCCATCGACGCCCTCATCCCCCTGCCCGATGATGTCATGGAGGCGTACCGTGCCCTGCCCCCCCACGAGGTCCCCCGGCGAGCCAGGCCGCAGGTGTGGGGGTGGAATGGGGCTATTTCGGGGGGGGGGGCAACGGGAGGCGTAGTACGCAGAGAACCGCTACTCGTACAGAAGGTCTCAGCGCGGGGCGCTGGTCTGCCCGGTTGAGCCCTTGAGTGGAAGTACGGATGCCGGCACATCCCGCCAACGAGCTTAGCTCCCTGACCAGCCTCCTGCTCACCATGCCAGCTCGGGCTTCCGGAGGACATTGAAGGCCCAAAGGTTGTTGAGAATCCAGCAGCACCGGCGGGGCCCAGCGGGGGCGCCGCTGGGAGAATGGCGTGGGCGGATGACGACGCTTTCCTCCTGCGGCTGGCCGAGGGCCGGGGCCTGCTCAGCGACCTGGATGAGGACACGCTGCAGCTCATCAGGGACAGCATCGGCGAGGATGCGGAGCTGGGGACCGAGGATATGGAGCTGCGGCGGATTGGGAAGGGGGAGCTTGGGAACGAGGTGACAGGTGGGCAGTGGGTTTGGGGGGTGCAGCTGTGGAGTGGCGGCGGTAACGCTGGGTGCGGCAGTTTGGCGCGGGGCGCTCTGGGGGGCGCACAAAACCGAAAGACGGTGCTGAGGAAGCAGGGGGAGAGGGTAGTGCATCCCTCACCTTGAGCCATGAGGTTTGTGACTTGGTTCTCCTCGATGACCATGCCTCAGAGCCGGCCTGCATCCAAAACCCTTCTCCCTCTTTTGGATTCTAGCAGCAGCAGATGCGCCACACTCACCTGCTGACATCAGAGGGAGCCAGAGGCAAACTGCAGACTCTCTGCCCACCTCCCGACCTGCCCCCACTGTGCCGGCGTCATCTAGCAACGGGCACGACCCCGACCTCGACCTGGAGACCCTGGCGCAGGCCTCCGCCTCCACCTGGTCGCGGGTGCTGCGCCCACCCCTGAAGCGAGGCGGGCACGTGGTGCTGGACCTGTGCTCTGCCGTAGAAAGCGGGGCGCGGGGCGAGGCCGTGCGCCAGACCGTGTCGCGCCTGGGCAGCGAGCGGGCGCTGGGGGGACGGGGGGCCTACCGCCTGGCGCGGGGGCTGGGCTGGGGCGACCTCTGGCCCGCAGACTACCAGGACAGGCTGCCGCTGCAGAGAGGGGGGGCTTGGAAGAAGGGCGAGTGAAGAATGATGTGCGAGAGTGCTTTTTGTGGAGTGGCCCCATCAGAAATGCGAGTCTGCAGCGTGAGGCTTGGAGCAGGTGCTGGCGGGCATGAAGGGTCCTCAGGGTTCTGAATCGCAAACTTTTCTGTGATTACCCCACATTGTCCCAGCAGAGAAATAGAGCCAGGTATCGTATTGGGATGTGCAAGTCCTTGGACGTGCGGTCCAGCACGGGGTGCAAGTTTCGTGGGGGGCCAGTGAGGAACAGAGCAGGTTTCAACATACGCAAGACTGGAGCAGGCCGGCAGGGATGAGGGGCACTGCGCCGCCACAGTATCCAGTGCGTTCGGGGCTCACAGGCACAGGGGGTGTCAGCGCCGGGAGTGTACCGCGCCGCTACCAGGCGTGGCGGCGGAAGAGCCAGGCGATGCTGCGCGCCCACCCGGCCACGCCCATCACGGTCAGGAGCAGCAGGAGCGGGGCCTGGCGGTGGCGCAGCATGGCACCCAGGGGCGGCAGGCCCGCCAGGTTGCAGGCCAGGTGCGCCGCCACGGGCCCGGCCACGCTGCGCCCCGCCGTCCATAGCGCGGCGGCGTGCAGGCCGAAGGCGGCGGTGTAGGCGGCCTGCAGCGCCGCGGCGCGCAGCGCGACGCGCACGCTGTGCCCGCCGTGCCAGACCCGGTCCACCAAGTGGTGAACGTGCGCGGCCGCAAAGAGGGCCAGGGAGGCAGCCACCGCCGCGGCGGCGCCCAGGCCCCGCTGGCGCAGGAAGGCCAGCAGGCTGGCGCGGAAGACGAGCTCCTCGCTGAGGGGGGCGAGGCAGAGGTCGCGCAGGACCTGCAGCGCACTGCGCCGGCTGACGTGGCGGGGGGGCCCATGCGCCGGCACAGCGCCCAGCGCCCGGTACGCAAGGGGCCCAGCAAAGAGGAGGGCGGTCAACCCAAGGCCCTGGGCGACGCTGCTCCAAAAGCCGTGGGCCGTCAGGCCCAGCAGGGCAGCGGCCTCAGACGCCCGGGGGAGCTGCGGTGAAGGGAGGGAGGAGTGTGGGTCACTCACGGGAGTGGCTTGTGATTGCGATGTCCGCTTTCCAATTTTGGTGGGGGATCAACCCACAAAGGCAGGCCAGCCGCATCCCGGCTCGCACTGCACCGTGCGCCTGAAGCAAACAACGGCTCACCCGCCCGTTCGACTGCGAAAAAGCGAGGATAATCGGCACCCATGTCAGCAAGGCCGATGTTATCGCAGTGGCAGCCAGGCGAGCTTTGATCACGGGAGGCGAGTCCCTGGGACCCCGCACGACATACAGGGGGAGCACGTACACCACCAGGTATGCACATCCAGCAAAAGCGGTGTGCAACCCCGGCGATGTCATGACATAGCGGATTGGTGTGAGGGAATATGGCACTTGATCGCCTCCTGTCCTAAGGTACGATTGCCGGGATGGGAGGTGTCGTCCATGACAGAGGGTATTCCACCGTGGCACTCCCGAATCATGCGCCGACTCTGCATCGATGAAAGAATCCCTGAAGCTGTCAAACGAGCATTTGCAAGATTTTTGTGGCGCTTGAGATCGCCACTTGCTGATTCTCAGCGGCACAGTGTTGCCTGCATACACCTCGGGAGCAAGGGGTTTCGATTCGCGGACGACTGGCTGGTGCACAGACACACCACGATCCGCCATTAATGGAGCGCATTACAAGCTGAAGTAGCTGTGCATGGTAAATGATGATGCCTCCATGCGGTTGAGGGCGCATCGGCTGTCAAGTGCACCCAAGATCACTTCCGTAGCCTGGTGAAATTCAGAGCTGGACGGTCTACCAGCTCCTCAGCGCAATCTAGACTCCATGAGTGACGGGTGAGTGTCCGATGTATCGTACCCGACCATGTGATGGCATGGTCATCAGGCTTTTGCTTGCCTCATTGCCGAGCACATTCCCACTCCCTGCAGGCAGGATGTGCTCCGCATCCTCATCTCCACCGACAACCATCTGGGGGTCTGGGAGAAGGATGAGGTCAGGGGGGACGACTCTTTCAACACCATGGACGAGGTCATGTGCATCGCCAAGCGCGAGGTGGGGCTTTGTGGGGAATATCCCGACGTCATTGGACATTGAGAGCCCGAGCTGCACTTCCCCGCGCGTGAAGTGTTGGTGGGGACCAGGGTTCAATGCTTATTTGAAAATCACCTGGCTCAGCATTGCTTGAAAGAGAAGAGTTTGAGCGTGCTGTGTTGCTCCCATGCACAATTCTCTCTCAGATCCCAGATCCATGCCTTGACACAGAAAGTGGACTTTGTCTTGCTGGGCGGTGACCTGTTCCACGACAACAAGCCCAGCCGGCAGACTGTGGTGAAGGCCATGGAGATATTTGCGCGACACTGCATGTCGGACGACCCTGTCGGCTTCCGCGTCATCTCGGACCAGCGCCAGAATTTTGCCAGCGGGTGAGCGAATGCCAGCGGTGTATGTGGTGGCGCGGTGTCACGCCTGTGGGCTGGCTCGTGACCATTTAGGCATGGGGGTGCAACAATGGGCGCGGGGAACCTCCTGATGGTTGCTCCACTACTCGTTTGATTCCAGTGCTTGTTGAGAGAATGGGCTGCATTGAGAGTACATTCTCAGGAAGGATTGCCCACTACGGTGTCCCACACGTCCCTTGCCCTGCCACTCCACTCTCAGCCGGGTCAATTTTGAGAACTCAAATTACAACATTGGTCTGCCTGTCTTCACCATCCATGGCAACCACGACGATCCCGGGGGCACCGAAAACCTGTCTGCGGTTGACATACTTTCCACTGGCGCACTCCTCAACTACTTTGGCAAGGTGTGAAGTGGTGTTTCACAGGGTTGTTTCCGGGTGACGACAGGGTTGGGGCGGGAGTATTGCAAACTGAGGGCCCTGTGACAAGGCTGGATACAGCGGAAAGGTGGTAGGAGCAGGATGAGAGCAGTCGGCATGCTGAGCATTGGCCGCTCCCTCCACGACCCATGCAGGTCGCCATCGCAGGGGAGGGGGTGGGCAAGGTCCGCATCGCCCCCGTCCTGATCCAAAAGGGTGCTACCAAGCTGGCCCTCTTCGGGCTGGGGAACCTGCGCGATGAGCGCCTGTGCCGCCTCTTCCAAACTCCAGCCTGTGTAGAGTGGTGAGGGAGAGCGCTGCAGTGTTGCAATGACGTGCACAGGATGCGGTGCCCAGGCCTGCAGCACTGAGAAAGGACATTGTACAGCTAGACTGATGCAAAGCCAGAGTCTCACGCTTTCCATCACGTTCCACGTGCCCCTCTCTCATCGCCTTGCCATTTGGATGCACAGGATCCGTCCGGCCGACACGCCAGACTACCCCAGGGACGAGTGGTTCAATCTCTTTGTCCTGCATCAGAATCGGACCCCTCACTCACAGGTGTGGAGGTGCCGAGGCATGCAATAATGTGACAATAGGAAACAGGGCACATTCTTCCCTGTGTGCAGCTGCATGTGTCCTGGCTGTGCATGTGTAGTCACAGCATTTGCCAGGGCTTCGTGCGACACGCATCCGGCCGGTTGCCCTCGAACCATCGCTCTCACCAAGCCCCACTTGCTCATGTCAGGGCGCCAAAAATTACGTGAAGGAGAGCCACTTGGCGCGATTCCTGGACCTGGTCATTTGGGGCCATGAGCACGAGTGCCTGGCAGATCCTTGGGTGCGTGGAATGGTGGTGGCCTGGCGGGGAGTGGAGGGCGGGAGGTTTGTGTCCTCTGTCTCACCTCATGTTGGTGATGTGACCGACCTGTGGCCAAATGAACAAGCAGGCCTGATACCACCACCCCCATACTCGGTGGGGCGGCACCCAGCAGCCACACCATCCCCTCACCGTATCAATCCGCTGCCGAGCGCAGGACTCGGTGGAGACGGGGGGTGCCTTCAGCGTCCTGCAGCCCGGGTCCAGCGTGGCCACCGCGCTCTCAGAGGGCGAGGCCAAAAGAAAGCATGTTGTGGTGCTCGAGATCATGGGGCACCATGTGAGGAGGCGTGGGATGGGGCAGGCTTCTGAGTACAAAGTGCTTGGTGATGACTGGGGGGCCCGAGGTCTGGAAGCATTGGAAGCTGGCTGAGCGGTCTGCCTCCTGGCGACCTTGATGTCTACCGCACTCTCCACTGAGTCCCATCAGCTGCACCCCCTCCTCACGCACATGCAGTGGCGGACAATAAAGCACCCGCTGGAGACGGTGCGGCGGTTCGAATTTGAAACTGTGGTCCTGGCGGAGCACACCAAGAAGCTGGACCCGGAAGATCCAGAGGTGCGAAGCATGATGTGCTCATTGTGAAAGGGTCCTGGGCTGATGAAGATTCTGATCAAACTCTGTCTTGGTAGCTCTCAAGGGAAGAAGTGGGTGATCAGCAGAACGCTCCAGAACTGTCTGATTTCCTGCCTTCCTGTGGCACATTGACCAGCCACCTGCGCCGCACCTGTGCCAAAGCCCTTTTGGTGGCTTGCCCGGCTCAGATGTATAGCAGCTTGAAATCGAACACCATCGCCCTCCCACCGCAGACGGTGACTGCCTTCCTGGACGCCCGGGTGTCGGCCATGATCGCCCGAGCAGTGCGCGGGCGGCCGCCAGCTTCCCCAAAGCTTCCGCTGGTGCGCCTGCGCGTGGATTACACCGGCTTCTCCACCATCAACACCCAGCGTTTTGGGACCAGGTTCGTGGGGCAGGTCGCCAACCCACACGACATCGTCCTGTGGCAGAAGCCGCCTGCCAGACGTGCCAGGGTGGGTGAGGGGAATGGTGGAGGAAGGAGGAAGGGGTGGTGTAGGCCAGGTCTGGGCTTGCATGCCCGGTGCAGGTTTCTGAATGGAGCATGGGACGATCATGTGGCCTACCAAGAATTGCTCTGTAAGGACTGCCAATGGTTGATTCCGTGACACCCCAAAATTCCACACCGACCCTCACCCATATGCGCTCTGTGCAGGAGGAAAGCGCCACCCGAGCCGGCAATGCCCCTGTCGTGCCCATTCGTCCCGAGGCGTTGGACGAGGCCCACATCGAGGACCTGGTGTCCCAGCACCTGCAGCATGACCTGGAGCTGCTCCCTGAAGTGGTGGGCAGAGGGTGTGGTGCTGTAGGAGGCGACAGGAGTTGGGAGGACAGGTCCACGGAAGGGGTGATTGTGGCTCCCAGCTGTAGTCATTGCTGCAGACACTTGCCAAACGCCTGCTTCTTAGATCCTGGCGTGCTCTTCCAGATGAACGCCCCCACCATCCCTCCCCATGCACAGGAGCTGGCAGAGGCGCTGCACGAGTTCGTGGACAAGGAGAACAGAAACGCACTGTCGGAGGCGGTCAGTCGCGTGCTGGAGGAGACCCAGGCGGCTGCGGCTGCCCGCGGCGGCGAGGAGACCGGGACCTCGGCGGCCGGAGAGGGCCGCCGCGGCGCACGAGGCGGTGCCGACGCCGCAGTCCCCTCCGGCCCCACACCCCCCTCCCGGCAGGGCGGCAAGCCTGCCAAGCCGGAGGAGGGCGAGGTGCTGGAGTCCATCGCCCGGGCCACGGCCCGACGCCGCCTGTCCCACGGCCTGGGCAGTGCTCTGAGGGGAGGGAGCCCGGCCAGTCTGCCAGCCCTGTCGGGGCTGGAGAGCGGGGGGCGAGGGAGAGGGCACCAGGCCGCGCCCACTCCCGTCCCATCCACGACGGGTGGGTCGTGGGTGGCGGGGCCGCCAGTCCATTGCGACACCAGGCATGGGAGGGCAGGGGATGCGTTCCAAGGTGGCACTGGATGAGTTTTGGGGGCAAAGGTAGCTGGCGCAGGCCATCCAAACGTACAAATCCAGGCACTCTCTGACGCGCCCATCGGGAAAAACTCCTCCACCGGATTCAGGTATGCGCCGCCCTCCGAGGGGAGTGGACGCCGCTGGGGAGGCGCCGGCGACACGCACGACGCCACAGCGGGCGCATGGCGATGCCGTGGGCACCCACTCTCGCCCGGCGGCCGGAGGCAGGTTGAGGCAGGGCGCGCTCAGGCTACAGCCAGCCAATTCCCCGAACTTGTGAGCCTGCTGTGCGGTATGAGTCCATCAGTATGGGCACATGTGTATAGTGATTCACACTGTACATACAGGGTCTCGCCTGCCTTGCAGGGGCACTTTGCAGGGTGCCCTGATCAGTGGTACTTGACGCGGTCACAACTGCGGGTCTTCACCCCTGTCACAGGGCATCGCGGTCGCACCCTGCCCCCAACAGAGACCTTGAGCTTGCAGCTGGCCACTCGGAGCTGCAGGACGCAGACATGTCTGAAGCCATCTTCACAGATTCAGGTGTGTCTGGCTTTGTTTTGTGTGTGTATGTGTGTGGGGAGGGGGGGGGGCCGTTTTCTCTGATAGAGATGGGACAGACCTTTACAAGCAGAGGCTCCGAGCACTTGAGCATATCTACTGGTACAAATCTCCTTGCGTGCCGACTGGGCAAAGCTCCATTATACTCATTCTCCCCCGTACCTCCACTGTGCAGATGGCGATGGGGGGGTATTGACAGGAACCAGATCCCTGGCTGGCGCCAGGCAACAGCCCACTCCCACCAGGAAGAGGGGCAGGACCCCAGGCCCACCGTCCCGAGCTCGGGACAAGACTGGCAGCTCTGAAGCCCGTCACCAGGAGCGCATGGTCACTGGCAGCTTTGTGGAGTCTGACGCGGAAGAGGTGGCAGTTCCCACTGCTCCCAGGCGAAGGAAGGCTGGGTCTAGGGGCACCTGAGACCCATCGAACAAGAATGACGCCCTGTCGAGGGAACACCCTTCATACTTGAAGGACGTGTGGAATTTTATCATGGAGTTCGAGCGTCGGATCCACTCGTTTACATCTCAGAGTGCCGCCGAGAGGCTTCCGTACACCAGAAAATCTTAACCAGCGAGACATAAAGCCTAAAGCATGAGCGCTCCCCGTGGTGCTGCTAGAGGCGGAATCCTGCACTTCCGGCAACATTTTACCCCATCGATGTAAAAACGGTTTTGCTCCTGGCAAGGGTCCCGTAAACATCTCCCCCCATGCGAGATCTGTCTCGGCGCACGGTAACGTAACTTTGACGCCATGGTGTGACCGGCTGGCGAATACATGTTTCATCTCACCTCCATGCCCACGATGTCCAGCCTCACGATGAATCAGCTAGTGGGTTTACAGCCCTACAAGCGCGTCAATCAGATGGTCTCGTTGTTGAGCTGCGCCGTCTTGTGATTCACCATGGCCTCGACCTGGGAGAGCGCCCACCCTCTATCGCACGGCCCGAGCTGGGATGCGGCACCCAGCCTTGACATCGCTGCTGCGCCACCCCAGTCTGGAGTGTCAGGGTTGTATGCTCTGGCCCTCCAGGTAGGCTGCTGAAGGAATCGGGGCGAGGGGGGAGCTGTGGGCGAACCCTGTCTCCACTGGCTGGTTCTAAGTATAGGACCCGAGGCAGGAGAGCCCCGTGCGCAGGCCTCTGACACTGCAGCGTGGCTCTGACCACCAGACTCGAAGCGCTGGTCTCATGCTTCTGCACCTCTCGTCCCGCAGGGCCAGTGGCGTCAGGTCATTGGGAGGTGCAAGGAACTCCGCCCGGCGAGTAGAGCCGATTCGCTCACCATTGCTACCTTCCATGTCCTTGCGCTCGCCCAGCTGAACCAAACCATGGACGCCCTCCAGGAGCTGGAGAGGGTTGGGAACCTGGACGGAAGTGGCTCCCACGCGGCCCGCAGGGGGCATGCAGGTGTGTGTGCATTTGTACCCGCATCGTGGTTTGGTGCTGCTTGGTGCCTTGTGTGTGGAACGTTCAATTGCCGGCAGTAGTCTCACGGCCCCAAGACGTTGGTTGGGACAAAGGGAACGCACTGAGTGCATGTTTTGCAAGGACTGACCACCTGTTCCCTCGCATGCTCTACAGCATGTTTTCCCTCACCCATACGCTTCCTTCGGCAGGTAAGCACAGCGCACCCGACGCCAGCGAGGTGCCCTTTGCGCTGCGGTGGCTCGCGGCGGAGCTGCCCGGCCGGGCGGGGCGCTGGATGGAGGCCGTCTCGGCGTTTCAGGCCCTTCTGGGCCTGTGCGTCACGCAGAGCGGGATCGCGGAGCGGGAGGGCGACGCCGAGGCGTCGCGCCTGTGGGGTGGGCGCCGGGCCCGGGCGGCGGCTGCCCTCGCTAACGTGCACGCCCAGTGAGTGCCCGCGGGTATTTGAGCGGGGATGTTGTGTCCTCGGAGTTGGGTGTGTCCATGTCCAGACAGGATCTTGGGTGACTCGTATGGGCTCTTTCAACTCAGGGAATCCATGCCAACATATCACAATCCCGGATGACGACCTCCTCCCTGCATCCTGCCCTGCCTCAATTTCAGGCCCAACCCGCCCCTCGCCACCCTCTTTCACCAGACAGCAGCAGTATCCCGCCGCGCTGGCGGTGCTGGACGCGCAGCTGGGCGCCGATCCGCGGCGCATCGACACCTGGCTGCATGCGGCCCAGGTCCAGCTGCGGGTCGGGGACCTGCCCGGCGCGGAGGCCAGCGTCGCCTCGGCCGCCTTCCTGGCCGGGGAGGCCGAGGGCCCCGCCGCCGCGCACGGCATGCGCGCCGTGCGCCACGCGCGGGGCCTGCTGGCCGTCGCGCGGCAGGACTGGCCGGCGGCGGCTGCCGCCTTCTCCTCCTGCCTGCGGGAGGACGCGCGTGACGCCGAGGCGGTGGGCGACCTGGCCGTCTGCCAGCTGTTCAACCGCAACGTGGAGTCGGGCGTGGCGGTGCTGGAGGCCGGGTTCCAGGCCCAGCCCTGGGCTATGCTCAAGGTGTGCGCGTGGGTGGTGGAAAGAAGGAAAGGACGAGCGGGGGGAGGGAGCATTCGAGGACGGTGGCGCAGAAGAGGGGTCCTTGCAGAGCACGGTGACTCTTGCTTGGGATCCTGCCCCTGCCGAGGAGCATGTCGGTGCTGTGCAATAATTCCTGGGGTTTGGGCCTTCAGGGCCGAGGAGTCACCAGGGCAGCCTGCTGTCAGAGGGTGTGTGCAAAGGATGACGCAAGTGTTTGTTCTGTCACTGAGGTGCCCCATGAAGGCATGACCAATGCAGTGACCCCCCCTCACCAGCACCATCAGCAAGAACTTCCTACCACCATCTTATCCAGGCGCCGCTGGTCAGCAGCCTGGCGCTCATGTACGACCTGGCACGCCCCGACTCCGGCGCCAAGGAGCGATTCGGCGCCTGGGTGGCCCGCATAGCGCCCGATGACCTGGACATGAGCTGCATGAGCCCCGGCTGAAATGCCTGAATCTCCATCCCAACACTTGAGTAGTGCAGCGTCCCGTCATTCTGAAGCTGGGGCCGATACTCCCCAAGAAGATGGTCTGCCAACCTCACTCCCCCCACATTGCCTTTGATCAGTCCCAGGCACCCTTCTTCTGTCCTTCTCTGCGAGGCAGCAGGCCACTGATTCTGAACTTGTCCTGGTGCCCTCGCCGACCCCTGCCTTCGCCTCCTTGCTCCCACCGCGCAGTGCTGATGCACTGCCCCTCTGCCCCTTCTCCTTTGCACCCAGGGCTCTGATATACACCACCAGAAGTAGGGATTCGTACAGTACAAGCCCAGCAGGACAGTCCTAGGTTCACAAAGTGTGCTGACCAGAGCAACAGCCAGCCAATGAAACTAGACCGCACCCCCTTGCTCCTTGGCAGCTGGCATGGTCTGCCCCTTCCTTGGCCCCTTCTCGGCCGGCGTCCTGCGCGGCACCCGCTTCTCCTCGACCATTGCTTCGCCCAGGGCGGCCCCCAGCCCCGGCCGCTCCATGTCCTTGGCCAGGCTGCGCGCCAGGGGCTCCCGCACCGACACCTTGACCCCGGGGGGGGTCCACACGGTGAGCTCGGCGGCGCCGCTCACACCGACACCCACCCAACCCAGGCCGGCGATGGCGACGTCGCGGGTGCTGCGGATCCACTCCGACCCCTGCAGGTGCAGTGTCGTGGGGACCAGCTCCGGGAAAGTGGGACCGGACTTTGCCGTGGGAGGGGACAGCCGCTTGCCCAGGTGCTTCTGGCGCCTGGTGGGAGTGTGAATTCGTGGGAGGTGGGGCTGAGGCAGTGGGCAGGCCTGCATGGCGCTCGAGATGATATCAAGGAGGGCATGGGTGAGCTGCACCCTGTCGTCTCCCCATCCTCCACCACTCGTGCCAGTGGGGACTGGATATAAAGGGTGAAGCACGGGAATGCCACCAGGATAGTGGGCGCACCCGGGGTACCTGCCGGCCGACACCCCCATCCCACTGCAACCGCATCAAACGGCATGTTCCCTCCCACCTACCTCTCCGCCACGCCCTCGGTCTTGCCCATGTAGCAGGCCACCTCGTCGCTGATCCACGGGGTCAAGTACAGGGTGGCCCCTCTCTCCTGGCTCACGACGTCGATGCGGGCCAGGCCGCCCAGCAGCACCGACTTGCCGGGCGAGATGCGGAAGGTGCGCCCCTTCAGCGCCCTCCGCGGCTGCAGCATCTTCAGCTGCGGGGCGGAGTGGTGTGCCAGTGGGTGAAGGGAATTTGCAGGGTTGCCTTTGGACCCACAGGATGAAGGCTTTGGGATCCCAGAACCCCCCCCTGTGGCTGCCGTCAGCTCATACAATGCTCAAGCAGCACCTGCCATGCACTGGCATTGGCCCCAGGACCGGGCATGCCCTGCATGCACATCAGACCTCCTGCCCCCTCGCACCGTCCCTGTGACCTGTCGGCGCGCTTGGACATACCCCTTCCTCCCACTTGACACCAGGGCAGCCCTTCCCTCACCTCATTGGCCGGCAGGTACTTGGCCAGGGAGTGTACCTGATCCATGCCCGGCGTGTCGACCAGCTTGCAGCCGGCGGGGAGGAGCCCCGGCACAGCCAGGGCGCCCAGGGTCGTCCCCGGCACATGCGTGGCGGTGACGTCGCGGCGGGACCCCAGCCCCGCCGCGCCGCGCATGGCGTTGATCAGCGAGCTTTTGCCCGCGTTCTGGGTGCCCACCACCCAGACGTCGCCGCGGCCGCCCACACCGCGCTGCAGGCGGTTGAGCAGGTCCTTGACGCCCCAGCCGCGCAGGGAGGAAACCACGGCGATGGTGGAGGGGCGGGGGAGGCCCGCGGCGGCCAGGCGCTGCCGCGCCCAGGCCTCCAGGTGGTGTCGGTGCAGCGACTCGGGCAGCAGGTCGGCCTTGTTGATGACCAGCAGGAAGGAGAAGTCGGGGGAGAAGCGGGAGGTGGTGGGGTTGGAGTCGGCACGCGTCAGCTGGAAGTCCAGGATCGTTCTTTGAGGGATGGGAAGGGGGGGGTGGGGAGGGGGGAGGGGAAATTGAAGGGGGCACTGCGTGGGGGTGCAGGTGCTTGGGAACTTTGCATGGAAGGACGCGGGGTACATGCATGATTGCCAGCCCCCAAGGCCTTTGAGAAGGCACCCCCACGACGCCCAACAACGCAGTGGAGCATCTGGAATTCCCAAGTGCCCACGATCAGCCCGCACTTACTTGAGGGTTGTGGTGGGGAGGGAGCCGTCAAAGTCCACGGCATCCACCACGACCACCAGCATCTGCTTCCGGAACTTGGTCAGCGCGATCTTACGCCCCACCTGCTTGCCAAAGTCAAAGCTGGGCAGGATGGCCTCGGCCTCCTCGTTCTTAACGCGCCTGATCATGTGGGTGGGTGGGCCGGGTTTTGCATGCAACCTTATGACTTAAGGGAGCTATTGCAGACAGCAGCATGCTATGTATCCCTGCTCCACGCAGCAAACATCTGTCAACAGAAGCACTGCTTAATTCCTGTTGAAAGCTACCCACCCATTGTGCTGCAGAGAATGGCAGCGTGCACAGCGTATGGCTGCCTCCTCGCTCTCCTCCTCTTGCTCCCCATACTGCCTGATCTCCAGGGGGGTCCTCTTCCTGGGCTGCAGGTTGGTGGCGGGGGTAGGTCCCGTGATTTCCCTCCATACACCGCACAAGCAGTGCACCTTGCCATGGAGTGATTAACTCAGCGCTATCCTGTTTGACAGATCCTCGGCAACCTCTCGAATGCCTGTGCAACAGTATAACACCACCCATCCCACATCAGGTCTCTCACACTCACCACCCACTCATCAATAATTTGGTCAAACAAGTCCATCTGGGAGTCCCTCTTGGGCGCAGGGGGTGCATCATCTGGAGCCTCAGGCAATGATGAGCTTGCTGCCAGCTCAGGGTGTGCCAACAACTCCTCCTCCTCCAAAACCTCAGCATTGTCAAACCGGGGCGAAGACTGTTCCAAGAGTCGCTTGGGCACTTGAAAGAACCTGAATTCAGCAGAGGAAAGTTATTAAAATTAAAGACTGGGAGGGAGAGAGGCAGGTATCAATGCCATGCTACCCCATGCGGAGCCGTCCTTCCAAACATTCCCATGCTTACCCTGGGGCGGCAGGGTCGTCCTGTTGTAGCTTGACGCCACATCCGATACAGTGGGACGGTAGGTTGATGCCGGGGGGGGAGCTAGGGCTGGCTGTGGCTTGTTGCTGCTTCTGTGCCACCGCTGCAACCACTTTCCTGGCTGGCTGCAAGCTGAAGGCGGGGCTGCTCAGCCTCCTGACGCCGACATCGTTCAGAAGGCAGAAATGCCTCATGCATACTATTTGGGGCTGGAGCGTGACCCCTGTGGGTTTCGCAAAGAGTCTCCAGGGCACTCTTGCCAGGATTCGTCGAGTGAACATCCCCTCGGACGGAAGCCGTATACCACGAAGGATCCACTACGACTATAGCTCTTCCATATATGATATTGCAGCAGCTTTATAATGAAGCTGTCTCTTGCTCCTATATTCGCTGGGAGCCTTGTGCATGCGATAGACTCCACACGGTAGTGACTAGGGGTGCTCTGAGCCACGAAACGAGTTCACGCGCAGCACGATCCACCATACGTCCATTACCACCCATGCGAATGGCCAGATGCATGCTACACGCCTCTCCCACGTTGCACATTTGTACACAATAGGTAACTCAAAATCGTGATCACCATGTTTGAAGCACGCCTGGTGCAGGGAGAGCTGTTGAAGAAGGTGCGCTCCGGGTCCGGGACCCCGGTAGGAATACTGGGCATTCGGTCTGGCCCGCTCTGTTTTGACCATACAAGAGCTCAATCTCCTGGAATTTACCACAGCAAGGTTCTTGGGTCTTCACCCGTCATGGTCGCTGTGCCGGGCACATCGGGATGTAACAGGAGGGAGGTCGGGCGAGACTCCCCAGCAACCCCCCTCCTGACACGCCCTGTCGCAGATCCTGGAGGCCACCAGGGAGCTGGTGACGGAGGCCAACCTGGAGATCGGCGCCACCGGCGTCAGTTTGCAGGCCATGGACTCCAGCCACGTCTCCCTGGTGGCTCTGTCCCTGAGGTCAGACGGATTCGAGCACTACCGTGCCGACCGTGCCTTTTCCATGGGTATGAATCTGAACAACGTGAGCAAGATGCTGCGGTGTGCCGGCAAGGATGACATCATCACTATCAAGGCGGACGATGGAGACGATACAGTGTATTTCACCTTTGAGAGTCCAAGTAAGGATGGTGGTGATGCACAGCGGGTATGGTTGGAAGCATCCGCTGCCTGGGTCAGAATGTTTTGCACATCATCTGCGTGCAAGCATTGTTCCTCAATGTCACGCAGTCAGCTGTGCTCCCGGATTCCTGTTGCAAACAGAACACCTCAGCACCAATCCCCCCTTCCCACACGCGCCAGCTCAAGACAAGGTCTCTGAGTTCGAGCTCAAGCTCATGGACATCAGTAGCGAGAACCTTGGCATCCCCGAGACAGAGTACGCCGCCTCCGTGCGCATGCCCTCTGCTGAGTTCCAGCGCATCTGTCGAGATCTCAGCTCCATCGGCGACACAGGTGGGGGTATTCTGTGACGGAGAGGGGCTTGTGCAACACTTAAAATGGGGGGGAGTGCTTTCTTGCAGAAGACGTCAAGGAAGAGGTGTGTGCAAGCAGACTTGCCTTGCCGCTGATGGTTGTAAGGAGCTGCAGGAATAATGATCTGTGACCACATGGGCTATCGATCCCCAGGTCTTGCCACCAGGGTGTGATTGCTTGAGACACGAATACAGAATGATGTTCTCATCGCCGGCCCCATCTACCCATTGTCTGATCGCAGTGGAGATGAGCGTGACCAAGGACGGCATCAAGTTCTCGACCACAGGTGACATCGGCAATGCCAGTGTCATTTGCAGGCAGAACACTGCGATTGATAAGGTGGGCAAGCTACTAGGTCGTGGTGGCGAGGACCTGGAGCTTTGCGCCATATCTTGGCTGGATGGGCTGTGAGGTGATCTTCACTGCGTCAGAAGCGATTTTTCGAATGCTCTGCTTTATGAATGAGCGCCTTGATGACGCGTCTATGTCCCTCCAAATGGTAGATTTATTGGTGCAGACATATCTTGTATGGCCCACAGACCTCTCCACCTCCTCCCCACCATGTTCTCTCCCCCAGCAATCCGAGGAGCAGACAGTGATCGACATGAACGAGCCGGTGGTGCTCACCTTTGCGTTGCGGTATCTCAACAGCTTCACCAGGGCCACAGGATTGAGCCCTATGGTGGTGCGCTGGCCTGATGATGCTTGGGGAAGGCTGTGCCGCCCCACGGCACACGTGCAAAGCTCGCGGTGGCCGCTCCGTTGTCTCAGGGGACCCAGGACCATCTTCAGACACACAGGCACTCTCTTTCCCCCAACACTGCAGCAAATAAAGCTGAGCAAGGATCTCCCGGTTGTGGTCGAATACCGCATCGCAGACATGGGCTTTGTGCGGTACTACCTGGCGCCCAAGATTGAGGATGAAGAGATGGAGGGCTGAGGACCAGCCACTGCACCTGGGAGCTCCACATGCACACAAGCGAGCCTCTGCTGGAAGTTTCTGCTGGGGCGGCAGCCGGTGGCTACTATTTGCTGACCCAGAAGACCCAAAAGTTTGGCCAGCAGGGCCGGAGAATACCACTGACTCTGACTGCCATACCATGCACGTCCACTGACCCTGTCAAGACAGAAAGCCTGCCCTGAATTTTGGAACAGGTTGGAAGCCCAGCAAAGTTGGAATAAGGTAGAGTCAATCATTCTCATGAGGTAGGATATGTAGCGTCGGAAAACGCAACATAATATCAAATCACGATTGATAGCTGCAGGTCAACGGTTCGAGCCCGTTTGGGGCCACACAGTCCCGGCCCCATAGCTCAGTTGGTTAGAGCGGCAGTCTAATACCTCATATTTTTTGGAATCAATGAATCACATTAGGAGCGAAAAAGTATTCCAGCGCTGCGGCCCCCCACAGCTCTCCAACTCCAATACCCGTCCCCTGCTCTCCTCGCGCTGCCTCTGCACCGATGCACACACTTCGAGGGGTCCTGCGGCGCCCTCATCGGCAACCTGGTGCTTAAGACCTCCAGGAGGTGCCCCGCGTAACGGACATACGATGAGGAACTGACCGTGTTGAAGTTGCTGTCGAAAGGGCGGCGATCGATGCCGCGGTCAACGAGTCACCCAGGCTGACCGAGTGGCTCGAGGTCGACGAGTCACCCAGGCAGACCGAGTGGAGGTCACCGAGCCGGCGGGCATAGGACATATGACGGGAGGCAGAGAGGAACTACAGTATCACCTCCCTCAAACCCTTTGCAAACGCCTTCCGTGACCTCCAGAAGAAGATGCCACCACATTGGGTGGCCCACTGTGGCCATCGCTGGATGACATTGTCAGCACCATCACATAGTATTGTCTGTGTACCCTGACCGGGCCCTGCTACCCCACTTCCACCTGTTCCCGCTCTGCACCGAGTCCAGTGCACGCCGCCTTGCCGCGTCTAATGAGGCCCGACCCCCACACTGCATTCCGGGTCTGAACTGTAAAACTCCCAATTCGGGTCACATACATCGGTCCACCGTTGTGGAGGCTGGCCTGGCCCCACAAGGCATCGGCAGTTTTCTTGGGCGGACTGCTTGCTGATCTCCACGCCATTCCCATATTGGAGGAGTTTGAAGGGTGGCAGCATACATTATTTGTCCATCCAGCAGACCTCACAAGCAAACCCGGGAGGCCCCCTTTCTCGTTCAACCAATGATGGCACGATATTCGGTGCTGCTATACCCCTTTATCATGACACAAAAGTCACCTGTAGAAGAAGGTATGGTCGAGTGGTTGCAGCACCGCATCTGCGTCCGCCTGGGCGAGTCTACTTCAGCAGCTCACACTCCACCACCAGGTGGATCGCGTAAAACGTGCGAGAAAAGCCCACCCAGAATGATCGCTCGGTAACGATCAGGACGATGTAGTAAGGTGTCGGCCGCAGCGGTTCCCCAACGAGCTTGCAACTTCCCCCACTTCGTTTTCAGGAAGCCAGCAAAGATGATCTTGCGGCAGGTGGTGGCGAAATTTCCTCTCAGCTTCTTGTGTATCTCCTTCTCCCCACTAGCCCAGTTACCTTGGGCACTCGTTGAGCGTGGCTTTCATATATGCCCATTCGGCAGCGATCTCAGCCGCCATTGGCTCAGCTCGCCGCCAGAGGCCGCTTCCGCTGGACACGGTTCGGAGTCCTACGGTATTATATTAGAGAGGGATGTACGGGGGAGTATCATGAGCAAGACCCAATCACGACTGCAGATTCTGTAACCAGCCGCTTGACTGGAGCTGGCACCCCAGGGCAGACAGTCTATCATCTACCAGGTTGACAATAATGTCACTTTTACCTTCCACCACCACATCCGCCTGGGACTACATAGGCAAGAGGTATCGAGGCAGAAGGGTTACACTCGGCATCATCCCTCGGCACTACTGCGACACCGGCAGTGCGCGCCCCGTGCTGCATACTGCAGCCTGACTGTGCTGCTTCGCCAGCATCGCTGCACGATGTGTGGTGAGGTGTATGGTGAGGATGTTGTAGGGGCTGGCAAGCCCCCACAACGGTGGACTGCTGCATGTGCCCGCGCTGGAAATCTTACGGTTGGAATCCTGTATGCAGTGTGTGAGTCGGGTTTCGTAGGCGTTACAAGACAGCGTGGACTCGAAGCAGAGCGGGAACAGGTGGTAAGGGGGAAACGAGCCCGACCAGGGGACTCACCAACAATAGATCATCTGAACCTACTCGGTAACATGAAAGTATTCCAGCGCTGTGGAGGTTGCACGCATGTCGAGGGCTGGCTTCAACACCCAGGTAGCCAGAGACCCAAACATCCACAGTGCAACCTCTCTCCACCCCGTGGACAGTGACAATGCATTGCCGACGCCAATGGACATCCCAAATGGGCTGGTCATGCCATCAAAGGGCAGCCCCATGATCACCTAGGCACTCCAGTGGCTGGCGCCAGGCATCTCCCTTATCATGGGTATGGGAGTGCATGACGGGCACAACGAACTCTACAAGACCCTGGCGAAAGCTGTGTCGCCTGTGCTACCCACATGGCCAGAGGTTGCTGCCCTGTATGAGCTCAACACAAGGACAGAGCACTCTGCCTCATACCCCTTGCAAGAGGGACAATACTAAGGGGCGGCAGACCAATTCAAGTGGACGTTAAAAGATGGGATGGCGGTGAACCTGCTGTAAATTTCACACTTCGTCAGCATCTAGACAGCATCCAGGCAGGCAGCGTGTGTGTGTGGGTGGGGGGTGGAGCTGCATCTGGGCCCAAAGAAGCGCGAGGGGGGATCTTTTGGCTCCTAATAGCCGACAGGGGGCAGTGGGCATGATCGATATGTGCAGACTGCGCTCCATGCCCTTGCACTGGAAGTTTCACCGTATCAATGACGAACAGACGGGGTAATATGCCCTGTGCGGTGCGCGTTCACACCCCCGTGAGCCGGGACAGGGTCACGCGGAGTGGCCGGGGTCCTGTGTTCGCTCGAACCCTTGGGCCCCGGTCAATCGATTGACGATTACTTCTAGAGACTTGGCCATGGGTAAGGTTTAAATGGCGGTTGTTTGGGTTTTGTGACTCGCCCCGAAAAGGTCTCAAGCCAAAGTGCACTCAGGTTAAAAACCCCAGCACAGGTCGTCTCGAGGCCTTATCCCCATCGGGACTGGGTCTTCTGATTGGGATCAAAGTCGTCTGTACTGTGTGTAGCAACCTGACTCACCACTACACCTCACAGTGAATTGTATCAGCGTCTGGTCCGGACGAATGCTTTAATGAAGTGGTGTGGATGAGCGAATCGAGACTCGCGACCAACCGCTCTTGCTCCAATGCCACTGATTGCTTACAATGCAGGCAAGCCTGGAAACACGATCAGGCAATACTTTAGGAGGAATGCAGGGACAGGTGGGTAAGTAAGCCTGCGCAAGGGCATGGATGGCTCTGGACCAGGAACAGAACGCATGGCAAATGTACCACAGGAGTTCCCCTGTTATCAAATTGCAGACGTTCGTGATGTTCTAAGGGGCAGAGGCTACCTTGGGTGTGATTTCAGCAGCATATCAGGCCTACCATTTCAGGGTTAGAGCATCCGAAGCGCCAACCCCTTGCTTGTACGCCACTACTTGGGCATAGGGTGCAAGAACTATCTCACTGGATTCCAGCGTGATGGTCCAAGTCATCGGCGTGCTCTCATAAGCTTTCTGGACAACTCGCAAAGGAACACCATCTGCAGTGAGAAAAGCGCAGTTGACACCGGTGGGTGTGAAGCCTACGATGTTTACCTTAATGAGAAGTCATTCCCGTCGTTGGTAACACTCCCGCTGATGGACCCAAATATTGGTGGTGGTGGAGAGGGTCCCAGAGGGGGGGGTGAAGGATTCAACAGAGTAAGCGGTAGAACTTCCTTGAGCTCAGATGTATAGATACTTGCGGAGCCAATGGAATACTTTGTTGCTATCCCCTGAGGTTGTCCCTTCAGAGTGATGGTGGTAACAGCGGAAGTACTCACCCTACTATCACCGCCAAGATAGGATAAGGCTGATGTGTACAGTCCCCACTTCATGAAGTTGGGTACATAACCCACTGTGGTGACAGCACAAGTGATGTCCACCGAGTCACTCGAGGCAGCACTGAATTCGACTGTGGCTGACGTACGTGGCGGTGAGGGTGGAGGAGAGGGGCTTGGTGGGGGTGGTGGAAGTGGTGATGGAGGGGGCTGGGTGGAGGAGGGGGCGTGGGTGGAGGAGGGGGGCTGGGTGGAGGAGGGGGGCTGGGTGGAGGAGAGGGGCTGGGAGGAGGAGAGGGGCTGGGAGGTGGAGGGCTCGGGCTTGAAGGTGGGGAAGGAGACGTCTTGGCAGGTGGGGGAGGAGACGACTTGGCAGGTGGGGGAGGAGACGTCCTGGCAGGAGGCGGTGGAGACTTCTTGGCGGGAGGCGGTGGAGACTTCTTGGCGGGGGTGGTGGAGACTTCGTGGCGGGAGGCGGTGGAGACTTCTTGGCAGGCGGTGGTGGAGACTTCTTCGTAGGCGGCGGTGGAGACTTCTTGGCGGGGGTGGGGTGGAAATCCAAGGACCCATGCATACTTCCGGCACTCGAGCAGGCTGCAACCCTTCAGATTCTTGCGGCTCCCAGACATGTTGAAGCAATGGTGGCCGGTACCCTCGTTGTTATTTCCCCGGTTGGCATTACCCCTATTGGAATTACCTGCAGAAGGTAGCAGAGACTCAAATGTTGAGCTCTTTTGATGGAACATGCAGCTGCTGTGCACACCTTGCATAGCAAAATTACTCCACTCATCACTCACCAATGTTGTTATTCCCAACATTCTTCGTGCCAAAGTTGTTCTTGCCCTTGTTGCCAGAGCCAATGTTGCCGTTGCCGTCTGCCGTGCAAGCCTTCTTGCCCGGCTTCAGGCACTCCACGGCGGTAAGGACCAACGTGGCGCCAGAATTCAGGATCTCCAAGTTGCGCACACGGATGGCTGGCATGGACAGTCCCACAGCACTCAGGGTTGAAGTGCGAACGGACCCCGCTTTGCTGAAGCCCTTGTGCCTTCAATTTGTGGAGGGTGGACGTGTATAGATGGAGGTGTGCATACCATGTGAGATGCTGCAGCTGCTTGATGGTTGTTTCACGTAGGCAAGCCCAGTGATGTGCAAGCACATGCTCTGGTACAAACAACCAACCATGCGTTACTTGCTTGCAGATGGCATCTGCACTGTCGACCGTTGTCAGATACACATCGGCTCCCAGGCTGCAAGGGAACCGTATGTATGCGCGAATTGTTGATGAAGGGTCGGGAAGAGACATGCGCTAGTGGCCATCTCATTTACAATCTGTACGTGCGTGACAAAAGGAGCAGGTCTGTCGGCCCTGGAGAGAGCTGCGTAGGGACCCGGGCTCGACCGGAACGATGTGCGCGAGGGCTTTGTGTGGACAGTGACAGCAAGGGTGACGCACCTAACCCCCCCGCTCTCTCCTCCCCCCAACGAACAAAGCAGAAGCCTCACATTGCACTGGGAAGCGCCACGAAAGTGGTGCTGCATGTGGCCTGCGGTGGTCGAGGAAGCTGGGGAAGTGAGTGGAGAAGCGGCAAGCGCGGTGCGGATGACGCGGGATCGATATCGACCAGCGAGATCTCCCACGCACCGCGAGGGCGCATCTGGTCAGAAGGAGCACAAGCTCAGTCAGGAAGAGAGGCTTCCCGACGGTCGGCGACAGCCCGCACCCCGCCGCGCTATCACTGTTCCGAATGTTTGATGTCATTGCCATCAGGGTGAATGACGTTGCCTTTGCGTCAGCATACCCTTCGTTTGCTGCACATCGGTCGAGTACTATGACGCAAGGGTGGAGATCAGCCCATCATGCTCCTGCACTTTGATCATTCATGTTGCAAGGGTATCGCGGGCGGCGCGGGAGATGCTCACCGTGGGAATCCGGAGAGGCCCAGCTGGTAGCCATGGTCAAACGGAGGCAGTGTGAACGCGGCGTTAAGTACAAGTACACATCTCGCATGGGATGCAAACCCAACCAGCACATTACACATTCTTCTCGCAGGCCTCGGCATCTCTTGGACACCAACAAGTCACCCGGTGAGGATGGTCGCTTTTTTACTCCTGATCGCCGCCCTCAGAAACGGCACCTCCGCATCCGGATGACCCGGCCGGTAACCTTGTACAACGTCTTGCGTCAGGAACTGCGGAGCATGATGGTACATAGGAAACTCCATCAAACGTCTCGAATCAAAGTGTAATATATGAGAATCGCTACAACCACGAGCCGAAGGAATTGAAGTATGCTCCGTGCAGTAGTTCCACGGCGATTTCCCTGCCGTAGAGCAACTACGTAGACATCCACTCATGAGCCTAGAAGTGGCGTTGCGCTTGCCTTACCTGATGGATAGGCCAGGCAGTGAATGCTATACTGTGAATCGATGGCCCCTCAAGATATGAACTATGGGGGGCAGTCCGACCCCGCGCCAGACCCTCACTCACAGCGCTTCGCAGGGCTGCAGGTTCACGACCAGCTTGGCCGTGGAACCCGCCACCAAGCCGCACCGCACCTAGGCCAGTTCTGCATATACCAGCTGCCTAAACCCCGTTAGCTTGTGTGGATGCATCACATGGCGACTTTCATGATCAGGGTATGAGCTATGGCACCCCAGGGAAAACAGCTACCCCGCCCAAAAGGCCAGGCCCCAGGAGGTGCCAGGATGGGCTCAGGGCTGCCCGGCACACGACCACCGCGCCGCCAGCCGTCGCGGCGTTCAACCAAGTAAGATTTGTGTACCCGTATTACATGCAAACCTGAGTACAAGGATTCGAATTAGGCCCACGGTTGCGAGGGATGGATGTGTCATGCCAGCACAGCAACAAAGTCTGGCAAACCTTGCCCACTACCATCTGCACTGCTTCCTGGGGTTGAGAATGGGCACCGTCCAGGAAGATCTTGAATGCATGCGGGTGGTGTGCACGAGAACAAGGAGACTGCAGCGGATAGAGGTGAGCCGCGAGATGTGCATGGTATCTCTGTTCCGGAATACTACCGTCCATGCTTCACCCCAATGTCACACCGTCTGCCCATCACTTCTGCTTTGGGATGAGCTGTTGAATAATTCAACTGTTTACACACTGACACAGGGCTCATCTCGGCATTCAAGGCCGGCACAGGCAGGAGGCAGGGAAGGGAGCCGGGACCAGTGTCAGACCTGCCACTTCTTACCTCGCAAAACCTGGCTTCAACATCTAAAGAGCCTGACACACGAGGACCGGTCAGAACCACCACCCTACACCTTGTTGATAGTCACAGCGCACCACCGCCCCTCCTGAACATCCCTGGCAACCCCTCCCCGCCACCAGAGGGCGATCCAAAGTTGAAAGAGGAACACAAAAGAGGATGGCGGCACAGGTCATCTGCAGTATGGAGGAGGGAACACTGGAGGAGCGCACTTTATAAGACCCTGACGGAAGCCGTGCTGCCTGTGCTGCCCGCTTACTAGGCGGAGAGCATATCCTTTGAATGACACATTCACGACAGAGCATGACGCATTTGCTCTCAACTTGACAGGGGGGAGTGGCGTGAGTCGGCGGACTGCTTCAGCAGGTAGATGAAGGCTAGGGAGACCTTGCACCTGCTGCAGAACCCATATATTATCTACAACTAGGCTAGCATCCAGGTATACAGCGTATGAGGGGCACATGGTCGCCCTGGGGAGGGTGAAGGATGTGAGCAGTTCCCTAGGTCTCCACGGGTCTCACCAGGGGAACCGGGTATGACGGATGTGTGTCGATTGCATTCTAATGCCCCTGCACTCGACATCCTAATGCTGTGATAAGGTAAAGCATGAATATCTGCCTCGTGCGGTGCGTTCCCAGCCTCTACTAAACCAGGTAACGCTATGTGATGTTGCAAAATGTGTCCCGCCGAGCGGGAGTCACTCGGCGCCCGATCAAGTGGTGATCAGTGTTCTCAGCCCTTGTTTACCCATGGATTCCCCGGGTGACATTAGACTGTGTAATTTGTATTGTCCCGGGACGACCAAGTTCGGGCAGTATCCAAGGGCTGCTCTCGAAGTGTCGGCAGTGTGAAGGAACCACCGGCCAAACACTCGAAACATGCGCATTACATGTCCAATTTGGCAATCCCAGCGTACACCAGCCTTGTTAATCTACCATAAAACGCGATGTGATTGTTGATCAGGGAACTTGCTGGGATGGCCACGCGGCTTTGCCTGCTGGTTGAGACCACCACGCGGCACAAGGATCAGTGGCGGGACATTCGCATCAACATCGTGGAGCCCATCCTGCGTGCCTTGGACGCCTCCCCCACCTCCGAGCTGGCCCTGGTCCTCGTGGGCGTGCCAGGGATGAGGTGCGCAGTGGTGAAGGTGCTGCACCTCCTGCACTGGCCCCCATGCTTGCGCCCTGCACACCAGTCCCGCGGGCGGTGCCAATCATATGCCATCCTCACGCCTGCACGACTCTACGTCCACCACTCACCCCTCTTCCACGCCAGCGTCAATGAGGTCCTGTCCAGCCAGTGGACCCGGGACACCCAGGAGCTCCGGCGCTGGTTGGATGGCATCGACTTCTGCGGCGGCGGCAATGGCAAAGGCCTGGCACTCGCCCCGGCCCTCCTCGCCGTGGCCTGCCTTTTTGGCGTGCCCAGCACCCTGCCCTCCCCCGCCAACCACTGCCTGATGTGTCTCATCTCGGAACCTGGGCCGCACCCCGTCGAATGGCCATACCCCCAGGACTGCGGCAAGGTGAGGGGGAAAGGCACGGGAATTTTGGTGTGGGGACAAGGGAGGTGAAGTGTCATGTTCAACCAAAATTATGTGTGCAATACTGAGTGAGCTGCCATTGCATGGGCATGTGCATGAGCTGCAGCCTGCACGGCGATTCATGCCATGCCCCTGGCGCCCATGCGCGAAGCACCAGTGATGGCATCGTCATGAATCATATGCAGCCTGGGCTAGTGGCCAGGGTAGTGCTCCCCGCTGCTCTGGCCTAAGCTCATACCTCTCCGCCGTGCTCGCGTTCCTCGTCACACAGCTGCGATCCCCCATTCTCCATGCCCTCTCACAGGTGACAGGATGTCAGCACCTTGCCACGGCCTCTGAGCTGTGTTGCGCTTTTCAGAGGCACCGCTTCCACCTGGCCATGGCCACACGGCGTGAGAAGCCCCTCATCCGGCACGCCCTCCTCTGGCACCTCCTCAACATGATCTCCGACGCTCCGGTGGGTGGCGGGGTGCGGCCATGGTGCATGTGGAAACTTGGGCATGGGTATGTGATGTCCTCCAGCACATGGACTCAACACCGAATTCCCAAGTCCTCATACCCCTTCCTGCACCCCTCCTGGCGCGTTCTCTCCCCTGACCTCTCCCCTCCCCGGAGCACAATCGCACGCAGCTGGACTGGATAGACAGCACCACTGCGCTCATGGAGGCAGCCAAGGCCCGCTCCGCGCTGGCCAAGTCCCACGTCGTCACGCGCGGCAACAGCCTCGCTTTCTTCCCCTTCTGGGAGAGCGCGCTGCGCCTGCTGCAGAAGCAGAGCGGGGTGCGGGGCCGGGAGCAGTCCTCGGGCCAGGCCAGCGTGGCGGGCGGCGGCAGGTCCGCCCCGCCGGCGCCGGCACCAGCGCCCCAGGCCCCCGCCGCGGCCCCCGTCGCGGCCGCCGCCGCGGCCGCCGGGCCCGCCCTGCCAGCCACCGCCGCTGCCTCCCCCGCGCTGGCCGATGTCTCCCCCGGCGGCTTCTGGGACGTGATGAACTCAGAGCTGATCAACGGCCCAAGCGAGACGCTGTCTGCGCTGTCGGCCGCCGCCAACCCGGCGCATGCCAGCCTGGCCGCCGCCTCGCCGGGGCTGTACGAGGGCCCCGCCTCGGCGGGCGTGGCCGGCTCCGGCCCGGGGTCCCTCCCCTTGCCTCAGGCCGTGCCCCCTGCCCGCTCCCCGCTGGGCGCACTGTACCAGGCGGGGTCGCCGCCTGCGATTGTCCCTGGTGCGGCCCGGGGGGGGCCGCCCGGTGCGGCGCCGCGCGCCGGCGGGACGCCGCCCCACCTGCCGGCCACGCAGGCGCCGGTTCCCATGCTAGGCCCCGCCGCGACGGCGCCAGCCCCTGCCGCCGGCCCCGGGGTCGCGCCATCGACGCCCCCCGTCCTCGTCTGGCATGGCCAGCTGCGCATGGCGGACCGGGTGCGGGGCGCGGCGCCCGCGCTGCTCTGCACCGTGGACGCGTACGCCACGGCGGAGCAGGCGGGGCGGGCGGGGTTTGGCGTGGAGGCCATGGTCATCGAGTCCTTCCTCATCGGGCAGGCGGAGGCGCGCAAGCTGGCGGGCCTGCTGGCGCGGCCGGGGGCGCTCGTGGTCAGGCTGCTAGTCAAGGAGTTTGGCCCGCAGGGGGAGGTGCGATGGGTGGGAGGGCGAGGGGGGGTGCCTGGGATGGGGATCAGGGCCCTGGGCACTGGGCGATTGGGGAAGCGGCGCGTGCCTGTGTGCGCTCCTGTCTGGTGGTTTGCACTGTGGACCGAGTGTCCATGTCAACACCTGGCCCGCCGACCCGACTCCTTGCTTGTTGAGTCAGGCCGAGATCGTGCCCGTCTCCTCAGTCCTGTACGCAACGTCCACTGCTTCCCCGACGTTACAAGACACAAGGTCCCAGGCACGGCGCCCTGAGAGCGCGTCAAACACACCCGCCCACTGGCCCCCGCCCCGCAGAACGACCTGCGGCGCATGGGCGACGGCCAGGCCACGGGGCAGGTGGACCTCGGGCCCCGATTCGCGGGCTACCTCACGGTCCAGACGCGGGAGAACCAGGCCCGGGAGCAGCGGCTGGTGCTGCGCTTGTTGGCTGTGCCCCGCGCCTGACTGGGGGTCGTCCGCAGTCCTACGAGCGAGGCGCACCAGACGCCGAGCGCCGTGCGCACGGCGCATGCAGCCGGACGGGATGCGGGCAGTGGCCCTCCTGACCGTCGATGCCCGGGGCGGGTATGACCCAACGAGCCACAGCTGTCGCTGGAGAGGGCAGGCACGTCCGTGCAAGCCGTGGTCGTGTGCAGCGCTTCCGACAGGCTGCCTGTGCTTGATCCCCCAGGCACGAGCGCAGCAGCCTCCAGGCAGCACCCAGTGCTGGTGTGCGCCGCCGAGCAAGGCCAGGCCTTGATTTGCCAAGCCGCGCTGCTGGTGGGGCCGCCGCATGCCGCAACCAGCGGCAGCTGCAGCCCAGCGCCGCGGAAACACCCCTTTGGCGCATGCCCAATTTTCTAAGGCCTGCACTCACACAGCCACCCGGGGCCGGTAGATGGAGATGCCCAGGCCCTCCACCACACCACCCACGGCCACGTGCGGCTTGGCCACCTCCACGCGCACGCCGTTGACGCGGGACTGGGAGGAAAGGATGGCGGAGGCGATGCGCTCCGCCACGCACTCCAGAAGCTGGGCCGGCGGGCCAGTGACCACACCCTCCACCGTCCTGCGGGCAGACGTGGATGGGGAATGCTTGAGGCTACAGAGGCTGCAGTAACATGCTTGATGTTACGGAGGCCGCGCTGTAGATCGTGCAGCATGACAGCAGGGTTGGAGTTGTAAATTGCACCCTCCATACCAAAAACCCTGAACACGGACTTGTAGATGATGGCATAGTTGATGGCATCCTTGAGGTCGTCGCTTTTGCCGGCATCAGCCAAGCAGGTGTCCAGGGTCACGTCGATCCTGAACTTCTGGCCCAGCTTGCGCTCCTATCGCGATTTGTGTTTTTGGGGGCAGGGAATCAAGCATACGGTGGGGTCCTCCAAGCAGACACCACCGTTTGCTCCAGCCATCGCACCAGACAAGACGCCTGCCTGCATAATCATCAGCCACCCACCTCTTCGTACACGCCATGGTGCCCGTGGAAAATGAGGCCGCGCAGGTGTACCTGATCTCGCGGGCCGGCGAGGGCGCTCAGGCTCCGCCCTCCCGTACCCACGGCTCCCAGTCTCGCCGTGGCCAGCCTCAGCATGATCAGAGGCCGATGCGATTTGGTTGGAATGTCTTTAAACACGAATTTGCTTCCCCACAGGATGTTCATGAAGCCGAGGTGCAGGTGTCGAGGACCGTACATCCCGCGCCCTCCCTCCAGCTGACTCGGCCTCGGCCCCTGACTCATCCGTGACAATTTCTACAGACCGAGCGCGCGCGCCCCTCGGCAAGCCCAGGCACCACGCCAGCACCCAGCGATCACCGCTCCCAGCGTGCGGGCGTGGGGGCAGAGTCCACCTCGGCCACCGCGCCCATGTCGTAGCCGCCGGAGCGGTAATAGCGCAGGAACTCGATGGGGTGGCCCTCGGTGACACGGCGCGGCGCCACGCCCAGGTCCTCAATGGTCAGCAGGGGCTGGTCGGCGGTGGCGGCGGCCAGCGTGAAGTCGCCGCGTGCCAGCTCGGCGACGGAGTCGGAGGAGAAGAAGGGGTTGGCGCGGAAGGGCGTTTTGGTGCCCAGCCAGCCCAGCGGGCGGGACGCCAGCTCGGCCAGCTCTGCGATTCATGGTGGTGAGTGTGTGTGTGTGGAAGGGGGTTGAACGAGGAGCGGTGGGGTTGTGAGGGGGGATTGAAAAGCCGGCAGACTGCCCGGTCCTGTGCTCCACACATTCTGTTCCGCTGGCCATCCCCGCTCGAGGTTTGCGGCCCGGTCGGCCGCGCGCTGACCAGTGCCAGAGTGCACGATGGCAGGTCGCCTTCGGCCCGCTGGATCTGCTGCACCGGGGCACCACCAGGCCAGGCAGAGCAGACCCGGGGCGCCCTCCCCCTGTCCATCAACAAATGTGTCCCCCCACTCACTCTCCGGCACGGGCAGCACATTGTGTGGCTCGCGGATGGTGTGGTAGGTCAGGTCGGCCAGCTGGGACAGGGTCAGGACCTCAGGTCCCGCCAGCGCATAGGTCTTCCCCGCCGCGCCCTCCTCCTGCATCGAGTTGAAGACCGCCTGGGCTACGTCGCGGACCCACACCGGCTGCAGGCGCAGCGCGCCGCCCGCCACCAGGGGCAGGGCCGGGTAGGCCTTGATCAGGCGCGCCAGCTGGTTGAACACGCGGTCCTCGGTGCCGGTGACGGGGGCCACCTTGAATATGGTGGCCAGGTCGCCCAGCTCGGAGCGGACCAGCGCCTCGCCCTCGCCCTACCGTGGAGAGGGTGGTCGGTGGAGGAGAGGGGTGAGTCTTGGGATGCACGGGGCGGGCGGGGCACTCAGGGCTGCATGCCATCGCAGGACGCCCAGGCACGGCAGCGCGGCGGAGGCGCGTGCGGGCATCGGAGTTCCGCTCCGCCGCAGCTCAGGAGGGGGCCGGCGCACCGATCCCTCGAGCCCACATCTCGCTTGCCGCCGAAGGCTGAAACGATCTTCCCACGCCTCCCACTCGGCCCCCAAGTCCCCCCCCCCACCCCACCCCGACC